AGAATGTCTTAATTCCAGTAACTTAGTCTAGTCCGAGTTGCTCCCAGTTGCTCCCCACAGATCCCCCTTTCTTTTTATTTTTTGGCGTTGATACGCGCCTGTCTTCGGTGCCCTGCGGCACACACTCTGCTCTGCTTGCTAGAGTTGCCACAGGCTCTTACAAGTCCTATCAGGCAAACCGAGTCCGGGTCCTCTCTTCGCCATGTTGTGAGGAGGTTTTTAGGCGCTGATGCGTGCCTGTGTTCGGTGCCCTGCAGCGCATGCTCTGCTCTGCCTGCAGGTGCTTACAAGCCCTATCAGGCAAACCGAATCCAAGCCTTCTCATTGCCATATTGTGGGGAGGCTTATTGGTGTTGATTCGTGCCTATCTTCGGTGACCTGCAGCTCATACTCTGGTCTAGCTGCCTGCTGGTGCTTATCGCCCTAATCAGGCAGACCGAATCCAAGCTCTCTCATTGCTGTGTTGTGGGGAGGCCTTTCTCTATTTCTCTATCTCCGGGCATTCCTATTTCTCTCATTTTACTTCTAAACTTCTGTTTCTCTTATCCCTGTGGCTTCCCGGCGCCCGCCCCGAGGCTGCTTCTCGGCGGCTTCCCGGCTCTGAGCCGCTTCAGCCCGCACCTCTCTCATCTGTGCGGCTTCCCGGCTTTGCGTGGCTTGGCTTCGCGCGCACACTCCGCGGTCTCGCACTAGCCCAGCGTTCCCTATCTACTTGTGCCCCGCACGCTCTCTCTGCGCGCGGCAGCCTCTGCGAGTCACACAGCGTAGCTTAGGTCTCCGCCACTAGCATTCAATCCAAGTTCCCCGGACTAACCTGGCGAATTCCAACCTGGCGGCCCACGTCTCTGCCTCTGGTTCCAGATCTTCGCCTCTTGCTCCCCGGGCTGACTTGAAGAATTCCAAGATGGCTTCCGTTTCCGCCTCGGCCTGCACTTGCGGCTTCATCCTCCCTAACATTTTTCTCTACCCGGTATATTTCCCTAAGTTTTCTTCCAACAGTATTCCTCCCTCATTTCTCCTGGCCTCTCCCCACAGTCCGTATCCAAGTCTAAGTTTCTTCTAGGTTTCACTTTCACTTTCAACCTGCAGTCCGTATCTGAGTCTAAGTTTCTTCTTGCTTTCACTTTAAATCCTAACTTCTTTCCCACAGTCCGTATCCGAGTCTATGCCTAGGCTTTCAATAGCTTCTTCTGGCACCTTTTTCGTCCGGCTTTTCCCTAGGCTGTTTGCTAGTCTCTCTCTCTGGCATTTTCCACTTCTTCCCGTTTCTTCCCTCCTAAGTTTCCTATCCGAGTCACGGCACCATTATGTCGCTCCCCCTCTTCGTGGAGGAACGACACAGGACCCTGCGCTGTTCTTCTGTCTGCTCGGCCCTCCCCAGGTTTGCTGCTGGTCCTTCCCGGGTTGGCTGCTGGTCCTTCCCTGGTTGGCTACCATCCCTTCCACCTCCGTGGAAGGGCAGTTCCCCCTGGCCACATTCCCCACTTCCGCAGGGGAGCGGCACACTGCCGGCCGGCTCTCTCGGGGGCTGCACAGGTGTTCCTCTTAGATGTTCCCCTTAGATGTTCCTGGTGCATGCCGTCTCTCTCCTCCTTTATAGTCCTCTTCCACCAATCCCAACTCTGCTACCCACACGCCGAGCACGCTGCTCTCCTCCAATCAGGAGCAGGTCCCACAGTTTATTGGTTGAACTGGAGGCAGCTGTGTAGAAGCTGTTTCCCTTCTCAGCGCCATATTGTGGGAGAGCAGATGCATAGAATGTCTTAATTCCAGTAACTTAGTCTAGTCCGAGTTGCTCCCAGTTGCTCCCCACACTCTGTCTTCCTGATCCTGCCTCAGCGTTTGGCCATCTAGAACTTCCCGTGGAGAAGCATCTCGTCCTATTGGAACCCATGTGGACTCTGCTGTGCGGGCAGGGTGCGGCCTTGGGCTGCTGGGCCAGCCCACAAACACTCCCGCTCTGCCGTTCTCTGCTCTTGGCCTGTTTGCCATTTCCCGAGAATAGACGTGTGGGTGTGTCCCGGACCGGCAGACAGGCAGGGGCCGGTCCCGTCCCCTGGGGCTTGGAGCTGATCTAGGGGGACTCTGGGGGCTGCAGTCCAATGCCGGGCTCTGCCTGGCAGCGTGGGGCGGAGGCTGGGACCTATGTAGCTAGCGAGCTTCCTGGGGACGGTGCCACCTGCAGTGCTGGTCCCTCTGGGCACCCCTGCGAGGCCTGGGCACCCCACGCTTCCCTAGCCAGCTCTCACCAGGCCCACTGTCCCTGCGCAGCCCCGCTGCCTCTGGGCGGGGTCTTGGGGTGCCTGGGTCAGTTCTCAGCCTCTTGCGTGGCTGGCCGGAGGCAGGGCATCTCAGCTGGCTGAGCCACGGGCTGCCAGCCCTGTGCTCGTGGGCTTCCTTGATGCTGCTGCTATCATTGTCCCTCCTTTGCCCCTTGCCTCTGTGAGTTGACAGGGTTTTTAAAAATCAGGACAGAGTGAAATCAGAAGAGCGTGTTCTGACTTCGGCCCTAGGGGGCACCAGCTGCCCAAACACTGTGCTCAGGGAGCCGTGTGCCTGTGCCCAAGGCTGTGCCCGCCCGCTCCAGGCCCGGCTCCAGGGGCTCCACTTCTGTGTTCTCCTGACCTCCTGTGGCCACTGGGAGCCCTCGGCCGCCACACGCAAGCCTGCACACACTGGAGGCGTCATCAGTACATCAGTGCCGGTGGGCGCCTGCCTCGTCTGCCTGTGTCTCCCCTCGCTTTCTGGTCCTCACCCTTCTTTCTGCTCGGAGCTTATCAACTTGATTATCTGTTCTCTTAGCACATCAACACTCGTTTCCCGTCACAACCTTCAGAGTCAGTGAGGAGAATCAGCACTAGTCTTCAGTCTTTGGAAACTCCTCAGCTTGGGGAGGGCACTGTGGCGCAGCGGGTTTCAGGCCACGGCGTGGGATGCCCGCATCCCATGTTGGAGGGCTCCGGTCCCTCCTCCGTTTCCAACCCAGCTTGCTGCTAAGGCCCTGAGAAGCACTGGACGATGGCCCAAGTCCTTGGGTCCCTGCCACCCACGGGGAGACCCAGATGGAGTTCAAGGCTCCTGGCGTTGTCCTGGCCCAGCTCTGGCTGTTGCAGGCATCGGGAGTGAACCCGTGAGTGGAAGATCTCTCCCTCTGTCTTTCAGTGTCACTCTGCCTTTCAAATCCACAAATAAATAAAGTCCAAAGTAAATCAGTAGAATCTCCCTCACTACACGGGGCTGGTGCTCGGTGAGTGGTCGAGACAGCCACAGCCCATGTTAGAATGATAGCCTTGACTCCCAGCTCCGGGTCTTTCCTCGGCTTCCTGTTGCTATGCACTCTGGGAAGCAGCAGTGTTGGCCCAAGGGGCTGGGGCCCTGCCTGGATGGAGTTCCCTGCTGCTGGCTTCAGCACTGCCCAGCTCTGGCCACGGCGGGCACTCGGGAAGTGAACCGGCACCTGGAAGCGCTCTTGGTCTCTCTGTTCCTCTGCATCTCAAATAAGCAAACAAAACAACAGTCAGTAAATCGTATATAAGCATTGTTTGATACTCTGCCCCATCCCAAACAGGCCCCTAGAGGAAGACATTGCCCTTACTACCTCCTCAGCTGATGCTGTAATCCAGTCAGCCTGCGACAAGTTAGCCTGCGACAGAACCAAGGGAGACGCGCAGTCACGTGCAGCGTTCTTACGTCACTGTGAATCCAGATACTCTGTCAGCTGTCGTGCGGTCGGATAGTTTTTCATCTTTTTTTTTTTTTTAAGATTTTTTATTTATTTATTTGAGAGGTAGAGTTACAGACAGTGAGGGGAAGAGACAGAGAAAAGGTCTTCCGTCCGCTGGTTCACTCCCTAAATGGCTGCAACGGCCGGAGCTGTGCCAATCTGAAGCCAGGAGCCAGGTGCCTCTTCCTGGTCTCCCACGCGGGTGCAGGGACCCAAGCACTTGGGCCATCCTCCACTGCTTTCCCAGGCAATAAGAGAGCTGGATTGGAAGAGGAGCAGCCGGGACCCGAACCGGCGCCCATATGGGATGCTGGCACCGCAGGTGGAGGATTAACCTACTGTGCCACGGCTCTGGTCCCAGATTTTCATCTTTAAAAGAAACATAAAAACTCGCTCACACTGAAAATCTAGATCTCACTCACTGTATTTACTCAGAGGGCACATCCAGGTAAGTTAATACTACAGTTAGCATGGTGAACCATGACTGACAGGCTATGTTTTAATTGATCCAGTTGCAGTTTACAGAATTTTGGCTTTTTTTTTTTTTTGCTTAAATTTGCTTTTACTGAACATTTATTTCTTGGAAAAGCAGAATGAGGGAGAGAGGGACCTTCCATCTGCTGGTTCACTCCCCCATTGCCCACCGCAGCGGGGGCTGGGCCAGGAACCCCACCCCTGGGTGTCTCCCAGGTGGGCCGTGGCCTGCTGTCTCCCAGGTGGGCCGCGGCCTGCTGTCTTCCAGGTGTGTTGTCATCTGCTGTCTCCCAGGTGGGCCGCGGCCTGCTGTCTCCCAGGTGTGTTGTCATCTGCTGTCTCCCAGGTGTGTTGTCATCTGCTGTCTCCCAGGTGGGCCGCGGCCTGCTGTCTCCCAGGTGTGTTGTCATCTGCTGTCTCCCAGGTGGGCCGTGGCCTGCTGTCTCCCGGGTGGGCTGCGGCCTGCTGTCTCCCGGGTGGGCTGCGGCCTGCTGTCTCCCGGGTGTGCTGTCTCCCGGGTGCTGAGCACTAAGCTGGGCTCGATGAAGAGGCAAGACTCTATCCCCGGGAGCCCCGTGGTGGCATAGCCTGCTGCACAACGCCCACCCCTAAAATTTATTTTTAATATCATCAATTAAAAAAAACCAACTGTTTCCCAGGTAGAAAATTAGTGGGTTACTGCTTTGATGTGGGCCTTGGGGAGTGGTATGTTGGTGTTAGAATATTCAGCGCAGACTCTGCAGCTAAGTTTCAGTCCTGACTCGCTGGAGGTCCTGACTGTTCTAAATTGTTTTCTCTCCAGTTCCCCACCTTGTCCTGCCCCGTTAGCAGGGACGCCGCGGCGGCCCCCGGGCGGTCTGTTTCTGGACGCGCTGCACCGGGCCCAGCGTGGGCGGGGCGCTGGCTCTGGTCACCCCGCCGCCGGCAGGCGCGGAAGATGGAGGAGAGCGCGGACGTGTCCAGCGAGGGCAACTCGCTGATCAAGGCGGTGCACCAGAGCCGCCTGCGCCTCGCCCGGCTGCTGCTGGAGGGCGGCGCCTACATCAACGAGAGCAACGAGCGCGGGGAGACGCCGCTGATGGTGGCCTGCAAGAGCAAGCACGTGGACGCCCGGGGCGTCAGCAAGGCCAAGATGGTGAGGTACCTGCTGGAGAACGAGGCCGACCCCAACATCCAGGACAAGTCCGGGAAGACGGCCCTCATGCACGCCTGCCTGGAGCGCGCTGGCCCCGAGGTGGTCTCGCTGCTGCTCCGCAGCGGGGCCGACCTCAGCCTGCAGGACCACAGCAGCTGCTCGGCCCTGGTGTACGCCATCGACGCCGACGACCCGGAGACGCTGCAGGTCCTGCTCAGCGCCTGCAAGGCCAGGGGCAAGGAGGTCATCATCATCACCACGGCCAAGTCGCCCTGCGGGAAGCTCACCACCAAGCAGTACCTGAACACGCCTCCCGCGGGCGCGCCGCGCGGCCCGGGCCCCTGCGCCTCGCCCTCGGAGATAGACCTCCGGGCGGCCTGCGCGGAGGACGCCCAGGACGGCTGGGACGCGGGCTCCCCGGGGAGGAAGCCCGCGCTGGCCCCGGCCAGCCCCTGGAGCAGGAGCCCCCCGGCCCGGATGCGTCCCAGCAGGGTGGCCTCGCTGCAGGAGGAGCCGCAGGACGCGTCCCCCGAGGAGGAGCTGTGCCGCCGCGCCAGCGCGCTGGCCCTGTCCAGACGCTTCATCACCAGGCACGAGAGCATCGACGTCAAGGACACCGCGCACCTGCTCAGAGCCCTGGAGCAGAGCGGCGCCAGGAGGGTGTCGCACGAAGAGCCGCGCCACCGGGCCTTCTCCGCAGAGGCGCACCTGCCGCCGGGCGCCCAGACCCCCGCGGACGCGGACGCGGACGCGGACCCCGCCCAGCCAGCCTTTGCTTCCACCTTAAGAAGCGTCGTGCAGAAAAGAAACTCCGGGGCCGACCACTACAGCTCCGACTCGCAGCTCTCGGCCGCTCCGGCCGCTCCGGCCTCGGAAGACGGCAAGGCGCTGGCCGGCAAGAGAAAGGTCCTGGCGCCGGAGACCGCGCCCCCGGGCGCCCTGGGCCGGCGGCACCACGCGGCTCTGGAGAGGCGCGGCTCCGCGGCCTGGGCGCCCGAGCTCGGGGTCCCCCAGCCCAGGCCCGGGTTCCTGCCGCCCCTCCCCGTGACCCCCCACCCGCCCCTCTCGGAGGTCAGTGCCAGCAACAAGATGGGCGGCCTCCTGTCCTGTGGCCAGAGAGTGCTTGTGCCCACGGTTCCCGCTTTCCCTAAGGAATTCGGGAGTAAAAAAATGTTGCTGAGGAGACAGTCATTACAGACGGAGCAAATTAAGCAGCTGGTGAATTTTTAAGGGATTCTGCGACATTTTAAGGAATGCATCAGAAAACTACAGGGCGAGAGGAGCAACCTCCAGTGTCCATCCTGCCAGGTCTGGGGCTGCTCCGTCCACATGGTTAGGCGGTGAGGCCCCAACGTCTCTAGCGTTAGGCAGGTGCTGTGCACCCGCGAATAGCACGCAGAGTCTGCCAAGGGGATTCTCTCAAAGTCAAAGCTGTCTGCCCAAAACCTCCCACATTTCAGCCACACTCATGCGGTCCAAGTTTTTTTCATTTAAACAAAGATCAGCAAAGAAGGCCCCGTATGTTGGCTATATATATATATATATATATATATATATATATATATTAAATTTCAGAGGGACTAAATATTTTACTAGGAAACACTGGTTTTCAAGTCAGTCATTAAGATGGTAACTTTTGATGTTGCCAAAAGCATGAAAGAAAACAGGGACAACCATAAAGTGTGATAGGACCAACAAACGGAAGTAACAAGAATTAACTCATCCTTTAAAAATAGCAGTTGATTGCAGGCAGGTGAAAAGCGAATTAAAGCTCAAACAGGACAGTCAGGACGGGCAGCTGGTGTCCAGGGGCAGCGCTAACGGCCGGACACGTGCAGCAGTTCTACAAGCCACTACAAATCCACCAGTTCGAGCTTGCGTGCTGCCTGTGGCTTTTTGATTTGTTTCCGAACAACTTGCCTGTCATGCCATCTTATGTGGTTACTCTTTCCCTGTATCTTTTCATTCTCGGAATTATTTTTTGGAAGTCTCTCCATAGCTTTCCAGTAACAAGGTGATACAAACGTTAAAAGGCGTTTCTCTTTACTTCTTCCAAAAAGAAACAGCCTGCCCCACCTCCAAAAATGTTGGGGACTTAACCACAAACAGAAATCACATGCTTGCTTCAATTTAAAAAGTAAAAATCTTAGAGTAGTCTAGGCTAGCTGCAGTTAAGAAAGCCAGTAGGAACTTAACCACAAGCTGTATCAAGTATTCGGTCAATATTCAACAGTCTCTTAGTTCTGATCTGTAGTTATTAGACATTTGTGTAACAGGGACACGGAAGGATGTCCTTTGTGTGACAGTCCACTCGTCTAGGATTTTAGGACCTCTGAATAACTTACAACAAAATACATGGAGACCATGCTATGCTTGGAAAACATTGTCAAGTGACAGTATTATCCACATGACTTCAAAGTACAGCACTGGTACCAAGAATCCTTATTTCAATCTGGCAGTTTTACAGCAAGAATAACCCCACCTGGGCAGAGCCTGGGGGTACCCATTTGCCGCGTGTGGTGTGCAGCTTGGTTTCTTTGCTTTCTGTGAGTAGATTCTCCTAGCAGCTGATCTGAGGCCTTTCTTGGTAACCTGATCTCAGCAAACTGTAACATGCTTAGCAATTACTTACGCTCTTGTGACAAGTATTTTAAAAGTAAATGAAGGTTATCCCATTTCATGTTTCCGGGAACATCAATGTTAACTGCATTAGGAATATTTTTGAGATTCAGAACTTAGAGTTGTACCTGATGCTTATAGAAAACTAGATGATTTTTCCAAGAAGGATATAGTTTGGGAGAAGGTGTAAATAGATTAGTGCATACACCAGTAACAATAAAGATTTAAACTACCGTTTGGATTATTGATTTTTATGTCTCTCTCAAAAGCTTACAAGTTTTCAACGTAATTTCAGGGGAAATTATGCCACCCCTTACAGAAAATGAAGAACGGATAATTTTTCTGCTATTCCCATTCTAACATGAGACAAATGTTTAACAGAATTAAGGCTTTTTTGGCGGGTGGGCCGTTGGCCGCTAGTAGATGGCCAAATCCCACATCCGAGTGGCTAGTTCAGTGCCCGCCTCCAGCTCGTGACTTGAGCTTCCTGCCAATGCAGACCCTGGGAGGCAATGCTCACGCCGAGGGATTCCTGCCACTCGCATGGGAGACCCGGATGAGATCCCAGCTTCTACCTGCAGCAAACCCTGGCCCGCCCCGCCCCTACCACTGTTGTGGGCGTCTGAGTGAACCAGCGGATGGGGCTGTGGCTCTCTGCCCTTCAAATAATTCTGGCCATGTTTGGCAGTCATGTGAGACTGCACACAACCCTAGGGACACTGCACTGCTGAGACTGCTGGGGCCTGTTTGTAAACCCAGCCCCTGGGCCTTTTCACTCCACGGGATGTAATGGGTCGTTAGGGTTCCTGTGGCACGCTGGACCTCAAGCCCCTGCTGTGGCCTGAGGCCTTGGAGCCCCTCCGCTCAGCTGCACATACTTATTCCACTGTCACTTTCTCCACTTGATCTTAGCCAAAGGCCGAGACGCGATCCCACCATCACTTGCTATGCAAAGACTCCTTTGAGCACTGCTGGGCTCAGCTTTATACTCTCCACCTGTTTTTCTTTGATTCTTGAGTTTATGATTATAAATTGGCTGTAGGCTCCTCCTAGTTAGGCTCACAGAAGCAAAAGAGCACTTTCTATATACTCACAAGGTTCTTCATTTTTAAAATTACAAGAAATACCCCCTGCCAAGATCTAAGCTCCAACAAACAAGCAAACCATTCTGAATTACTTTTGAGCAATTTCCCACCAGATAAACGGGCGGGCACCTGGTCAGTCAGCATCTCCACCTCTCGGACAGAGCCATAAACTACTCCTCTTTGTAAAAGCTCTGAAGGCTTGAACTGGCTCTCTTAGCAGAACGTCTCCTAGGGTTGGGATGCCCTGGCCAGTCTGGTGAAACAGCCTTTGGGTGCTGCGGGGTCTCCACGCCAACACACGAGACAGAGAACCTTGGTGGGAGGACAAACGGCTAACGGCCAGCTAGTCACCTCGTGACGGGTGAACTTCCACAAACCTTCCTCACATATGGAACGTAGAACGGCATGCGGCTTTACACTGTGAGATACGGACACACTCCAGATCTTTCCACATTCATGGAGAGGGGCTTCCTCAGTGTCTCCATGACACCTGGTGGCAGTTTGGTCTACTGAGGCCTTTAAAAATACCACTGCAGGTTAACACACAACTTGAAGATGCACAGTGTACATTCTGTCCACACACACGCCCAAAGGGCCACCCTCAGAACAAAACTCCCCCGAAAGGGTCCCACACGGCCCATCCCAGACAGCAGCCACTCCACCCCATGGTGGCCACTAGCTCTTGAGCTTCACGTAACGAATCCACACAGGACGTACTCCTTTGTCTCTTCTTTCCCATATGCTTTCACTAATCCATCTCTATTCTTGTATTAGTGGCCCAGGCTCTCTCAGTGCTGTGTACTAAGTTCATTGCCTGGCACTACCATTAGTTATCCATTTTCTTGTTGATGGGAACTGTTTAATGCCAGTTGTGGCCATTAAGAATAAAGCTGCTGTGACCATTCGTGTACAAGTCATTTTATGTGACTATGTGCGCTCTTTTCTCTGTGGAGATGCTTAGACAGAATGGCTGGGTCTTGGAGCTGAGATTTATCAGACTGTCATACTGTTTGCTTTTTTCCCCTAAGAGGCATAGTTGGTCTTTTATAACAGTAGCCTTTCTGGGTAGGTATGCCCTGGCATTTCACTGGGCAATGCCACTTAATACCTGTTCGGTATCTTTTTTCCCTTTGACTACCTTCTTTTGTCAAGTATCTATTCATTTCCCATCTTTATTAGTTTTTGTGTTTTTTTTTCCTTTTTCTTACAAGTATATGGTTCTTCACATATTCTTAATAAGACCTCTTCATCAGATATTTCAATGGTGTCTTTCATGTTTTAAATTTTGAGTCTAGAGTCCATTTATCACTTTTTTATTTGAAAGGCAGAGTGACAGAAGCGGGGGGAATGGGGGGAAAAGAGATCTTCCATCTGCCGGCTGACTCCCTGCATCACAGGCCAGACTGAAGCCAGCAGCCAGAACTCCATCTAGGTCTCTCACATGGGGGCAGGAACCCAAACACTTGGGCCCCCATCTACTGCCTCCCAAGCCCATTAGCAGGAAGTTGGAAAGGAAGTGTGGGGCAGCTGGGACTTGAACCAGGCATTCCTCCCAAGGGATGGCTTCACCTGCTGCAGCACAATGCCTACCCCACCAATTTTTTTAACTGTTAGTGCATTCTGGGTTATAAGAATGCTTGCCTACTCCAAAGTCATCAAGATTCTCCTTTATTCTTTTTAAAAGTTTTCGTTTTAGCTTTCACACGCAGGTCTACAATTCACCTCAAATCATGTGTGTATGGTTTCAGGAAGGGATCAAGGCTACTTTTTCCTATATGGACACCCATTACAATTTTACAAGAAAACAGTTTATAGTTCATTTACGTATTTTTGTTTCTGAGAACAGGTTAAAATACACCTTTAAGTCTTGATCTAAGTAGCATCCACCTTGAAGATTTCTCAATATTTAAGAATTTTACTACAGCACAAGTATTTTTAAAAACATTACTAAGAGTAATGTAATTGGCAAAAATAATAGTCTAAACAAATGAATTTCAAATTTCATCAAATTGCAATTCATTTGAAACTCAAATCTCTCCAAAAGTAATGCACAATAGTAGAAAATTTGAAAATTAAATATTTTTACTAAAAATTACAAATTGTTCTTTATTGTAGTTGTTAAAATTTTACAATGAAATTGAACTCTTGCCTTTGGCAAACATGCATAGACAATGAAATGTTAGGCTTTCTGGCCGGCGCCGCGGCTCAATAGGCTAATCCTCTGCCTTGTGGTGCCGGCACACTGGGTTCTAGTCCCGGTCAGGGCACCGGATTCTTTCCCGGTTGCCCCTCTTCCAGGCCAGCTCTCTGCTGTGGCCCGGGAGTGCAGTGGAGGATGGCCCAAGTGTTTGGGCCCTGCACCCCATGGGAGACCAGGAGAAGCACCTGGCTCCTGGCTTCAGATCAGCGTGGTGCGCTGGCCACAGCGGCCATTGGAGGGTGAACCACGGCAAAAGGAAGACCTTTCTCCCTGTCTCTCTCACTATCCACTCTGCCTGTCAAAAAAAAAAAAAAATGTTAGGCTTTTTTTGACAAACAGCACTGCACTGACCTAGGGCTGCAACCCAGAGGAAATAATGGGATTACTTCCAGGATTTCTACCTCCACAGTGCTTCGCGATGTATCTCTTGGTGCTCACACTACCAGTTTGACAGAAAAGGAGCCACCTGGGAGCACTGGCTGTGTCGTGAGCACTGGCTGTGTCGTGAGCACTGAGCTAGACGTCTCTTCCACGTGAAACCCAATGCTTACAGCGCTACAAGAGAATTCTTATTTTTTCCACCAGTTCACTGCAGAGCAAGCCATGGGCTAATGGCATTATAGGTTTCCCAAAGCCTATGGAGAGAGAGAGAGAGACAGGGAGAGAAAGGTAGATAGATAAATAGATAGATAGACAGATAGATACGGGGCTATAAGGCAAGTCTGAATTCAACATCAAAGCTTTTTCACTATATGGAATTAATCTGTGAGAGAAAAATGCTTGATAAAAAAGGGCAAATTATACATCTTACAACACTCACTGGTAAGTTACACTTAAAAATCTTTTTTAAAAGATTTATAGATTTATTTGAATGGCAGAGTCACAGAGAAAGAGGGAGGGACAGGGACAATCTTCCAGCACTGGCTCACTGCCCAGATAGCCACAACAGCCAGAGCTGGGCCAGGATGAAGCCAGCAGCCAGGGGCTTCACCAGGGTCTCCCACATGGGTGTCAGGGGCCCAAGCACTTAGGCCATCCTGTGCTACTTTTCCCAGGCCATCAGCAGGGAGCTGGATTGGAAGTGGAGCAGCCAGGACATGAACCAGCATCCATATGAAATGCTGGCAGCATAGGCAACAGCTTTACCCACTACACCACAACGCCAATCCCACACTTAAAAATTTTAAAAAGGGATTCATTTTATTTGAAAAGCAGAGAGAAAGAGAGATCTTTCAACGGCTGGTTCACTCCTCAAACGCCTGCAACATCTGGGGCTGGGGTTAAGTGAAGACAGGAGCCGAGAACTCCACCCAGGTCTCCCCATGGGCCCTAGTCAGGAAGCTGGATCGCAGCAGAGGTGGGACTCCATCCCAGGTCTCCCACATGGGCCCTAGTCAGGAAGCTGGATTGCAGCAGAGGTGGGACTCCACCCAGGTCTCCCACATGGGTGGAGGGGCCCTAGTCCTTGGGCCATTACCTGCTGCCTCCGGGGTGTATCAGCAGGAAGCTGGATCGCAGCAGAGGTGGGACTCCATCCCAGGTCTCCCACATGGGTGGCGGGGCCCTAGTCCTTGGGCCATTACCTGCTGGATCGCAGCAGAAGTGGACTCCACCCAGGAACGATGTCCTGGGATGCAGGTGTCCCAGGCAGTGCCACCACACCGGTCTCTACATTTCACCAAACAAAAGCCGCGACACTCGTTCTGAACGCCCTCCTCAGGATGTCGCCGAGCGCTGTGCAGGATTCTTCAGTCTGCACGGCCACAGTGGAACTCACAATCCGCCGAGACGCAGCACGTGCGACACGGCTGGCAAACAGCTCAGGTAATGACAGTGAAGTGTGAGAGCACGAGCTAGAGAGCTCTGGCGACAAGCCTGGGAGAGGAGGGGCGGGGCTGGTCTGGAGCCCTGGGGTCACACCTGAGGGGCTCACAGAAGATTCTACATAAAGGGAGACGTTCGGGAAAGCTCTGTGCGGGTGCTGTGCAGAGCGACGTCACGGAGCAGCCGTGCCTCAGCCCACAGGACCACAGGGACTGGCGTGAGTGGCAGCTGAGAGACCGGAACGGTGATGCCGCGTGCCAGGTCAGTGTGCCCTTCCTGGCATCTGCTCACTACAGTAAGAGCTAACCAGCGACACAGACACGAGACGGGCTCAGCTGCCTGCCGGTGTGCTCTCCAACAACAGAGGGATTCTAGATTCTTCTAACGTAATTCATGGCTCCAGGAAGTGGGTCTGATCTTGGCATGAGAAAGCTGCTCATTGTCAAAGTTAAAAATATTTTTATGTCTCTTTTTTTGCTATCCTCAAATGACCAGTTTTCCAAGAAAAAGGGTGCCATATTTATCAGAATCTCTGTAATGAAAATGTCAATAAAAATAATGTATTCCCATTATGACACGCGTGAACTCTCACAATCATCTTCAGTACGGCAAAACTGCTTTTTACAAAGAGGCCCAAAGTATCATGTTCCTAAATTACGGTCGGACAAGGCAGAGAGCTCTTTCCAAACGTGTTGTGCACGGGCAGCGTAACAAAGCCTCTTCCATGCGTGCAGGGCACACACCTGGCACAGGGAGCGGTTCTTCACTGGATGAAGTATCAGTATCATTAATTCAGCCCCAAACAGGATTATGAAATCAAACCACAGGAAACAATTCAGGACAATCTTCGTCTCAGGCATCAACTTTCAATTCCAATGGCTTGTTTGAACTCATGGTTTTGTGGTTCCAACAGGTCATAGAAAACTTTGCTTTTATCAAAACAGTCTCTAATATAAAGTAGATCTTCAACAGAATAGTTATCATCTTTTCCAGTCCAAACAGTCAGGCTGTACCTGTATCCAAATACAGCAGAATTGTAACGTTAAAAGTCACAGTAAAACGAAGATGAGCAATTCCAGCCCAAGACGACCCCTGTGTGGTAGCTCGATCACACAGGTGAACAAAATCGTCAGCAGTGGTGTAACTGTACTCCCCGTTTACTCCTTCATCAGCGTCACAGGGGTGAGACCAGGGAACTACGGAACTGCTGTCAGGATTACAGGGGTGCTACAGGACTTTAGGGACCCAGACTGAGCGCGGGAACGGCTCAGATGCTGGGGAAGAAAATGAAGAGCACGCGCTGCTGGATCAGGAAGTCTCTCCCTCCAGACAAAAGTCACAGCCATGCTCCGGGTCTGCTGTGCAGCCGGGCAGAGTGGGGAGCACACGGGACGACAGTGAGGGCTGGAGAATGCCACCGACATCCCGCCCACAGTCACTCACAGCGGCCCCGCCAGCCCTGTTGGGCTTTCTGTAAAAGATACAAACCAAACAAACTCAGATCCACTTCTAGAGTGAAAAAAGACTGCATGCACACTTTGATGGCTGTGAGAATACGTTCGGAATGTTAGTGCTCTAAACTGGAACTGCCCTTGCTTCTGGGGACACTATGACTGTGGCATCAGAGCTGGGGAGCACGGGCTGTCGCTCTTTCACGTGCACTTGTCAGACTCCAGGGGGCTCCGCAGAGCACTTCTGGAGCCGCGATGAGCAAGCGCCCTCCCGGTTACTGACGTTACTGACGCATCTCGCTCTGTGCGTGGTGACCCCACCCTGGAGACCAGAGGCCGCAACTCTGGGTTTCCTCCCACATCAGTGACACTGTAGACTCGACAAACCAAAGAGAATTTCAAACAACAGCTGAGAATGCAGAAAAGAGAAAGTGAACACGAGTTCTGAAACACGCACTCTCAGTTAAAATGCACTTTTTTTTTTTTTTTTTTTTTTTACAGGCAGAGTGGACAGTGAGAGAGAGAGACAGAGAGAAAGGTCTTCCTTTGCCGTTGGTTCACCCTCCAATGGCCGCCGCGGCCAGCGTGCTGCGGCCGGTGCACCGCGCTGATCCGATGGCAGGAGCCAGGTGCTTCTCCTGGTCTCCCATGGGGTAAAATGTACTTCTTATGACTTTATCTGGGCGCATGGCGACAGGTGGGAGCACTGGGGTTAAGAGAGTTTCCTGTGTTATTCTGCCTCTTTCAGTATCCCTTCCATTGTATTTAAATTGAAATGGGGTGGGGGGCTGCTGTGGTGTAGCGGGTAAAGCTGCTGCCTGCAGTACCATGTGGGTGCTGGTTCTGGTCCCGGCTGCTCCACTTCTGATCCAGCTCTATGCTATGGCCTGGGATGGCAGTAGAAGATGGCCTAAGCCCTTGGGCCCCTGCACCCATGTGTGAGACCCGGAAGAAGCTCCTGGCTCCTGGCTTCGGATCAGCACAGCTCTGGTCGTTGCGGCCAACTGGGGAGTGAACCAGCGTATGGAAGATCTCTCTCTCTCTCTCTCTCTCTCTTTCCTTCTCTCTGTGTAACTCTGACTTTCAAATAAATAAATACAACTTTAAAATAAAAACTGAAATAGGAAAACCAAAATTGCATAACAGTAACTTAAATATTCATTCATATCAATCTATAGGTTTCATTTTTTAAACCACTTTTTAATTTTTAAATTTTTAACCATTTTTTAAACCACGCAAAAAAAGGGACATAAAATGAGTGCAGGTTTTAACACAATATGGTGAAGTCCACTGTAACCCAAGCAGAGGCACAGCACAGCCAGCACCACACGCCCTGGGTGTCACTGCCCCAGCCCTCAGCTCCTCCCCACCCCAAGTCCTCCTCCCACCCCAACAGCGAGGCGGACGGCGTGGGGCGGCCCTTGTGCAGCATCCTGGGGAGGCATCGTGCAGAGTGCCTGGCCTGCAGCTCAGCTTCCTGCTCTGCCTCCTCATGAACTGATGAGCACAGAGAACACATGAGACAGCATGAAGCCTGCCAGCTGAAGAACACGGCGAACAAGAGGATCCACCCCAGGGAGGAGGACACAGAGAGGAGTCACCCAGGGAGGAGGACACAGGGAGGAGTCACCCCAGGGAGGAGGACACAGGGAGGAGTCACCCCAGGGAGGAGGACACAGGGAGGAGTCACCCCAGGGTGGAGGACACAGGGAGGACTCACCCCAGGGAGGAGGACACAGAGAGGAGTCACCCCAGGGAGGAGGACACAGAGAGACACGTCGCGTGCTCTCCCTTCCACGTCAGGCTCACGAAAGCAGAGGGCAGCGTGTGGTTCTGAGGGGCTGCGGGACTGGGTACCGTGGGAGGCGCTTGTCCACGGAGGAAGCTCCCTGTGTGGCAGGGGTCCGCCCTGGAGACCGAACGTAACCCAACACCTAATGGGGCAGCGTTCGTGGCAGTCACAGCAGTGCTTGGCACATGAGCACCCACTTTTGAGTCCCAGCCCCACTCCCAGTTCCAGCTTCTTCCTGATGTGCACTCTGCGATGCAATGGGTGACGCTCTAGGAGCTGGATTCTGCCACCCATGTAGGAAACCTGGATCAAGTTTAGTGGAATGAACCAGTGGATGGGAGATTCTTTCTCTCCCTCTCTCTCTCTCTCAAATAAAAAAAAAATTTTAAAGTAATAATTTCACAATGTGTCTCAAAACATCACACTGTTTGCCTCATGTATAGATGGCTTTTCCTTGCTAATCACAGCTCACCAGACTTGGGGGGCACAGAGGCAGGCATGAGGGAAAGGAGAGTGTGGCCTCAACTCTTTTCTCTCGCCGGCCAGAGTCAACCTAGCACAGAAGCCAGGCCGACCTCCTAGGAACAGCCGGCCAGCAGGATGGAGGGGCCCGGCCCAGACACCGCACAGGCCCTGCACTCTTGAAAGCTTTGCAAGGTATGAGAGAGAGACAATCTCGCTGAAGCTACTGCCAATTTAGATTTCTGCTCTTACAGCCAAATAGCATTGTAATCCAATTCTTAAACTCATACAATTATCCACTTATTTAGCCATTAATAAAAGCTTAGTAAACTTTACAAAGTAGACATTATCTGATTCCAATATAATACAGTTAGAATTCATTAACAAAGTCAAAATAAATATAAGTCTACCACTTACATGCCTAACATGATTTAACTTTTAAAGAGAAAAAAGTCAAACTGCAGAATCTCTAAAAATGAACAACAATGAAAACCTACAAAAGGGTGCCATCTCTGTGTCCTAGTGAGTGAAGCCGTCACCTGCAGTGCCAGCATCCCATATGGGTGCCGGTTCAAGTCCCGCCTGCTCCACTTCCCATCCAGCTCTCTGCTATGGCCTGGGAAAGTAGCAGAAGATGGCCCAAGTGCTTGAGCACCTGCACTCACAGGGGAAACTGGGAAGAAGCTCCTGGCTCCTGGCTTTGGATCAGCCAGCTCTAGCCACTGCGGCCATTTGAGAAATAAACTAGCAGATGGAAAACTTCTCTCTCTCTCTTTCTCTCTCTCTGCCTCTCTGTAAATCTGCCATTCAAATAAATAAACAAATCTTAAAAAAAAAAAAACCTATATAAGAACAATGGGATACAGCTAAAACAGTGGCCAGGGACAGGACTAAAGTCTTATATTAATCAATACAATGAGTAAACATAAACGTATTACCAAATACACATGTGGAAATACGGGGGAAAAAAAGCACCCAACACACAGAGAAATATCAGAAATTACAGCAGAAAATACAAAAGACAGAAATTGAGTCAGAAACCAGAAAAATAAATAAACCCAAGAGGTGACTTTTAATCAGAAATCGGAACCCCTATGTGACAAACATACACACACACAGTGTGATGAGCACAGTGTCCTCAGAGACCTGTCTACCGGGGAAGTCAACCTCGGCTCGCTGAAACTCACTGCTGTTCGGAGGTGCTAACCAACACAGCCGGAAAAGAGAAAGCAACTGGAGATGTATGTGCAAGAGTCGACAAGGAAGAGACAAAATGAACAGTGCTTGAAGAGAATATAATATTTTTGCTTAGAAAATTCAAGAAAACCAACTGAAAGACCATTAAAAAAATAAAAGAATTTAGCATAAACATTTGGGTGCAATATCAACCTGAATAAATCAATCTTAATCTATATGTATATAAATTATCACATGATATTTCATGTATATAAAATAACCAGTTCAAGATATAATGACTGAAAGCAAAGGACCTATTTAAAACAGCCCTGTTACATGGCTAGAAATAGGCCTCATGAACAACGTAAGATCTCTAAATAGAGGAACACAAACACACTTTACAAATCCATATTTAAAGTGGTCTTGGAAAAGACAGCTCAGTGTTGTAAGCCTATCAATTCTCTTTTTGTTAATTTAAAATATTCTCCCAAAAAACAACAGGCTGTTCAGTTTTAAAGTTCCAGCAGAAGAGGAAGACAAGCGAAACACAGCCAGCGCACTGTTTGGAGCACGGGCCCGACCATGCAAACACAGCGATGTCAAAACCCAGCACTGTCACATGAAGAATTTCTCCTTTCTCCCTCCAGTAAGCAGGCCTCAGTGGGCGGGGTGCCTGCTCCCACGGGCATCCGTCTGGCTCCTGTGCTGAGCCCTAGCATGTTCTCATCCACATCCGTGGACGCTGAGTACCCCAGCACCCTCCAGCTCCAGCCCACCAACGCTGAAAGAGCAAAGTCAAGGGGCCGGTGCTGTGGCACAGTGGGTTAAGGCCCCAGCCTGCAGTGCCAGCATCTCATGTGGGCACCGGTTCAAGTCCCGGCTGCTCCACTTCTGATCCAGGTCCCTGCTAGTGCATCCGGGAAAGCAGCAGAGGATGGCCCAACTCCCTGGGTCCCTGCACCCTTGTGGGAGACCCAGAGGAAGCTCCTGGATCCTAATCGGCCCAGCTGTGGCCACTGAGGCCATTTGAAGAGTGAACCAGCAGATGGAAGACTTCTCTGCCTCTCTGTAACTCTGCCTCTCAAATAAATAAATAAATCTTTTTTTAAAAAAACTTCTCTGGAAGCTGCCCCTCTTTGTCACACAGGATGCTCACTCCTGCCGACACCACTTACGCAGCACGGGACGCTTTTAAGACTGCTTAATACTGCCTTCTGTAACGAATTCTTCTGTATTTAAAACCCAAAACCACCTCTCCAGGAAGGCCCTGGCTTCCAATGCCCGCTGAGGTGATAGGCTGCCTGCATGCATTTGGCTGTCCATGTAATAGACACCCACTAAATCTCTGCTGTGCCAAGCACGGCTCCAGGTACTGAGGACTGGGCAGCTCCACATGCCATTTAGCAAGCTGCAGACGACGGGAGCCACTCGCAGAAGCAGGCCAAGCCGGGGGCCTCCGGTCTGCTCAAGGGGAACCCTCTCTTCAGGTTTTATCATTTCAGTCACTACTGTCAGTCTAACTACCTCGGGGCTTTCCCCCTAATTCTATAAAAACAAATTGATTCTTCCTTCTTATCTCAAACAGTGTAAGCAGCTCTAGCAATCTAAGGTTAACAACAATGTTTTACAGTTTTTTCCCTAAAGAATTAGAAAACTCTAAAATTAGAAATGTCATAGGATAGATACACTTCTGTAAGCCAGTAAAATGACCGAGGAAGCAGGTACGTTCAAACAGGGGCCGGTGCTGTGTGGCACAGTGCAGTAAACCTGTACTGGACTGCCAGGTCCAGTCCCAGCTGCCCTACTTTCCAAGCCCCTGGGAAGGCCATGGAAGAAGCTCAAGTGCTTGGGCCCCTGTCCCTCCTGTGGGGAGCAGGATGGAATTCCTGGCTCGGCTCTGGCTGTTGTGGCCATTTGGGGAGTGAGCCAGTGGATCAAGAGTTCTCTCTGTTGATCCACCCAGCCTTATAAATGAATGAATGGGCCGGCGCCGTGGCTCACTAGGCTAATCCTCCGCCTTGTGGCACCGGCACACCGGGTTCTAGTCCCAGTCGGGGTGCCGGATTCTGTCCCGGTTGCCCCCCTTCCAGGCCAGCTCTCTGCTATGGCCCGGGAGTGCAGTGGAGGATGGCCCAAGTGCTTGGGCCCTGCACCCCATGGGAGACCAGGAGAAGCACCTGGCTCCTGGCTTCGGATCAGCGCGGTGCGCCAGCCGTAGCGCGCCGGCCGTGGCGGCCATTGGAGGGTGAACCAACGGCAAAAAGGAAGACCTTTCTCTCTGTCTCTCTCTCACTGTCCACTCTGCCTGTCAAAAATAAAAATAAATAAATAAATAAATAAATAAATAAACAAATAAATAAATGAAGAGATCTTTAAAAGAACCAAAGCGGACAGGACGGTGTTTGGCCCAGGGGTTAGGACCCCCACCTCGCATCCTGGGTGCTTGGGTGTGATTCCTGGCTCACACGAGAAGGCAGCAGGCGATGGCTCAGGCGACTGGGCCCCTGCTACCCTCGGCTTTGGCATCGAGGCTGCTGCAGACATCTGGGGAGTGAACCAGCAGATTGGAGCGCCCTTTTTTTGTTCATCTGTCTCTTTCTCTGCCTCCCAAATAAATTTTTAAAAATATTTTAAAATAAATAGATGTGTTAGTTTTGTACTGGGCTTTTATTTTAGTTACTATGAAAAACATATCCATCCAAGAACTGAATTTCACAAAAATATACTTAATCTCAAACCTTTGCTATTATTATGAAGTTAAATAAAATGCATTCTTGGGGCCAACACTGTGGTGCTATGGGTTAAAGCTACAGCCTGCAGCACTGACATCCCATATGGGTGTCAGTTCAAGTCTTGGCTGCTCCACTTCTGACCCAGCTCCCCGATAATGCACCTGGGAAAGCAGTGGAGGATGGCCCAAGTGCTTGGGCTCCTGCACCCAATGTGGGAGACCTGGAAGAAGTTCCTGGCTTTAGCCTGGCCCAGACCAGTTGCCAGCCATTTGGGGAGTACCAGTGGAAAGAAGATCTCTCTCCCTGTCTCTCCTTCTAACTCTGCTTTTCAAAACAAATAAATAAAATCTTTTAAAAAATACATTCTAGGGGCCGGCGCCATGGCGCAGTAGGTTAATTCTGCCTGTGGCGCTGGCATCCCATATGGGCACGGGTTCTAGTCCCGGCTGCTCTTCTCATCCAGCTCTCTGCTGTGGCCTGGGAAGGCAGTGGAGGATGGTACAAGTACTTGGGCATCTGCACCTGCAAGGGAGACCAGGAGGAAGCTCCTGGCTCTGGGCTTTGGATCGGCACAGCTCCGGCTGTTGCAGCCATTTGGGGAGTGAACCAACGGAAGGAAGACTTTTTCTGTCTCTCCCTCTCACTGTTTAACTCTACCTCTCAAATAAATAAATGAATAATCTTTAAAAAAATACATTCTAATGCTAATTTAAAATAGGTATGGTATTAAAACACAAACGTCTGTCTTTGTACATCAATAATATCACAATGAAATGAATTCTAAGGTTTTTCCACTAATGGTAATTATGAGTGTTCTTTCACCACACATTCTCTTCTAGCTCCTTCAAGTATGCATTTAAAAGATGGACTGAACGAGAAGGTTCTCGAGAAGTATCTGTATTTAACAGCCCAACAGAGGGAGCTGTTGAGCCTAGTGGCTGGGAAACTCATTTTCCACTTCCAGTTCTGGCTCCTGACTCCAGCTTCTTGCTAATGCAGAGCCTTGCAGGCATCAGAAGTAACCGAGTTGCTGCCACCCCTGTGGGAGACCTGGGTTACATTCCTGGCTTCTGGTAACGGCCTCAGCCCAGTCCCAGCCATCCTGGGCATTTAGGGAGTGAACCAGTGGCTGGGAACTCTTTGTCTCTCTGCCTCTCAAATACACACACACACACTCCACAGAGACCTCCAGGCTCCAGGCAATTCTATTTCTACGTACAACTAGATGAAAGGATTTTCACACAGGGAAGTAATTACATTTATATACACACAGAAGTAAAGGTTGTGACAATACATGACTAAAAATGATATGATTAAAACATTTAGCTCATAAAGGGGAACAAATGACAAAATACAATAAACATTATCTGGCATCCTTTTTCTCACTCGTGATTCATGAAATATAGTAGTATTACAACTAATATGTATTTCTTTTTTTAAGTTAAAAAAAAAAAAAACTTCTTTGGGAGGCAGACAGACAGACAGAGACAGAGAGCGCTCCCACCTCCTGGTCAGCCCTGAAAATGCTCACACAGCCAGCACTGGGCCAGGCGGAGTCAGGAACCAGGACTGCAACTGAGGTCTCCCCGAGGGTGGTGAGCATCCCTCGTCACCTCTCCCACTGCACCGGCGGGGAGCTGTAGCCAGGAGCTGGCGCTGGGAACTGAACCCAGGCACTCACACATGGGCTGCATCTTAACTGCTCCACCAACCAGCACTCCTGTAACTAACATTTCTCTTCATAACCCAAGACAAAATCCCAAAATGCTTTTTAAATAATTTTTAAAGATTAAGTTTTGTTTGTATGCCTAATGCATTACACTACCAATATTGTAAGTATTGGTAATGCATGAGGAATTTTATTAAAGTTATTAAAAAAATCCCTTTCCCAACAATATGAAACCTTTACCTTATTGTGAAAATATGGGTCAAGGGCTACTAAACTTAATTTTTCTGCTATTCTGTTATTCAGCTTCAGAACAAAGGGTACCAACAATCTTAATCCTTCTCACTGTTCTTAAACATGCATCATCTCTTAAGATATTTCATTATGAAAAAGTGCCTGGCTTCAGGCCTCTCACTGTTATAATACCTCAGGAAATCCTCGCACCTACGCCTCTCTGCTTCCATGAGCTCCCACTGGCAAGGGGAGCCCTCGCCGGTGAAATTCAGGGGTGCACATCAGATGTCTTGCCAAGAAGTTACTGGCCAGCTCACACCACTGCCGGTAGTGCATGCCTGTCTGCTTCTCCCACCCGTCCCAGCACGGCTGGCCAGCAGCCTGGCCCTCTTCTGGACGACTTACAAGAAGTGTTTTGTGCTAGAATGCTCTGTATCTGTCTGACATGCATGCTGAGGGTACTACTTTACCAGAAGCTCTATGTATTCCAGTGTACCAAAATTCCCTTGTACAGCTTCTCAGTTCTGTTCTTACTAAGAAAGGTTTTACCTATCCAGAAACTACATTAAAAAAAAAATCACCCCTTGTTTTTTTTATGCACCTACTGCTTGATGTTCAAGTTTCTAATGCACCTGAATTTATTTTTCAGGAAGGACTAGGGGAGGATGCTGCAGTCAGCGCCAATGATCTGGAATGCCTGTGTCTTTCTACATAAATTTCCATAATAGATTTCGGTTTATTTATGGATTGTCCTTGCTGTTCTACTGACTATTTAAAAATATAGTACCACAATGGCTTTATATCTGTGTTTTTATATTTTCACATTTAATAGGTGGTCCAACTAATTTTATTACATAATAATTTTTATTAAATAATAAAATGTTTACATAGAAAAGATCTCTGAAATTATGATGAAATTAGCAAAAGCTGTTTTACCCACGCATTACTTTTCGTGAATTTGTGACTTCATGAAAAGATGCCATTTCCTAGGCGCCTTCAAAGAACAAAAGCTTCTGTGTAGAGTGGGTGAAGGACGTGCTGCCAGCCCGTCACAGCTCACAGGGGCCACAACACGGCGATGGCACGGGTACACTCACACAGGACCCACTCCCCCTCGGGCTCTGTCGTTCTCACACACACACTGCACTCCCGTGAGCAACCACACACCGTGTGCTGTCAAGCCAACACATACCTGTCTGATTTCTCCAACAGCCAGCGTAGCTCGGGACAGGACTGCCTGACCAGGGCCACGCGCACTGGGAACGACACCGGCTGCTGGAGCTCACGGCACAGGTGTTCCATCTGCCTCACCATCGGCCAGCTGTACCCTGAGAAGAAGACAAGACAGGGCTCATTCCCAAGTGCAATCCTCAAGTCAATTAAAGAAACTCAACCACCTAGCAAAAGGCTAACCCACAGGGGATTCATAAGTTCATAGGCAACTCACAGAAATTCCCACTGAATTCAGAGTGAACCAAAACACTTAATGCAATAAAGCACTTCGAGTGGGAAGTGCATATTAAAAGAATCACGACAGGGCTGGCGTTAGGGTGTAGTGGGTGAAGCTGCTGTCTGTGGTCCGGTATCCCACATGGGTGCCAGTCAAGCCACCGCTGCTCCACTTCTGATCCAGTTCCCTGCTAATGCGCCTGAGAAAGCAGCGAAGGAGGGCCCGAATGTGGCCACCTGGAGAGTGAACCAGCAGATGGAAGCTTTCTCTACCTCTCCCTCCCTCTTTAACTTTGTCTTTCAAGTAAATAAATAAATTTTTTGAAAGGCAGAGTTACAGAGAGAAAGGAACAGGCACACACACACACACACACAAAGACAGAAAAAGAGAGCGAGAGCAAGAGCGAGAGCGAGAGAGAGAGAGAGAATTTTCCATCCACTGGTTCACTCTCCAAATGCTGCAACAGCCAGGGCTAGAGAGAGAGAGAGAGAGAGAGAGAGATAGGTATCTTCCATCTGGTGGTTCACTCCTCAAATGGCTACAACAGCCAGGGCTGGAGCAGACCAAAGCTAGGAGTCAGGAACTTCTTCTGGATCTTCCACAGGTGCAGAGGCCGAAGCACTGGCACCATACTATGCTGTATTCCCAGGCGTATTAGCCAGGAGCTGGACTGGAAATGGAGCAGTCAGGACATGAACCGGCACTCATATGGGAGGCCATCGCCACAGGTGAAGGCTTTGCCCACTCAGCAACAAAGCTGGCCCAAATTTTTTTTTTTTTTTAAATTTCTGAAATCTACTTCTGTATTTTTGTACTTTAAAGATTCATTTATTTATTTGAAAGTCAGAGTTACACAGAAAGAGAAGGCGAGGCAGAGAGAGAGAGAGAGAAAGAGAGAGCGAGTACTTCCAACTGCTGGTTCACCATCAAAATGGCTGCAACAACTAGGGCTAGGGAAGTTGAAGCCAGGAGCCAGGAGCTTCATCTGGGTCTCCCACATGGGTGCAGGGGCCCAGGGACGTGGGTCATCTTCCACTGCTTTCCCAGGCCACAGCAGAGAGCTGGATCAAGCCAGGACAAGAACCGGTGCACACCCATATAGGATGCTGGTGCTGTAGGCCATGGCTTAACTTGCTGTGCCACAGCACCAGCCCCTAAATAAATTTTTATATATACATAGTTTGGGGCCGGTGCTGTGGCGTAATAAGTTAAACCTCTGCCTGTAGTACCGGCACCCAATATGGGCACTGGTTCATGTACCAGCTACTCCTCTTCTGATCCAGCTGTCTGCTAATGGCCTGGGAAGGCAGTGGAAGATGGCCCAAGTGCTTGGGCCCCTGCACCTATATGGATACCTGGAAGAAGCTCATGGCACCAGATCAGCCCAGCTCCAGCTGTTGTGGACATTTGGGGAGTGAACCAGCAGATGGAAGATTCTCTGTTTTTCCCTCGCTGTAACTCTGCCTCTCTAAAAAATAAGCCATTCTTTTCTGACCAGTATATTCTTGAATTAACTACACACACACACACACACACACACACACACAGAGTACTGGTCAGAAAAGAACGGTTTACAAAAATCCTAAGTGAATCTCTTAGTTGAGCAGCTAAATTCCAGATGAAAAGAAATGTTCTGGGGCTGGCACTGTGGTGCAGTGGGTTAACACCCTGGCCTGCAGCGCTAGCATCCCATATGGGTGCCAGTTCGAGATCCGGCTGCTCCACTTCCAATCCAGCTCTCTGCTGTGGCCTGGGAAAGCAGCAGAAGATGGCCCAAGCCCTTGGCCCCCGCACCTGCGTGGGAGACCCAGAAGAAGCTCCTGGCTCCTGGCTCCGGATTGGCGCAGCTCCAAACATTGCAGCTAATTGGGGAGTGAACCATTGGATGGAAGACCTCTCGCTCTCTCTCTGACTCTCCTCTCTCTGTGTAACTCTTTCAGATAAATAAATAAATCTTTTAAAAAAAAAAACAGAAATGTTCTGCTTTACTTTAAAATTTGGAAAGTTATATTATAATTACAAAAGGGTATTGCTAACAGAAGCTAACCTTACATAATGATAAATGCTGGAGAGAGAAGCAGACTGGACACTTGTCCCAATAGACACTACCCAACCAGCCCAAGACTGAAGGTCGGGCAATGTTAGATTAAACAGCCATGGCGTGGAGGTTGGGCTCACTCAAGAGGAACTAGATGGCTCCTAGTTCAGGGCCAGCACATGGCACATGGGTTAAGTCATGCCCTGCAAAGACTGGCATCTCATACGGGTGCCAGTTTGAATCCGGCTGCCGCACTTGCTATCCAGCCCCCTGCTAATGCACCTGGGAAAGCAGCAGAGGATGGCCCAAGTGCTTGGGCCTCTGTACCCACGCAAGAACCAAAATGAAGCTCCTGGCTCCTGCCTTGGCTGCTGTGACCACCTGGGAAGTGAACCAGTGGATGGAAGATCTCTCTGTGTCTCTCTCTCTCTGTAGCGCTGGCTTTGAAATAAATAAATCTTTACAGAGAGAGAGAGTGAGATCTTCCAACTGCTGGTTCACTACCCAGATGGCTGTGATGGCCAGGGCTGAGCCTGGTCAAAGCCAGGATCCAGGAGCCTCTTCTGGGTCTCCCACAAGGGTAGCAGGAGTTCAAGCACTTGAGCCCATCTTTCAGGCACATTAGCAGGGAGCTGTATCAAAAGCAGAGCAGCTGGGACTTGAATCGGTGCCCATATGGGATGCTGGCACTGCAGGTGGTAGCTTATTCACTGCTCCACAATGCAAGCCTCTTCAAATGTTTTAAATTATATGCTATATTATTTAATGAAACTAGCAGAAATTTAAATGATTAGACAATCAAAACAGTGCTAAGTTAAAGCATAATCTTTCCCTCATTTATTGACCTAGGGGTCCACAGCCTATCTCCACTCACTACAGAGCACTGGACAGTAAAGGCACCTCGAGGGTCAACATGCCCACGTCCCATACTGCAGGACCTGGCTCTGGCTCCTGGCTCTGGCTCCAGCCTCCTGCTAAGGTAGATTCTGGGAGGCAGCAATGAGGGCTCAACTGGTTGGGTCCCTGCCACCCACGTGGGAGACCCACATGGAGCTCCCAGCTCTACTGCAGGGCTTCTGGGTAGAGAACCAGAGAATGAGGGCTCCCTGCCTCTCAAGTTTAAAAACAAAGAAACTTTACACCTGAAAACAAAGTAAATAAGTAGAAATGAATGCCTGGGACACGGTAAGAAAGAGGCTCCTGTCTCCACAGGCTCCAGGTACCCTTTTGGGTCACTGCTTTCACATGTGGACAGAAGCCCTCCACGCTGGGCGCCTTACTGGCTGCTGACCTGGGAACCACTGCCCAGGGGTGTGTGAAGGAGCACGGGGGATCCAGCGGCACAGAAGCTCCACCCTGGAGAGAAGCTGTCAGGAGGCCGTGAGCAGGGGGGAGCATCTCCTGGTCTCCCGTGCCCTTGTCCAGCCGAAAGGGAGCCTCCACCTGCAGCACCAAGGATCCAGCCGGCCACACCTGGAGCACCTTCAACACCCAGGGAGCACAACTCTCACTCTGGCTGTGCCACCTGACAAGCTTTTAGTACGTCTTCATCCCTCACCGGACAGGAGTTTCCCCAGGAATGGTCACAAGGGAACAGAGTCCAGAATATTCTACAAGTTCAAAGAAACCAGGTCGGGATGCGGTCAGTGTCTGGAAAGAGGCAGCCTGGGGCCCGCAGTGAGCACGCGGGCACAGCGCCACCTGAGACAGCAGAGGGAGGGTCACCCCCCACCCCCGCTCTGCCGTGGGGCCGGGCCATTCTCCCTGTTGGGCTCCCGTGGGGCCGGGCCATTCTCCCTGTTGGGCTCCCGTGGGGCCGGGCCATTCTCCCTGTTGGGCTCCCGTGGGGCCGGGCCATTCTCCCTGTTGGGCTCCCGTGGGGCCGGGCCATTCTCCCTGTTGGGCTCCCGTGGGGCCGGGCCATTCTCCCTGTTGGGCTCCCGTGGGGCCGGGCCATTCTCCCTGTTGGGCTCCCAGTTCTGTGGGGTTGTTGTGACTTGACTGTTAATGATGCTGTTTATGTCTCACTGCAGGCTACTGTATTAGGGCGGTCACCTTCATTGGCCTTCTCAGCATGCCATCCCGTCGTCCAGCCCAGGGACAAGGTCACATCCGGGAAGAAGGACGTCACAGTGTCTATGAACGGCCTGGCCTCCACCGCTCGGCGGTCCGCGTTGGGCCCGGGGAGCACGTCGGCGTTGATCCACACGGGCCGCTGCAGACGCTCCTCCACCCCTTTCAGGAGCGCCATGGAGGGCGCCACGGCTGCCAGACTGAAACACAGCGCAAGTCAGCGGGAGGCACACCCACGGGGAGAGGGAAGGGACTTCCGGGCTGGTGGTCCCAGTGCTTCCGAGTTCACAACAAATAACATAGCACAGTGCCTGACTCAGATAAAAAGGAGGATCGCTGAGCACGAGGGGAAGAAGCTGACCAATGCCCGATCTCAAGGTGGGGTCTCCGCTCACAGTTCCTGAGGGTGCACGTGTGAGTGATGCCACCGCACACAAAGTCGAGGTTTCAAATCTCCACATGGGCACTTTTCCTTTTTTTTTTTTTTTGACAGGCAGAGAGGACAGTGAGAGAGACAGACAGAGAGAAAGGTCTTCCTTTTGCCATTGGTTCACCCTCCAATGGCCGCTGCGGCCGGTGCACCGTGCTGATCCGATGGCAGGAGCCAGGTGCTTTTCCTGGTCTCCCATGGGGTACAGGGCCCAAGCACTTGGGCCATCCTCCACTGCACTCCCTGGCCACAGCAGAAGAGGGGCAACCGGGACAGAATCCGGTGCCCCGACCGGGACTAGAACCCAGTGTGTGGGTGTCGCAAGGCGGAGGATTAGCCTAGTGCGCCACGGCGCCGGCCAGCATGGGGACTTTTCCATGAAGCAACCCAAGAAAAGGCACAAATACTCACTTATCAGGGAGTGTCTACCCTGGTAACACATGCAACATACCTAAACGCCGCCAGTGCACCTGTACGAGCTACTCAAGTGCACCCTCAAGACCCTGGAGAAGAGTCACTTTCCCTCCATGCATTCCCGGTGAGGACACATAAACACCTTTCTAAAAGTGACTGAGAAGTCTCCATTCACAATACTGCCTCCATCTTGCATGAGCGCTTTGGTTCTCTTGTACCAAGAACACCTTTTCTGGCAACTAGAGACAGGGACGGTTTGGTCCACTTGGGACAAAAGCAGCCTCAGGCTCTCCTGCCCCATATCTCCTCTGGCTGACACCCACAGACCTGGAATCAAGAAGCAGGGAAAACCCAGAAGCAGTCCACATGTGGCTGGCACCAGCCTCTTCTCGTTCCAGAAGATTCTGATGTTTAAATAACAACAGGTTGTCATCAGCCTATGTAATTGTTACTTTTAAAAAGGTATGCACAGGGGCTGGCGCTGTGTCACAGAAAGCTAAGCCTCCACCTGTAGCACCAGCTTCCCACGTGGGCACTGGTTCGAGTCCCAGCTGCTCCACTTCCCACCCAGCTCTCTGCTGATGGCCTTGGAAAACAGCAGAAGATGGCCTACGTCCTTGGGCATCTGCACCCACGTGGGAGACCCTGAAGAAGATCCTGGTTCCCGGCTTCAGCATGGCACAGTCCTGGTTGCTGTAGCCATTTGGGGAGTGAACTAACGGGTGGAAGACCTGTCAATCTCTCTCTCTCTGTAACTCTCCCTTTCAAATAAATAAAATCTTAAAAAAAAATTATGCACAAACTTGACTGGAAAACCATACTGCTCCTCATAATCTAGTCTTCTGACCCTTTAGGGTCTCTGTTCGTTTCGGAGAAAGTCAGCGTGTAGCAAACACTGTGATGGGAGGCCAGGAATCCCGGAGGCAGAGGATGGCGAAACATTCAGCACTCCCTCACGTGCTTCTACCTGTTCACTCCACTCCTTCTGGGCCTCCCAATTTAAGAAGAGAAACTGCTAATCCCATTCATTATTGGATTAGGTTTACCAGTGAGCAAGTGTGTACTAAAACCAGAGACCAGCTCTCGTCCTGGCCTGTAGCTGTATACTTCTATAGAATTCCAGGCAGCTGGCTCCTGTGACTCCAGACCTTGCTCAGCTGTGAGTCCCTCTGCAACTGCCACGTCCCACGGGGTTCTGAGCTCCCTGCATGGAGCTCCCTGCATGTCTGGATTCTGGTCTGTGGCGCTGTGCGGCTTGGGTGAGACAGCACGGGTCACATGGCAGGGCTCTCAGCCTGGCTGGATGGCTGGCACAGGCTCTGCAGCACTGGTTCTGCGCCTGACAACTTCCAGCCCCAACAGTGCTTTCTCCTCAAACTTGAAAAATTCCACCAGTTCTTAAGTGTCTACCACACACACACACAACGCACCGCACAGTTAAACCTAAGAGTCTGACACACACATCCCGTATTATACATCAACATATTCATTTTCATGAATGTACACTACAGTCCTGATACTTTCCCTTAAAAGAAACGTAACTACAAAAAAACAAAACCTACATTAAAACATAAAGCCTTACTAAGGAACCTAAAGCTTTCTGTTGCAGTTCTTGTGTTACAGAACTTGATGAAATAATTACGTCACAGGGAATAACATCCACCATGATTCCAGCCTAGAAAACTAAAAAAATGCCACATTACTCCAAACTAACCTACAAATGCCATGTGATTCTAACCAAAAAACACCAACAGCCAACATTCTTGATTCTCCCATGTGAGTATCAGGTCCCACAGAAACAACTGCCGCACGATTTGTCAAGACGGCCGTGGGGGGGGGGGGAGTCCTCATCAGAAAGAGCCAAGATGGCCGTCAGGGGGGATGTCCTCACCAGAAAGCCACCTCAAGGTACTCTTCGGTAGGATTTATTTAGGGCCCTGGGAAGGAACACAGACTTCGCAACTACAGATTTATTTTTCCTAAAAAATGGTCTGAATATCAAACCTTTGCCTATCTGTCCTACTTTATTTCATTTACGAATCAGAGACAACATGTACAGGCAACGTGGAGCAGCAGCTAGGATGCCCTTGGGGCGTGTGCACTCCACAGCAGCATGCCGGGGTTTCAGTCCGGCTCTGCTAACGCACACCCTGGAAGGCAGCAGATGATGGCTCAAGTCCTGGGGTCTCTGCCATCCACCTGGGAGACCCCGACTGGGTTCCTGGTTCCTGGTTTCAACTTGACCCAGCCTTGAATATTGTGGGCATTTGGAGAGTGAACCAGCAAATGGAAGATCTCTCTATTTCTCAATCTTTCAAATAAATAAAATTAATTTTTTCTAAAAAGCAGAGAATAAAAAACTCATATTTAAAATGGTAATAAAAATTATATTTTAAAGGAAAATAAGTTCTTTTTATTTATTTCAGGGGCAGAGAAACAGACACATAGAGAGAGGGCTCCCACCCACTGGTTCACCTTCCTAGTGCCCAAAATGACTGTGACTGCCCTGGGCTGCGACCAGGAGCCGGGAACTCCATCCAGGGCCCCCACGAGCGTGGCAGGAACCAGTCACCTGAGCCATCACTTTGCTTCACAGGGTCTGCACTGATGGGAAGCTGGAGCCAGGAACCAAACCCCCGCACTGCGATGGGGGATGTGCCTGCCCCAGGGGGAACAATTCGTGGTCAAACACTGGAGTTTGCTAAAGCTTCAGATACAGTGTGAAAACTGCCATCTTTTACTTGATGTCCTACTAACTTAGAAGCACAAAACCAGAACTACTGGACCGTGACCATGACGTCATCCAGCTGTTCTGACAGAAGAGTGGACGTTCCAGCCAGGCCGAGGGCCTCCACGCCCAGCCATGTGACCACAGCAGGTTACTAACTCCTCCCGCCTCTGCTCTCAGCCGGGAAATGAGAAGAGCAGCAACCTGTCTCCGAGCTCAGCTGTGAGAACCAAGTGGAAAACACCCACAACACTCTTAGAGTGGCGTCTGACACACCGTGTGAGTTCACAGGGCTGCTGGTGTACATCCCTTTCCTTTCAAATATGCTATGAGAAACAAAACAAAAGTAACCCTGCAAGGAAGATCTCTGCTTTAGTGACTCAGGTCTCTCGGGTAGCTGTTAGCACTTGGCCCTGAATGAGGTGACCCGACCTGTGAGAAACAGAACACCGCATCTGGGAACAATTCCAAGGCAACCTACAACAAGCAGAGCACACGGAGAGGCAAGGAGGTCTAACGCTTTACGTCGTCAAGCACTGATGATCAAATGTTTTACTGCTTGGTCCATGGGCTGCCGGACTGGCTCCAGGAGGCTGAGGATGAGGTCCTAGCCCAGCTGTCGGGGCCTAGCTCCCACCCTCAGGAAAATCACTTACTCTCGCTAGGACTTTCTTTGTCACTAAAACGGAACTCAACCACTGAACACTCAACAGGCCTGTTCATCTTAGAACAGCCCTTGAACCTGTAAGTCCTGGCCGATCCAAACTCAGAGACGTCAGGCGTCAGCACACTCACTCATCCACACTATCACGAGGCTTAGAGGCTCACCCAGCCTCGCAACACCCGGCTACAGTCATCTTACTGACCCTACGAGACTCCCACATCTTAATTCAATTTAAGAATATGACTTAGCAGCTCACTGGAGTGCTGGGTTTCATCCCCAGCTCAGGCTCCTGATTCTCACTTCCTGCTGATGCAGACCGGGAGCGGGGGAGGGGGGGCAGTAGTGAGGGCTCAGTAACTAGGTTCCTGCCCTGTGAGAGAACTTGACTGGGTTCCCAGCCTCAAGCTCTAGGCCAGCCCCAGTCACTGCAGTAAACCAGCAGATGGGAGCTACCTCTCTCCCTCTCTCCTCTGCTCCCTCCCTCCCTTTCTCTGTCTCACAAAAATATAAATATTCATTTTATTTATTTATTTTTTAATATTTATTTATTTATTTGAGAGGGAAAATTACAGAGAAAGGGAGAAACAGAGAGAAATCTTCCATCTGCTGATTCACTCCCTGAACGGCTGCAACGACTAGAGCTGGGCCAGTCTGAAACCAGGAGCTGGGAGCTTCTTCCAGGTCTCCCACAGGGTGCAGGGGCACAAAGACTTGGGCCATGTTCTACTGCTTTCCCAGGCCGTAGCAGAGAGCTGGAGGACAAGCAGAGCAGCTGGGACTTGAATTGGTGCCCATTCGGGATGCTGGCACTGCAGGCAGAGGCTTAACCTACTATATTACAGCGCAGACCCAAACATAAAAAATGTTTAAAAAGAGTTATTTTTAATTATCTAGAGATGAGGTAGGTTTGCTACCATCCTGGATTCTAAAAGCAGCCGCCTTCCCAGGACTTAGTATATTCTTGGCTTTATCTATAATTTTTACATTTGCCAAAACTACGTAAGACTTGACATTCAATTTTGCTCTTCATTATCAACGCCTCCAAAACACTATTTTTAAGAAAAAGTTATTGAAGAATTACACGTAATTCCTTTTACAAAGACAGAATCAGATACACATCAACTACCTCAACAAAATGCTCTCAACTCTGAGACAACTTTTAAACCAAAGCAGCATTTTACATTTATCATTCTCTTTAATTACAATGATCACTTACATTAAATTCCTTTATAAAAATTAACTTGGGGGTGCTCGCTTCGGCAGCACCTATTACTAAAAATTAACTTAGGGGCATGGTGAGCAAAGCCACTGCCTGCACTGCTAGCACCCCATGTGGGCGCCAGTTTGTGTGCCGGCTGCTCCACTTCCAATCCAGCTCCCTGCTAATGGCCTGAGAAAGCAGTGGAAAATGGCTCAACTGTTAGGGCCCCTGCACCCATGTGGGAGACCCGGATGAAGCTCTTGGCTTTGGCCTGGCCCAGTACTAGCTCTTGTGGTGTCCTGGGGGGCCCTAGGTCCATTCCTGAAACATAACACAGTGTACAATTCCATTTTCAGTTTGGACAAAGTACAACACAAGGCTTTCAGGCATGGCTCTACATGGCTATTCTTCCCCAAAGGTGTTCTGTAACAACCTGAAAATGTGTACAGATACCTCTTGAAGTCCAGCTTGATGCCTTTACTGCTTTTGGTCACCTCGGCCAGCCACTCCTGGAGGGAATTGTCACTGCTCGTTTCGGGAGGATGGGCCATGACTGGCTGGCTGTGTCCCGATCCATCACTTGCGAGAAGGACGTCAGCCTCGATCATGAGAGCAGGACCTGTCCAAAGGCAAGGACTTGGGTAAGGGCCCGTGAAACGGGGCCGGGACAGCAGGGAGTGGCCGCCCCACACCTGAGGAGGAGAGGAAGAAAAGCAAAGGAACTAGCTACTACATGCCAGGCTCCCCACCAGGCCCTTGACCTTCACAGACGAGCACACACGTATCCAGAAGCTGCCCGACCTCCTCCAGGTCCCGCAGCTCTGAGGCCGTGGCTGGCCTGGAGCCCTCTCCCGGCACCTGGCAAAGGTGCATTTGCACAGGGGCTCCAGAAGGGTCTGCTGACATTCTCCAGGAGGGAAAACTGCATCTGCACCTTCTCAGTCCTCGGCTTAGAGACTAAGGGGACTTCCTGCCCCCGCTTGGGAGTCTTCACCAGAACCTGGTTCTCTGCGAGGTGGGGGCATCCTGCGGCGGCTCTTCCTGAAGCAGGGGGAGCTGAGATCCACGGAGAAGCTCAGGCCCCACGCTCCAGCAACTGTGGAGCTCCTGCCGGGTCCCAGCCGCTCCCAGCCCCCAGTCACGGGAACAGCACGGAGCCCTGGAGTCTGTGGGGCTCACTGGCAATAGGGCAGGGGGTGTCTTGCTAGAGCTCATTGGTCAATCATCCATCACTGCAGTGAGTCTACACTAGACACTGCTACAGGCATCAGGGACTCATGGTCACCAGGACAAGGTCCTCCCCTGCAGGAATAGGGAGGAGCCATCTCCAGCTGCTTCCACGGTACAAGCAGCTCCCTACATACCGGGGCAGGGTGCCAAGAGGCGTCAATTCTTACTTGAGAACGTGGGACTGCAAGGAAGCGTCCTGGCTGCACCGATCATTCAGGCTCCCCCAGGCCTCGGGCCACTCACCGTCTCCCCCTCTCCTGCTGCAGCCCCAACCCTGCACGCCGAGACACGCGCCCTAGCGTCCATCCAGACAGGAAGGAACACACACCCCTGGAGACCGCTTGGTGGACAGAGCCTTGCTTAGTAGCTTAGGTATGAATCCTGCCCATGGCAATCAACTGCAAGTAAGAATACAACGGCTTCATGCACCGTTCAACAGATATTTACTGCACTATGTGGGCTACAAAAATATGCAGAAGGCATGACCCTAATCTTAAAACCCTTACTTAAATCACCGGAACACCTAAGACACTGTCAGCATACAGCAGGGTTTCAAATAAGGCAGGAGAGGGCAAACTGCACCTAGCAAATAATAAAATCCTTCAATTATGCAATTTCTTCATTTTATAAAACTGATTTAATGGCTCTGCCAGCTCAGAATTTACAGTTGGATCACCTGTGTCTGGAACCTGCAAAAATGCCTACATGTCAGACAGGGACTGGAATTAACCTGTTACCCAGAGTACAACGCCAGCGGCCGCCCTGACTTACTGCTCAGTGCCTCCCTCAGCTGCGCCTTGTGGTTGGCTGCATGGTACCACGTGACCTCAGCGCCATCTTCTGCTGCAATCTGGTTCCTTCGCAGGAAATACTGCAGGATATTTTCACTCCAAGACCCTAAAATAACAAGGTTTACATGAAAAAAAAAAAAAACCTCCTTTTTATGAGGTAAAATTTTTATCTTCTAAAAAAATTCTGACGCTTACAATCTATGCACATTTCTGGGGGAACAGTGTGGCATTTCGGTACCTGAACACAAGGCATAATGATCAGTCTGGGGCAGCTGGCCCATTCACCACCCCATGTGCCACTGCTTTGTGTTGGAGACACTCAAAACCCTTCTCCCAGCGATTCCGAAACACACACTTAATGCTGGCCAAGCAGTTATCCTCCTGAGCTGCAGAGCACTGGGAGCTCGCTCTCTCCCCCTCCACCCCAGCACCCCTCAACCACCCTCTTCCCCTCCCTCCCTCCACCCGGGTCTGGTAACCAGGCTAGTGTCTGCTTTTAGGAGATCGGCTTGTTTGGCTTCCACATGTGCGCGCGTGTGGCCTTGTGTGTTCCTGAGTTAGCACAGTGTCCCATGGGCTCAGTCGTGCTGCTGCAGGTGGCAGGATGCCCCTCTGCACGGTGTACACACACCACACTTCGATCACACTCGCTCAGCTGATGCACGGCAAGCTTGGCTTTGCGACTGCTGCTGCAGTTACGTGGGGCACAGACATCTTCTCGACACACTGCTTTTCTTTCCTTTGGAGATACACCCCTCCTGGAACTGCCGCATGTTACGGCGGCTCTATTCCTGGTTGTTCTCAAGAACATCCGTGTTAGTTCCCATATGGCTGTGCTTACCTTCCTACCAGCTGGGTAGGAGACTTCTCCTTTCTCCACATCCCCACCAGCACTTGTTAATTTTTTTTAAAAAAAGATTTCTTTCAAAGGCAGAGTTAGCGAGAGAGGAGGAGACAGAGACAGAGAGATCTTCCATCTGCTGGTTCATTCTCCAAATGGCCACAACAGCTGAGGCTGGGCCAAGCTGAAGCCAGGAGCCCAGAGATTCTTCCAGGTGTCCCACATGGGTGGCAGGGGTCCAAGCACTGGGGTCATCTTCTGTTGCTTCCACAGGTGCATTGGCTGACTCAAAAATGGAGCAGCTGGGACTCAAACCTGCACCTATCTGCAATGCTGGCATTGCAGGCGGTGGCTTAACCCACGGTACCCCAACACCAGCCCCTATTTTGTCTTTTTGATTGTAGCCACTCTACCTGGAGTAAGATGACAGCACACCATGGTTTTCACCTTTATTTCTGATTAGTGATGTTGAACATTTTCTCATATACTGAGTGGTCACTGGAATATATTCCTTTGGGAAATGGCTATTTAGAGCATTTGCTCAATTTAAAATCCGATTTTTGTTGTACCTCATATATTCTAGATATTAGCCCCTGTCGGATGAAAGTCTGCACATATCTTCCCCCTTCTGAAGGTTGCTTGCTTTGTTGTACAGATTTTTAATTTGATGAAATCAATTTGCCTCTGTTGCCAGTGCTTTGAGATCGTATCTAAAAAATCTTTACCCAGACCGATGTCCTTAAGCATGAATGACCCTGTGTTTTCTTCTAATAGTTTCATAATCTTGGGTCTTACATGTAACTCTTTAATTCATTTTGCATATTACACAAAGAACAATGTTGTTTCTTATGGGGTAAAAATGTTTTACAGGCTGGCGCCGCGGCTCACTAGGCTAATCCTCTGCCTGTGGCACAGGCACACCGGGTTCTAGTCCCGGTCGGGGCGCCAGATTCTGTCCCGGTTGCCCCTCTTCCAGGCAAGCTCTCTGCTGTGGCCAGGGAGTGCAGTGGAGGATGGTCCAAGTGCTTGGGCCCTGCACCCCATGGGAGACCAGGAAAAGCACCTGGCTCCTGCCATCGGATCAGCGCGGTGCAACGGCCGCAGCGGCCATTGGAGGGTGAACCAACAGCAAAAGGAAGACCTTTCTCTCTGTCTCTCTCTCTCGCTGTCCACTCTGCCTGTCAAAAAGAAGTTTTACAAGTACACTTGTTGTGTATATTCAAGGTATACACATGATGTCAGGGGATGTGAACAGACGGTAAAAGGGCTGGTTCACTTCCCAAACGCCTGCAACAGCTGAGGCTGGGCCAGACAAAGCCAGGACTGCCAACTGCACCCAGGTCTCCCACATGGACGGCAGGAACCAAGTACTTGAGCCATCACTGCTGCTTCAGGATCTGCTTTAGCGTGAAACTGGAGTCAGGATCCAAAGCCTGCATCAAACCACAGCACTCAGAACGTGTATACAGGCAATTTACAAATCAACCAAAGTATAAAAAACACAACTTTAGCACGCTAGGATTTGAAAGCTGTGAAGGTCTTCTTGGCCTTGTCCTGCTGCCGTGTCCTCGGCACAGCCCAGGCCGCCCCTGCCCCGAGCACACAGGGAGCGGCAGCACACAGAATCTCGCCTTGGTCACTACTCTAAGTGCCTGCAACCTGCAAACAGGGCCACGAAGACAGAGACAGCGTTGGCTGCAAGTTTTTTTTTGGAGAGTAAGACTTATTTTGAGCAGTTTCGGCTTACAGAAAAAAATCAAGCAGAAACCGGAGCTCCCATATGACCCCACCCACCCCTCTGCCCCTGCGTTTAGTATCTTGCACTAGTGTGCTGTACCTCCCAATAGTGAGGAGCTATTCTGACAGTATTCATGGAAGTGCACCGCCTATGTGAGAATTCACTCTGGGAATGCATTCCTTGGGCTTTAGCACACATTAACGACCTATGTTCACCACAGCAGTGCCATGCAGAGCAGAGTACGAGACAGGAGACGACTGCATTATCCGAGGGTGCCCACTCCAATCCTGAAAACAGGAGGCAGGGATGCCGTGTGACAAGGCACCAGCTGCTTCTGGGTTTTGAACGCAGTGCAGGGAGCAATCAGCAGCCAAACAGCAGCAGCTAAGACGTGCCCCCGCCCCAGCCCGGCCTCTCTGGGGCATCTCTGATTGTAGCCCAGGGAGACCCATGTCGGACTTCTGACTTCAGAACTCTAGGATCAAAAACATATGCAGCTCTAAGCCACTAAAAAATCAATGCTGCGAAAAAGGAATATGAATGTAAACAGACAATGGGAGACCACCAGAAACCTACGCACAGCACGCGGGGGCATGCACAGGAAACAGCCCCCGGAACGGGCGAGCGGTGGTCAGGATGGGAGCTGTCTGGGGGGAACTGCTTGGCTGCAGTACAGGATGCAAACTTCCCCTACAAATTCTATTGTACCTCTAGAATCTTCTGTGTTAACAAAGTATACTTTTTTTTTTTTAAACGCTAAGGCAGGTGTGGCAGAGCTGGTAAAGCCACACTGGCATCCCACATGAGTGGAGGTTCAAGTCCTGGCTTCTCCACGTCTGATGCAGCTCCGGCTGATGTGCCTGGGAAGGCAGCAGAATACAGCACAAGTGTCGGGGCCCCTGCCACTCACATGGGAAACCTAGAAGCAGCTCTTGGCTCCTGGCTTCGTTCAGCCTGGCCCAGCCTTGGGCCTTGCAGCCATTTGGGGAGTGAACCAGCAGGAGGAAGACCCCTCTTTCTATGGCTCTCTCTCTCTCTCTCTCACTACTACTCTTTCAAATGAATAAATAAATCTTTATAAAAAAAAAAAAGCTAGGGGAAGAAAATGGCTCACATAAAGGAAGAACCTGGTTAAGAACTAGCTTCAGGGGCCGGCACGTGGTGTAGTGGGTAAAGCTGCTACCTGCAGTGCTGGCATCCCATATGTGTGCTGGTTTGAGTCCCAGCTGCTCCACTTTTGATCCAGCTCTCTGCTATGGCTTGGGAAGCAGTAGAAGATGGCCCAAGCCCTCGGGTCCCTGAACCTATGTCGGAGACGCGGAAGATGCTCCTGGCTTCAGATCAGTGAAGCTCTGGCTGTTGTAGCCAATCAGGGAGCGAACCAGCAGATAGAAGACCTCTCTCTCTCTCTCTCTCTGCAGCTCAAATAATAAATAAATAAATATTTTTTTTTAAAAAAAGGAACTAGCTTCACCAGTAATTTGGCAATGAGAACAGATCTTTTCTTAAAAGATGGCATGTGTGGGGCTGGTGCTGTGGTCCAGTGGGTGTGGCTGCCACCTGAGATGCCAGCATCCTGCGAGAGCACCAGCTGCAGCCCTGGCTGCTCCATGTTTGTCCCAGCTCCCTGCTAACGTGCGTGGCCCAAGTACTTGGGTCCTCGCCACCCACACGACAGACCTGGATGGAGTTCCAGGCTCCTGTAGAGTGAATCAGTGCATGGAGGATCTCTATGTCTGTCTCTCTTTCTAATTCTGCCTTTCAAATAAATAAATACATCTCTTTTTTTTAAAGATTTAATTATTTATTTGAAAGGCAGAGTTACAGAGAGGCAGAGGCAGAGAGAGAGGTCTTCCATCTGCTGGTTCAATCCCCAGTTGGCTGTAATGACAAGAACTGTGCCGATCCGAAGCCAGGAGCCAGGAGCTTCTTCAGGGTCTCCCACATGGGTGCAGGGGCCCATGGACTGGGGTCATCTTCTACTGCTTTCCCAGGCCATAGCAGAGAGCTGGATGGGAAGTAGAGCAGCTGGGACTTGAACCAGCGCCTATGGGATGCTGGCACTGCAGGTGGTGGCTTTACCTACTACGCCACAGCATCAGCCCCAATAAATACATCTCTTAAAAAAAAGGGGGGGGGGGCAGAATCTGTAATATTGTTCACCTGAACACAGTTTTGTTTTTTTAAGAGAAAACATTTTACTGTGATATAAAAAGCACTTATCAAACATCCACAGAAGACGTGTAACTCTTCACTGCTACAAACAGACTGGGAATACGTTATTCACACCTGGTGCCAGCTAACATCCTGTAAACAAGGAGTATGGGCACTGATTTTTAGCAGTCACAGGTGTAGAGTATATAATCACACCTGTACTCTGGAATGTCCATACCTGGCTGTAGTGCAGTGGGATCTACAGTGTAACCGCACACAGACGGAGTGCAGTGGGATCTACAGTGTAACCGCACATGGACGGAGTGCAGTGGGATCTACAGTGTAACCGCACACAGACGGAGTGCAGTGGGATCTACAGTGTAACCGCACATGGACGGAGTGCAGTGGGATCTACAGTGTAACCGCACATGGACGGAGTGCAGTGGGATCTACAGTGTAACCGCACACAGATGGAGTGCAGTGGGATCTGCAGTGTAACTGCACACGGATGGAGTGCAGTGGGATCTACAGTGTAACTGCACACGGATGGAGTGCAGTGGGATCTACAGTGTAACCGCACACGGATGGAGTGCAGTGGGAGCTACAGTGTAACTGCACACGGATGGCGCAGGAAACGCTCACCACTGCTCTCTTCTCCGTCACAGGCTTCCTGGCAGAAGTGACAAGCCGCAGCTGCTCCTCTCCTAATGTGACTGTGTGTGCAGCGCCCATGTTTGCACTCATGGAACAACTATCTGTAGTAAACAAGTGCGACACTGTCAACTATTTTGCATGTGTAAATATTCATCTGATTACCTGTAAACAAAAAACCTCACACACTCTTAATTCCAAGAAAAAAGTCAACCCATAATTATCCTAATACGCTTTACTTCAACACACAGTGAATTTCTGAAAGGTGCATATATTACCTTAGATAATGTATTTTAGACGTGAGTGCTTCCTATTTCATACTATGAAATGTGCATTTGAGATCTGTTCTATGCAGCACAAAGTTTAGATCAAGAAAGTCCAAATCGCAGATACCAGAGTTCCTTCCGCACACTCCACACAGGCACGGCCCTGCAGCAGGCTCAGCAGGTTCACTGTGAACTGCCCTTGCTCCTCAAATTCAAGTATCAAAGGAACGATGAGGCGCAACATCTCTGGGTTGTAACTGAAAATGCAAAGCTTTAGAAAACAGCTCAGTGCGTTTTGAAAAAAGATTTTAACTGAAATGACATCCTAGGCGTTTATCCATATCAGGCTGATAAACAGTAGGGCTTTAAAACATTTTAAAATCTGAGTATTTTCTCAAAACAAAGAGCACAAATGCCTCTAAATACAAGGCGGCTTCAGAAAGCTTTTCAAAAAATGCATTTTCCATGAGGAAAACCATCGATCTTGACGTCCTGACTCTTTCAACATTTTTTACTTTAGTTTCGCTTCCTTTTGAAAGCTATTACTTTAAACGTCAATCTGAAGTACATATTTGGCCTTACAGTACTTACAATGACACTGAAAATGGACATTTTTTAAAGCACTACAATTTCCGAAGGCTGTGTTCAAAGTCTTTCGCTGTCATCAGAAATCCTGTAGCATAGAAAAAACCTGGTACCCTTCAAATTTCAGAGTGAACTGATCTTCAGAAGTTTTAATGCCATCTAAAAAAAAAAAAGTCAAGTAGAGAAAGACTGCCACAACCAAGCACTCTCCCCACAGCTGCAGACGTGAGCCCAGCCTGGCAGGAGCAACTTGCGGCTTTCCTAGGCACACCAACACTGCCGGTTACGAAGTCACCAAACCTGGTCCCTAGCACATTCATCACGTAGTGTGAACAATCTAAGGTCATTCTTCCCTTAAAAAGCAACTCACTGAAGAGTAGTAACAAGTCTGTCTATTTTAAGACATTAGACTTTTCTGGAACCGGTCCAACTATATAAATCTTAAGAATTATATGAAAATGTGGAATCAACACTATGAAAACAATGTGACAAAATTAAATATTAAACCCTTTTCTTTTTCTTTTTTTTGACAGGCAGAGTGGACAGTGAGAGAGAGAGACAGAGAGAAAGGTCTTCCTTTCTGTTGGTTCACCAACCAAATGGCCGCTACAGCCAGTGCACCCCGCTGATCCGAAGCCAGGAGCCAAGTGCCTCTCCTGGTCTCCCATGGGGTGCAGGGCCCAAGCACTTGGGCCATCCTCCACTGCATTCCTGGGCCACAGCAGAAAGCTGGACTGTAAGAGGAGCAACCGGGACAGAACTGACACCCCGACCGGGACTAGAACCCGGTGTGCCGGCACCGCAGGTGCAGGATTAGCCTAGTGAGCCGCGGTGCCAGCCACCTTTTCTAATTTTAACTCAAAAATAGAAATCATGAGTCTTCTATAAGATTAATTTTAAAAACACACAGAAGTGAAAAGTGCCGTTTTTCAAAAAGCAAAAATTTTCCATCCTATAAAACAACATGGGGGCCGGTGCCGTGGCTCACTAGGCTAATCCTCCGCCTTGCGGCGCCGGCACACCGGTTCTAGTCCCGGACAGGGCGCCAGATTCTGTCCCGATTGCCCCTCTTCCAGGCCAGCTCTCTGCTATGGCCCGGGAGTGCAGTGGAGGATGGCCCAAGTGCTTGGGCCCTGCACCCCATGGGAGACCAGGAGAAGCACCTGGCTCCTGGCTTCGGATCAGCGCGGTGCGCCGGCCGCGGCAGCCATTGGAGGTTGAACCAACGGCAAAGGAAGACCGTTCTCTCTGTCTCTCTCTCTCACTGTCCACTCTGCCTGTCAAAAAGGAAGGGGAGGGGAGGGGAGGGGAGGGGAGGGAAGAAACCACAACATGGAATGATTTCAGTTCTCCTGTACTAAATTCTGGACTTTTTAAAAAACAAGTATTGCAATGTTTAATGCAGCAATGTTAATCAGCAGGGCTTCTGCTCAGCGGGACCCCTAATTAGTCTTCAGATTCCTCTTTTCTCTGCGGGACCTTTTGGTTTTGCGAACCCTCGTGCGTGTGCTGCCTGGGGTGCAGGTCTTCAACCGGGAAGTCTGCAGTCAGCCCGCCCCCCTGTCTGTCCCGTCTCTCATCTCATCCATGTGGAGCCGTCCCAGCACAGGGCTCTTGCAGCTGGAATACAGCAGCCTCTCTCTTACACGGCACGTGCATCAGGCATCGAATAATGAAACTGTGGCCTCTAACTAGTCTCCTTCATGAGGAGTTTACACAGAAAGATCGTAGTGTGCTGAATCCTTGGGAGTCCTCTCTGGCTCATCTTTTAGCTCTGTATTTGTTGTACTGGCCAAAATTATTTCATTTTGCATGCCTATTTCCAACTGCACATAGTTCAGCTGTTATTCAACTTTTCCAGAGCCTGAAAAGCTTCCTGAGAAAGGGGAAATGCCTCTCCTTGCGGTGTCTGACGCTGAGTGTGCACGCCCACGTCGGCCTGTACCCCACTGAGTCTCATCTGCCGTCACCCTAACCCTGCTCAGCTGGTCAGTGGGGCAGGCAGAGACTGTGGCAGTGAGTATGTTACACCCACGTGAGCATCCACCTTCCCTCACTGCGCCGAACGCTTCATCTTCCCTGTGGCCACCTGCAAACTCCCTTCTCAGAGCTGCTCTTGGTGCTGCACACATCTGACGAACACGGGAACGAGCTGGGGACCAGGCAGTGAACATCCATTCACATCCCTGGGCGTTCAGAGGACCTAACCTGAATCATAGGTAGCAAGGCTGCTTGTCCTCCAACAGGGAAAAACAACAGGATCAAAATCCCTATGCCAGGAGTCTGAAGAGGAGCCCACCACAGGTTGCTCATTCTCGATAGATATCCTCAGAAGTCTGTGCTTTCCACTTCTGCCTCTGGCAAAGCTACCTTTAACCTCGTCACTTGCTTGGATGCCGGTCAGCGGGGACACGGCTTCGGTGGTGGGCTCCTGGCTCTGGCGTCCAGTGTGGCGAGCACCCCAGCCGCACCCCGGCAGGTGGCTCCAGGAAGCTGTGGCCACTGAACACAGTTTTATTCTAAAACGTCGTGAATCCTGCATCAACTCAGAAGAGAGCCTGATGATGAGAACCATCTTCTGAATGTGAGCTTTGTCCCAAACTCGGACATGAAGGAAAAGCAGGCATTAAAAGGATTCACACTGAGATGCAGAGCCCAGCCCGGACTAAATAAATGCTCTAAGGAGGTTCAGCACATATCTGAACAACATTCACACCTGTTGGCTCAGTAACTCTTACAAGAATTCTGTCCAGGGGAAAAATAAATCGGAATTGAAGGGAGAAAGGTGAGCGTTTTTCTTTATTACAAACTTTGTTTTACATCCTTTTTTTTTCCTCCCCCCAAAGAAACCTCTTACTTAATGAGTACAAATTTCTTAAGTACAACTTTAGGGATATAGTGAGTCTTCCCACCCCCACGGGAAAAGGCGAGCATTTGACTCAGCGGTTAAGTTGCCTCTTGCGATGTCTGCATCCAATTTTTTTTTTTTGACAGGCAGAGTGGACAGTGAGAGAGAGAGACAGAGAGAAACGTCTTCCTTTGCCGTTGGTTCACCCTCCAATGGCCGCCGCGGCCGGCGCACCGCGCTGATCCGATGGCAGGAGCCAGGTGCTTCTCCTGGTCTCCCATGGGTGCAGGGCCCAAGCACCTGGGCCATCCTCCACTGCACTCCCTGGCCACAGCAGAGAGCTGGCCTGGAAGAGGGGCAACCGGGACAGACTCCGGCGCTCCGACCGGGACTAGAACCCGGTGTGCCGGCGCTGCTAGGCGGAGGACTAGCCTAGTGAGCCGCGGCGCCGGCCCCAATTTTTCTTTAATTGCTTGTTTATTTGGCAGTCAGAATCCTCCATCTGTGGTTCACTCCCTAGACGGCCCCAGCAGGCCGGGGCTGGGCCGAATCACTCAGGAGCCAGGAGCTGCACCTGTCTCCCGCGGCGGTGCAGGGACCCACGCACCCGTGCCATCCCCCGCGGCCGTCCCACGGGCGAACTCGCAACTCCAGCCTCCGGCGGCCCGTCAGCACTCGCCGCGGGGCCGGGCGTCACGGGCGACGCCTCAGCCCGCGGGGCGCCGGGCCCACACGGGCTCCGCTCCCCAGCGCCCACCCCGGGGCGCACGCGGGAGGGCCGCGGAGACCCCGAGGGAGGCGGGCAGCGCCGGCCGAGCCCGCCAGGAGCCCCCACGTCGCGGCCGCACGGCCGCGCCTCGCCCGTGAGGGACCCACCCGGCGGGAAGCCGCCGAACCCGCGCTTACCCGGGCCTCCGGCGAGCGCTGTCATGGCAACGGACGCCCGCCGTCCGCGCAGGCGCCAACCGGTCGCGGGCGGCGTGGGAACCTGACCCCGCCAACAGCGGCCCCAGGCCGAGCGCGCGCCTGGGGCCCACCTGCGCGTGCGCGTCCCCGGAGCGGAAGCGGAAGGGGCGGGGCAGCGGCGCGCACGCGCAGAGGCTGCGGAGGGGGCGTGTCGGAAACAGGACTTTTGAAACTTTTGGAAACGCGTGGGGCTGGGAACCGCCGTTGGTGTCGAGTGCGAATTTCCAAAGCTGGGTGCGTTTTTTCAGTGGCGTCCTGAAAAGGCGTGCGATCATTTCTCCATAAAAATGAGGTTTTCTGCAAAACGAAACTGAGCGGGTAGCCTGGAGCCGGCTCTCCCACCGCTGACTTGGTGCGCCCTGGCCCAAATATAAATTGCGTAAATCTAATGGCGCCGATTTAATTTTCTTGTCGAGTCCTGATTGTCGGGTTTTTCCCCTTCCATTCCAGTTCCGCGAGCTCCTGCCTCCGTGTGATCCCGTCCCTGACCGGCGGTTTTCCTTGTGCTAAGGTCTGCTTTGATGGTCACGATTTTTGGGTTTATTTTCGTGTTTGCATGATAGATCCTTTGCTGTGTTTCTTTTTAACGTATGAACCGCTGTAAGTGGTTCTGATAAATAGCTCCTCAGTCTCTTTACCCAATCTTATGTCGTATTTGGGCCATTTACATTTAATGTAAATTTTGAGATGGTTGGATTTCAGCCTGTCCTTTTATTAATTTTTGTTTGTCCTATGTTTTTCAAGTCTGTTTTCCTGAGTTTACTTTGAATTACAGGGATATTTTTCAAAGTACCATTTTAATTTATATATAGACTTTTTAAATACATGTGTGCAGTGGTTCGCTCTGCATTGCTGCAATGAACTACTTTTGAAGAAAAGCAGCTTAATTTGGGTCATAGGTCGGAGGTTCAAGTCGGAACAGCTTTGGAAAGGGACAGGGGGTGACTGGAGCACCGGTGTCTCGGTGGCCTCCCTCGCTCATAAATTCACCAGGATGCAGTCAGGAGGACCCCACCCTGATCTACTCCAGAGGTCCCACCTCTACAGAGCAGTTGGACTGAGTTTCCAGCCTCTCAATACCGTTAACAGAAGACTTAACCGTGTGGGGAGGGGGAAGTCACATACGAACCGTGGCAGTGTCTGCATAGTTTTTGCATTTTTCTTAGAATTCTATACAACTTAAAGTGAAATATAGAAACCATATGACCACATAGGCTCCTTTACTGTCCCCTTCAGGTGCAATTCTCATATATTCTACATCTGTAGAAACTGAAAATCCTATCACATGATGTCATAAGTTTTTTTGCAAGAGACACTGACAAGCAAGCTCCCAATGCTGGTTTACTGTCTGAATACCCACAATGGCCAGGTCCAGGCCAGTGCTGGAGCCAGGAATGAGATCCAGGTCTCCCATGAGGGTGGTAGAACCCCAGGAACTTGGGCCACCACCTCCCAGGCTGAAGTCAGGAGGCAGAGCCAGGAACTGAACCCGAGTGTTCCAGTGTGGGGTAGACGTGTCCTAGCTGCTACACCAAATACCCACCTCCCTACAATTGTTTTTAAATTGCAGCACTCACATGTATTTCACCAAACATCTGCTTACCCATACATTTGCCATTTCTATTGCTTTCTTTCCTTGCTCTCGTTTTCCTTCTCAATGAACTTCTTTTAACATTTCTTCTAAGGCAGATCTACGGCAGTGAGTTCTGTTTGTTTCCCTTCTTCTGAAAACGCCTTTAGCTCACCTTTCATTCCTGAAGAATATTTGTTGAAGAAAGGACTGTGTTGGCTGTTGTTTTAAGCACTTTATAAATGTTGTTCCACTGTCTCTGTCTCCATGGTTTTTGATAACGAATCTGTCATCACTTAGCTGTTTGTTCTGTACACAAAGTGTTCACTGTCCCTTCCTGCTTTCAAAACCCAGCTTTCTTGACATTTGGTTTCACCAGTTTACGATGTGCCTGGTGTGCTTTCTGTTTTCCTTGTGGCATTTGCTGTGATGAACCTGCTTTAAGTAGAATTTTATGCAAATATATGTCTTGACCAAAGTTTTGGAAGTTTCAGCCATTTCTTCAAATATTTTGTCTTTCCAGTTTCTCTCTCCTTTTGGGGCTCCTAAATGTAAATATTACTTACTGATACTGCCCTACAGTTCTGCCAAGTTGTGTCCAATTTTTAACTTTTCTATCTATTTTTCAGACTGGATAATTTGTTGATGTGTCTCCAGATTCATGGACTTCTCCTTCAGTCATCTGTTCTGTTGAACTCCTCTAGTGAATTTTTCCTTTTGCTGTTGTATTTTCAGTTCTAAAATTTCCTTTTATAGCTTCTGTACTGAGAACTTTGATCTTCCACTCACTCCAGTGTTTACCTTTCCTCTCTGCAGGATGATCACAAGTCTGGAGTCTCTGATTATTCCATCAGGAAACCTCAAAACCGACTTTGTTCATGCCTCTTCCCTAGCGTTGCTTATGTATGCCAAGAATTTTGGACTGCTTCCTGGATAGTCTGAGTGAGGGCCTTTCCTCTCTAAGTCTTCAGAAGGTTTTTGTTTTGTTTGAGCAGCTGGTTGGTGTAGTTAGTTTCGGACCACAATCGCTGGCCAGCTTTCTGTGGGCTCTGATCCAGCGTCAGTGTCCAGTGCTTTATGCAGCTGGTACTAGTCTGTCCTAATAGTCCATCACCCAGCAGCCAGCCTGAAACCTGGACGGTGGTCTACACTGTGTTTCACCTCCAGTCTTTGCTCAGTTTCTTCTGGGCAGTTTCACGTATGCACACCTTGGGGGATTTTAAACACAGATCTATTTTCTTCAGCTCCCTCCTATGTATGATCCTACGCACACTCTTGAATTCCCAGAGATAAGTCCTAGGTGATCCGACTAGAAAGTCATGGCTTTTGCCTGCTCATACCTCTCCCTGTGTCCCACCCTGTGTCTGCCATGACTTTACCAGTGGGGAGAGAAGGGCGCTACGTATGTTGCATGTTCCCAGGTTCATGTAGAGCTGGTGAGCCCACAGGCTCCACCTCTCACACGGTTCTACGAGGCAGGCAGGGAGGAAGGCAGGAAGGCAGGGCCGCTGCTCTTGGGAGGCTGTTCTGGAGCAGAACCTGCGAGTTCCTCCGTCCACCTGACTTCCTGGCCCTCTAGTAGAGCAGCACATTGCTCCTTGGGTCCTTTCTGTGTCAGCTAGCAGTTCCCATTAAGTGTCTGTGTGGGGTTTTTTACTCGGGTTGATCTGGCTTCTTGAATCTGTGGAGTCATTTCTTTAATCAGATTTGAAAATTCTTCATCATATCTAAAAATAATTGTTCTGTCCTACTCCCCGCCCCCCCTTCCTCTGGCAGCTAATTAAACATGTTAGAGGAGCCAGTGTTGCGCATAGCAGGAAAAGCCACCACCTGAAACGCCAACATAAATATGGGTGCTGGTTCGAATCCCAGCTGCTCCACTCCCGTTCCAGCTACGTGCTAATGTGCCTAGGAAAGTAGTGGAAGATGGCCCAAGTCCTTGGGCCCCTGCACCCATGAGTGTGAGACCCGGAAGAAGCTCCTGGTTTTGGTCTGGCCCAGACCTGGCTGTTGTGGCCATTTGGGGAGTAACCAGCAGACAGATCTATGTCTCTCCCTAACTCTGCCTTTGAAATAAATAAACTTTTTCTAAAAATGTTAGAATTTCTCTCACTATATGCTCTAGATAAGTGTACTTCAAAAAGGTGATGGAAAATGGAATCAGGAGATGTTTTGGTGTGAAAATTTTTAAATCTGGTTTCAGTAATATACATCTTCCATGAACTTTTTGAAGACCTTTGGTCTATCTTACTTCCACCTGTCGCTCCAACTGCATTCTGGATAATTTCTCCTGAGCTCTTTTTCAGTATAAACTCATCCACTGGCTATGTATTATTCTGCTATTAATTGTTTACTGAATTTTAATTTTTATATAAGCTTGCAATATTCAGTTTATTCTCCAAATGAGCTCCATCACTTTTTAGTTTTTATTTTATGCAGGTGCCCTCACACTTACCTTTATTTCTTTAAACACAAAAAGCATAAATACCCCAGTCTTTGTGATTGTTTTCACTGTTCTAGTTCTTGCTTCCAGAATCTGGCTTCCTTGTGTATTTACTTATTGTCTACTGTATGTTAGTCGGTATCCTATTTGAAGAGTAGTGTGAAGCTACAATGGAAATACTTTTCTGCAGACAGGATGTACACTTTTTCTTGGCGCCTGGAGGGAACACCTTACACCAAGTGTAGTGCTGCATGCGACACTTTAGACTGTGCCGGCAGTCCTAAATGTGCATGTTTCATACGCTCCACTGCCATCCTGCACAGGCAGCCTTTGGGCGTCTCAGCCTGTTGGGCGAAGGTCTCCTGTTGGATTCACCACCTCACGAGGGCCTTGCAGCTTTGATTATTGTCCCTAATGCCGTAAGAGTGTCACAGTAGGAGCCCGTGCTCATTTTTTCTCTTTACTTTTGGGCGGGGCATTCCTTATTAAAATATCTTTGATGCTTTAAGAGGATGTAATCAGTTTTGGTTGTTTTTAAAAAGAGCAGGGATCTAAGTATCCTAGCATGCAGTTTCTAGAAACAGCTTCCCTGAGGTGCGTCTTTGTTCCTACACAGATAACAACTATTTTTTCTCTTGGCATTCTCTGCACTTAACACATATAATTTGTGGCAGGGAATCCATAAATTATCAATTTAAGCTATTTTTATCTAGAGCTGCTCAAACAAATCTGTACTTGTTATTTGCTATTAGTTGCTACATGTAACAAAACTTCAGTCTCAGAGGTTTATTTTGTTAGAGTGTCCAAGGGTCAGGAATTCCTAGGTGGCTTCATTGGGTGGTTTCAAAAGTTGTGGTCAAGATTTTGGCAGACACTGAAATGTGGTTTGACAGGGTTGGAGGATCCACTTCCACTCCACGTGCTGGAGGATTCAGTTCTGCCCATGAAGCTGCCCACGCCTGCAGCTCCGTCTCCTGAGCGCGAGTTATCTAGTAGAAAGGGAGGAAGCTGGAGACAGACAGGCATATGGGGAAGAGGGAAAATGCACAAGAGATAGGAGCCGGAGTCTTCCATAATGTGCTCTCAGAAGTGACCTCCATTACTTCTGTCACTCACAAAGACCACACTGTACAGACTGGGAGGGGACCACGCAAGGGTGTGAGTACCAGGCAGAGGGAGTCACAGGAGGTACTTTCAGAGGTTAACATCTTACAAAACAGAACCCCCACCCCCCACCGGCATTATATTAACAGCCTCATGATAAAGTACTTGAATTAGGCCTATTTTGTCGTATGTAAAAATCATGAAAATAGAGTTGTGAATTTTATTAATGCAAATGCAGAAAATGCTTCCCTACAGGAATTCATTTTAAATCACGTGTCATTAGAAACTAAAACCAAAACAAACATTAATTGGGAACAGGACTGGAAACTACTGAAAATATGATTTGGGAAAAAATACCAATGTGTCAGCTAGGTGGTAAAAGATACATTTAGATAGCAAGGGCTTAGTGTCTCATAGGAAAACAAAGTTTTAAAAGACAGCTCAAACAAAAAATAACCTTATCAGTATTTTGGTCATAAAATTGCTAGGAAAAAATATTTTTCCTACTAAAACATGTCATAATTCCAAATATGTGTTTTTCTTGTTTCTGTAGTTAAGGTGCTTGTGTCAACCACTGAGTAAAAAAGGTCTTACAGAAGCAATGTATCTTTATTTTTTTAATTAATTAATTAATTACTTTTTTTGACAGGCAGAGAGTGGACAGTGAGAGAGAGAGACAGAGAGAAAGGTCTTCCTTTGCCGTTGGTTCACCCTCCAACGGCCGCCGTGGCCGGCGTGCTGCGGCAGCGCACCGCGCTGATCCGATGGCAGGAGCCAGGTGCTTCTCCTGGTCTCCCATGGGGTGCAGGGCCCAAGCACTTGGGCCATCCTCCACTGCACTCCCTGGCCACAGCAGAGAGCTGGCCTGGAATAGGGGCAACAGGGACAGAATCCGGCGCCCTGACCAGGACTAGAACCTGGTGTGCCGGCGCCGCAAGGCGGAGGATTAGCCTAGTGAGCCGCGGTGCCGGCCCTTAAGCAAAGTATCTTTAAGATTCTAAATATGAGCCATATAACCCAAAGCAAGTGATACTGTAAAATTGTGTTCTTCAGCCTGCTTCATTTTTTATAAGAGGGAAGATCAGCAGGAATGTACTTCAAAGTGTGTGTGTGGAAAAGTGGAATTAAAAACTAAGCAACAGAATTTTTGAAATCCAGGCATAGCTTCTTCTCATATTACATATTTTCCATGAACTTCTGAGTATTCTCATATAGTCACTGTGGAAAACAGTACAGAGGTTCCTCAAAAATTGAAAACAGAACTACTGTATTATCCAGCAGTCTCACTACTGGGTATACATGCAAAGAAAATGAAGTTAGTGTGTCGAGACACCCACACTCTCATGTCTACTCCAACACTGGTCGTTAGCAGCAAGATGGAATCAATCTAAGTGCAAACCAGTGGATAAATCGAGGACGACACTGGAACAGACACAGGATGGAATTCAGCCTTTAAAAAGAGGGAAATCCTGTATTTTGTGACAACATGGATGAACCTGGGGGACGTTACGTTAAGTGAAGGAAGTCAAGCCCAGTAAGACAAGTACTGAATGATCTCATTTATATGGAATCTAAACAAGCTCACGCTCATAGAAGAGAGGAGAATGCCGGTTGCCAGGGACTGGGGTGGGGGAAGGGGACTGAGGAGACACTGGTTACGAGATACAAAATTTGAGTTAGGTGGAATAAGCTCGAGAGATCTACTGTACTATACCTGGAAATCTAGGAATGTCAGTGGATTTTATACTCGGAAAAGATAAGGGAAGGAAATAAGCCTGTTTTGCTGCTACTGCACCTAAATCTTGGAAAGAGTCATAGGAAAATGCTTTTAAAAAGGGTCACCTGTTGGGACTGAGGAGTGGAAAGATTAAGGGTGGTGTGTACGTGGTGCGAGGCAAAACTTAACATTAGGTTTTAATATTTGTTTTGACCTTTGGCATCATGTATATATTACATGAAACTTTTCTTATTTCGCAAAAAAAGAGAACAGTATGGACTGGAAGTTTGTTTTATTTCAAGATATTGTCTGTAAAATTTGAAACACATTAAAGTTAGGATTACTGTTAAAAAATAAAATTTCTATTCTTTATATATGAAATATCACAATCTAGGCTGCTTATTCCAGGGAGTTGAAACACCAGCCTGCTACTTTATGACTAATTAAAAGGTGGAATATTCAAACACCAAAGTCCAGTTTAAAAAGAAAATTCAGTCCTTCTACAAGATTACATACTTCTCGGATTTTCAACTCTTGTCCAGACAAGCTAAACACACCCACTGCCACAGGTCCTCAGTGTCCCGTCTCGTCAGTCTCCGCCACCTGGTCACAGTCCCTCTCTCTACGGCAGCTATTAAAAACTGCCGCTACATGTTAATGATATGCTTCACACATTTGGCTCCACAAGGGAGAGAACTATTTTATTGATCTTTCAACAAATGAACCCTAATAAAGTGCTCTGTACATATCAAGTACACACACACAGTTTGTCAGAAAGCTGCATATGTCACTTTCAAAACTGAGAGAAGAGTAGTATTAAAAAGCCTAAGACCAAAAATAGATCATTATAGACTGAGTACAAAGAGCCACTGTATTTCTCAGCCTTCACTAAGATTTCAACTTAAGTACCGACGTGAACAACACGACTGAAGGGTGTAACAACGCAGTCAGGGCCGTGAACTGCCTCCACAGAGTGCCTGAAGATGTGCTCACCCTGAGGGACACCACTCCCATTCTAGCTGAATGTGAAGACTTCATGGAGACAAACCCCAACTCTTCATTCTGTCATGGCAGAGGCTAACGTAAATGCAGTTTTCTTCAACTGTGCAATTACTTCCACCGCAATATAAACACACACTATACGATGAAAAAGTTTGATATGCAATCATTTTTATCTCACACCATTTCAATAAATTTCACAGGTTATGAATATGCTGCCATTTTATTTGATATCTGCAACATTTTACACTGTGTATAAAGTAGCTGTTTCCAGAAGACTGCTTCTCCTTCACCCCGTGTCTTTGGCTAGTTCTGCAGCTGTAGGGTTCTACTCTCAGTAGGGAGCACCTGCCCAAACTGATTGACATTCTCAGTCTCTCCTAGCCTGACACTTCAGATCCTGAGTTACAAACCTGATTTATCTTCAAGTTGAAATGCTTCATAAATATTTTTCTTAAGACTATTTAGTGCAGTTTCTTTTTCTTGAGATACACAGTGTTTTTGATACAAAAACATTTCATGTAACAAGAAAAAACCGTCAAGCTGATTACATTCCATACACCTCAAATGACAGAATATATTAATAGATGCCCTTTATTTTCTTTCTCCCCTTTCCCCACGACCCCCAATAATTTCGTTTTTGCTGTTTGAAGAGGAGCGCTCTGTCAAGTTTCAAATGTAAAGACTTTAACTTGTGTTAATATCCTTTTATAAAAATAACCAGCATATAAAGAATTTAAAGTATGAAAAAGTTCCTTAGGATTACCAGGAAATTTCTACAGATTAATGTGATAGTGAAAAAAAAAAAAAAAGAAAGAAAATAAACATCTGCTTCAGGCTGCGTCTGTGGCTACACCATGCCGACCTCAAGGGTCCCCGGCCTGTTCTCAGTCACTCTCCGAGGTGGTAACCATACTACTACGCTTTGGAAGAAGAGGAGGAAACATCATGTGATACAAAAATATTGATTGTGTATAAATATTAAGGATTTATAAAATACATACCAAATCATATGTTCTTCCTATAAAAACAACATAAATACAGAAGCACAAAATCTTGAAGCACCCGCACTTATTTTAACAATACCCATTTAATCAGGAAAATTATATATATGTATATATAAAATAATTTGAGAAGAAAAAAGGCAAAATTCTGAATTTAATCCAAACAGTTTTTCTAATCATGGAGGTAGGTCTCCACTCCAATTATACAAATAAGTTATCAGCTTTATTCAAATAATTCTGAGATCCTGAAAGTGGTCCGTGCCACTGAAATACACCGACAGACATCAGAAGTCGGCGTTTCCAACTGGCACACTCGCAACACAGATGTCTCCTTCACAAGCAACATCTGAACAGCGCCTTCGTTAAAATCCTTCTTGGCATGAAGAGCTACACCTAAGTGCAGATGCTTTGGCTTAGCGTTTAAATAAGAGTAAATGCTACAAATGCCTGGTAGGTACAAGAAATTCTAGTGTTTTTAGTAAAGCTCTAAAAACTGTGGATCTCTCAAATGTTCAGATACTTAAATATTGTGCTCATGTTTTAAAAGGTCATGGCTGCGAAAAAGCAAAGCGTGTGTGTTTTGAACACCAATCATATTTACTTTTAGTGTTTGTGGCATTTCCGCTTCAGCGCTAGCAGGTTTAACCAATCAGTTTGCAATACATAGTGGGGCACATCTTTTCACTAAAAAAGATTTTCTAAAATGAAAAAGACCAGTTCTATTTCCAGCGGTAAACTAGAGCTGGCAGTCCCACCGTGGATCACAGGGATGAGCGCACTGTCCAGGTCATTCAGGTAATGCTGAGGCAGAAGCCGGCCTGCAGACCCTGCCTGAAATTCCACCTGGAAAGAACGAAAAACCTTGATGAGCTAACCCTAGAAAATGAGAAGTCTTATTTGGCTCAGCAGATGGATAAATTAAAAATATTTTAGAAATTCAGTTCAAGCATGTTAATGAAATACTTGGTATATTATTTATAAACACTACATTCTTCCAGATTTTCTTCTTAGAGCTAAGTTTTTTTTAAATTTATTTATTTTTACTTAATTGAAGGTGAGAGAGACAGAAACAGAGATTTCCATCTACTGGTTCACTCCCTAAATGTCCATTAACAGCTAGGGGCTGGGCCAGGCTGAAGCCAAGAGCCAGGAATACAATCCACGTCTCCCTTTGTGGATGGCAGCGACTCAAGTACTTGTGCCATCACCTGCTGTCTCCCAGGCTGTGCCTTAGCAGGAAGCTGGAATCAGAAACAGGCTGTGAACTTGGACACTCTGATACGGTATGTGGGCATCTTAACCACTGTGCCAAATAGCTTCCTCTATTCTCCCATATTCCCTTTTTAAAAAGATTTATTTTTTATTTATTTGAAAGACAGAGTTACAGAGAGAGGATGAGAGCCAGAGAGCTTCATCCACTGGTTCACTCCACAACTGGCTGCAACAGCAGGCACTGTGCCAGGCTGAAGCGAGGAGCCAGGAGCTTCTTCCAGATGTCCCACATCGGCGCAGGGGCCCAAGCAGTTGGGCCACCTTCTGCTGCTTTCCCAGGTGCATTAGCATAGAGCTGGACTGGAAGTGCAGCAGCTGGGCCTCAAGCTGGCGTGCATATGGGAGGCTGGCGTCACAGGTGAAGGCTTAACCTGCTGGACAACACCAGCCTCTCCGTACTTCTTTTATCCATCCACTATACAAGTTTACCTGTCCCTCCCACAGGCATCCTAAGTAGAACTGCTACTACTTCATACTCTAGGTTCCTTCTCAAAGAATACCTAAACACATGTAATATGCTAGGGGTCTAGGGCTTGCATGATTACCAATATTATCTATATACAAATCCTAGGTTTTAAAAAAAGCTACTTAAAAATATTTCAAATACATTTCAGTGTTTAAAATTGAAATTTGGCCGGCGCCACGGCTCACTAGGCTAATCCTCCGCCTAGCGGCGCCGGCACACCGGGTTCTAGTCCCAGTCGGGGCGCCGGATTCTGTCCCGGTTGCCCCTCTTCCAGGCCAGCTCTCTGCTGTGGCCTGGGAGTGCAGTGGAGGATGGCCCAGGTGCTTGGGCCCTGCACCCCATGGGAGACCAGGAAAAGCACCTGGCTCCTGGCTCCTGCCATTGGATCAGCGCGGTGCGCCGGCCGCAGCGCGCCGGCCATGGTGGCCATTGGAGGGTGAACCAACGGCAAAAGGAAGACCTTTTTCTCTGTCTCTCTCTCTCACTGTCCACTCTGCCTGTTAAAAAATAAAAAAAAAAAATTAAAAAAAATAAAAAAAATTGAAATTTAATATTGCTGGTGAAAATTACATTTTGAGGCTGGCACTGTGGCATAATGGGTTAGGCATCTGCCTGTGGTGCCAGCATCCCACATGGGCACCAGTTCGTGTCCTGACTGATCCACTTCCAATCCAGCTCCCTGGCAATGGCATGGGAAAGTGGTGGAAGATGGGGCCGGCACTGTGGCGTAGTGGGTAGAGCCGCTGCCTGCAGTGCCGGCATCCCATATGGGTGCTGGTTCGAGCCCTGGCTGCTCCATTTCCAATCCAGCTCTCTGCTATGGCCTGGGAAAACAGTAGAAGAAGGTTCAAGTCCTTGGGCCCCTGCACCCACATGGGAAGACCCCTGTACCCACGTGGGAGACCCGGAGGAAGCTCTGGCTCCTAGCTTCAGCTCAGCCCATCTCCAGTTGTTGTGGCCATCTGGGAAGTGAACAAGTAGTTAGAAGGCCTCTCTCTCTCTCTGCCTCTGTCTATCTATAACTCTGCCTTTTAAATAAATAAAATTAACAAAAAAAAAGTAGAGGGAAGGTAGAGTGGGAAGTATCATTATGCTCTTAAAACTGTATATAGGGAGCCAGCGCCGCGGCTCACTAGGCTAATCCTCCGCCTTGCGGCGCCGGCACACGGGGTTCTAGTCCCGGTTGGGGCGCCGGATTCTGTCCCGGTTGCCCCTCTTCCAGGCCAGCTCTCTGCTGTGGCCCGGGAGTGCAGTGGACGATGGCCCAAGGGCTTGGGCCCTGCACCCCATGGGAGACCAGGAGAAGCACCTGGCTCCTGCCATTGGATCAGCGCGGTACGCTGGCCGCAGTGTGCTGGCCACGGCAGCCATTGGAGGGTGAACCAACGGCAAAGGAAGACCTTTCTCTCTGTCTCTCTCTCACTGTCCACTCTGCCTGTCAAAAAAAAAAAAAAGAAAACTGTATATAGGGGGCCAGTGCTGTGGTGTAGTGGGTAAAGCCACCACCTGCAGTACTAGGCATCCCCTATGAGCACCAGTTCGAGTCCTGGCTGCTCCACCTCCAATCCAGCTCTCTGCTAGGGCCTGGGAAAGCAGTAGAAGATAGTCCAAGTCCTTGGGCTCCTGCACCTGCATGGGAGACCTGAAGAAGCTCCTGGATCCTGGCTTTGGATTGGCATATCTCTGGCTGTTGCAGCCATTTGGGAAGTGAACCAACAGATGGAAGACTTTCTCTCTCTCTCTCTCTCTGCTTCTGCCTTTCAAATAAATAAATCTTTAAAAAAAAAAAAAACAACAAAAAAAAACCCTGTACAGATGAAATATATAAAATCTACTCCCTTTATATAAAAAGGAACAATTTTTAAAAATCACCAATGGAAACGTAAAATGGTATGCCCTCTATTTGGGCAAAATGTAATATCTACTGAATACATGGTTGGACCTGGTAAATCCACCTATAGGAAATTTTCCTATTGATATGTAAGAGAAATATTGTGAACAACTTAAATGTCAATCTATACATACTAAATATGCATGAAGAACTAGCTAAGTTATGGTACATTTAACTAACTACTACCACACCACAGTTAAAATGAGTATGTACTAGTAGCTACTATCTCTACAATATATTAAGGAAGCATGGTAAGAAAAACTGTAAAAGAGAATAAAAAGGACACACACACACCTCTATAAGCATACATAAGAAATGTGTGGCACAGACTGAGCAGAGGGAAGATGATGATGGACAGAGGGCTGGGAGTGGAGGCGGGAGGGAGATCTGCCCAGGGCCGCTTTCTCCTCAGCCACTGGGAACCGTTTACACAGCAGTCTGGCGTTACTATTTCCAGGGTACATTAACTGAACAGAATGCAATATGAATGCTACTCTCTGGACATTTCAGTGAAGGGTCCTGATACATATACACACTTCAAAACTTGTTCAACTTGCAAATGTGAGAATACAGAATCTAGTCAGAATCTGTAACTTTAAAAACCCCTCGGGCAGGATGGGAATGGAATGGGGGTCAGCAAACTATGACGTGCAGGCCCGATCTGGCCCTGCTGGGTGGGCAGCATCTCCCGGGGGCACAGCCACACCTGCCTGTCAACACTTGTCAGTGGCCACTTCCCACTATGACCGCACAGCAGGGCAGCCAACAATGCCAACATACTACTGACTGGCCTCGTACAAAACACGTCTGCTGACTCCCTTGTGGAGGTTAACAGAAACAATGTACGTGAAGTGCAGAACACACATGTGATGCTCAACACACTTTAGTTCTCTTCCTTCAGCCCCAAATGAAAGAAGAAAGAAAAACATTCTCATGATTCTAATGTATGATACCTTCATTTCAAACATGTATCACGAAACACGGCTCACCCTGTCGGTGTCGATGGAAACTCTGAGTCCAACCTTACTTGTCCTGCTGCTCTTCAGAGTTTTCAGATGAGGGCACAGTGCAGCACTGCAAGCCATAGCTATTTCCTTTGCAAACTGGTAACGAGGTGATGAAACAGATGTGTCCTGGTCCTTTAGAAAGTAGAATACCTGAAATTTGTTTAAGAAAAATAAAAATTTATTTAGGAAACAAGTCATAATTAAGATTAAAAAACAACTTGAAAGGTATAACAACTGCTGCTTAAAATTCAACTTAAATAAAATTCCACTAGTTCCATAAAAATCATTACTTGAGATGACTTTGTGTATAGTCTGATCTAGTAAAAAAACCTTAAAAACCAAATTTTAAGGATTATTGAATTGTCTCAGCTATTTTTACCTAAATTAACTTGTGGCAGTAAGAGCCTTGGTAACTCAGCTTAGAGACAGGTACTAGTCCATCCAATAAGGACATGTATATGCAATTAAGGTCAAACAAAGTAATAATGTTCTGGAGTTTCTGTATTCTCTCTGGTTTCTATCCTGCACCTGCATAAAGTAATAAACAATACATAAGAACTTAATAACACTGATTTCCTGAGCAGACAGGAATGACGAGTGAGAACCTGGATGTAAACTAAGGGGTTGGGAGTCTGCAGCTCTAACTTTAAAATAAATTGGAGGGGCTGGCACTGTGGCATAGTAGGTAAAGCCGCCGCCTGCAGTGTCAGCACTGTCAGCATCCATATGGGCGCCGGTTCAAGTCTCAGCTGCTCCACTTCTGATCCAGCTCTCTGCTATGACCTGGGAAAGCAGAAGATAGCCCAAGTCCTTGGGCCCCTGCACCCACATGTGAGACCTGGAAGAAGCTCCTGGCTCCTGGTTTCGGACTGATGCAGTTCCAGCCATTATGGCCATCTGGGGAGAGAACCAGTTTTATGGAAGACCTCTCTCCTTGCCTCTGCCTCTCTGTAACTCTGCCTTTCAAATAAACAAACATTTAAAAAAAAAATTGGAACATGCAAAATTAACTTCATAGGTCATTATAAATTGATGTCAATATTTTGTTTTTATAAACCAAGAGAAAAATGAATATAATACAGGTAAGTAACACATTACAGTTCGAAGACAGTAGTACTGCCAGACAGCAGCACAACAGCCTGAAGTAAGCCTATGGAAATCCAATCTAGCACAGAGTCTGAGGTGGAAACAAGTGTGTGTCTCCAAGTGTAAAGTAGTAAGTATGAGCTACGCATAGACACTCAGAGCTACGCACAATCTCCAAGTTCAAAGACAAACACCAGAGCAGGAGTTGTGGTGCAGCGGGTTAAGCCAGTGCTTGGGATGGCCCCATCGCACATCTGAGCACTGGTTCAAGTCCGCCTGCTCTGCTCTGGTCCGACTCCCCCCAGTGCTGGTTCAAGTCCGCCTGCTCTGCTCTGGTCCGACTCCCCCCAGTGCTGGTTCAAGTCCGCCTGCTCTGCTCTGGTCCGACTCCCCCCAGTGCTTCTGTGAAGCAGGCGACAGCACAAGCACTTGAGGGCCTGCCACCACTGGAGAGAGCTGGGTGAAGTTCCAGGTCCTGGCTGGGCCTAGGCCTAGCCCTGGTTGTTACAACTATTTAGGGAGTGAACCAGTGGCTAGATCTCTCTCTCTCTCCATGTCTCCCTCCCACTCCCTCATAAATCTGCCTTTCAAATAAATAAATCTTTCTCTTTTAAGATTTCATTTATCTATTTGAGAGGCAGAGTGACAGAGAGGGAGAGAGGGAGGGAGAGAAGTCTTCCATCTGCTGGTTCACTCCCCAGATGGCCTCAAGAGCCAGGGCTGGGCTGATCCAAAGCCAGGACCCAGGACTTCCCCTGGGTCTCTGAGGGTGTATGGGCCCAAGCACTTGGGCCATCCTCCACTGCTTTCCCAGGCCATAGCAGAGAGCTGGATCGGAAAAAGGGCGGCAGGGACAGAAACCAGCGCCCATAAGAGATGCCAGAACCATAGGTGGAGGCTTAGCCTACTATGCCACAGTGCCAGCCCTCAAATAAAACACATGGTTAAAAAACAAACACCACATCCAAACACGGCAAGGCAGTGAGCACTTGTCTCAGGTACCTCAGTACACCTGACGATCTTCTCATCAGTTTCGAAGTCTGCTTCCAGTTTTATCTTCTCACTTGGAAATCCTTGCAATGACAGTCCATCCACCGGACTGATAACACTACAGAGGAAAACAGTGTCGCTATTAGTACCAGAGAGGTTTTTATGAAATGAATTCTGAAATGTGAACAGATGGAATGAGGAGAAAAATCACAGAAGTTCCACATTTAAAACAAGACAGCTCAATTAAAGAAAAAATACTTAAATCAATAGTTCATGTTCATTTACCAAGATTTTTTTGATTAAATAATAATTTTTTGTTTATCCATAAACTCTATCTCCTTTTTACATGGCCTATTCAGATCCAGACCTGGTTTAAAGTGCCTTAAACAGTCTGATAGGAAAATCGCCCCACGGATTTGAAAACTCCCCTGTGGAACCCTTCAACATCAGCCCTGTTTTCCTTCTGTGCACCAAAGCCCCTCACTAATCCCCAGAAAAAAAAGAAAGGGGGTGCCGGCAGCGAGGAAGGAGCAACAGTGGTGCTCTGCAAGGCCTCTCAGGTGTGACTACAGCCAGCTGTGGGAGTGCACACAGTACAGCAAAACCACATGGAGGTTTCCTGAACAGAACTAGGTCTCACGTGACAGAAAAAGTCTCTCGCCACTGGCCCCTCCCTACCTGACCACCCCTTAATAATTGACAGCCTTCTTGCCAAGGAAACAGTCATAGGGCTGATTAGGTACATGGGTGAACAAACAGACTGCATTCAGCAGATAAGCATTTAAATTAATGGAATCATTCTTATTTTTCATTCATAACATTTTAATAAAAATCCAATTTTTATTAATCCTTGCCCTCCATCAGATCAATTATACATTAGTAACAAGAAAATTCCTACCCTTTGTTTCCTTTTTCTTCTGAGTCTACCCAGCAGATATCTACATATTCTCTCAGGTCTGCTGCGTCAGCTTTCCCACATGTAATTCTGAAGTCCTTCTGTTCTCGTAGAGCAAGCCGCAAGCCATCCATGGTCTCTGGAGTTATTTGTACCATTAAGCCATCTAAAAATGAAAGTCATGTTTCACATTCCTTTTGTCAAATATCAGTTTGTATGTCGAAGCTATAAAATCCACCATCAAAATATCTTCTACCTAAGATACAAGTTTTAAATCATTTATTAAACACATTAATGGTCATTTTACACTAAGAAATAAGAAAAGTACATCATGAGTTAAGCTTTTTTTTCCTTAAGGTTCAACAACTGGAATTTCTGCTTTGGTTATGAAGAAATAGTTAGTATCAAAGCAACTCTTTCATGACAACCAAACATAAAACTAGACAAAACGAATGCAGCATTTTCAGGGCCTGGACATTACACAATACAGCACGGAGATCTCTTAAACGTGCTGAGATTCAGTATGCACAATCCCACGTTCAAAAACCACATCCAAACCTCAAGAGCTAAGCCCACAACTAGCCCAGTCCTCCGGCTGGCCATTTCCGCAAGGTGATCTACTAAACCTACAAACCCCCTTGTAGGATGAGATCTCAGTCAGAGTTCAGCTTAGGGAATGGGAGACTGGTCTGGTCTAGTCTAGTGGCTAAAACACCGCATCCCAGGCTGGAGTGCCTGGATTCACACAGTATGTCAGCGGTGCAGGCAGTGGCTTAACCCCTGTGCTGCAACACTGGTCTCTCTTTGTCTCTTTCTACCTCACTCTGCCTTTTAAACAAACAAACCTTTCAAAAAAAGAAAAAAATCTACAGGCAAAACAAATTTGGAGACTGAAACCCGCCAAGTTCAAGGACCTAGGATTTCCACAGATCTATCTTAACAAAATGAAAAACCAAGTCAACACAAGCTCAAGGTGACTGACCATGAACTCACCTGTTAAAACATAAACTTTCAGGCCAGCGCTGCGGCTCACGAGGCTAATCCTCCACCTGTGGCACCGCCACCCCGGGGTTCTAGTCCCGGTTGGGGCGCCCGATTCTGTCCCGGTTGCTCCTCTTTCAGGCCAGCTCTCTGGTCTGGCCCGGGAAGGCAGTGGAGGATGGCCCAAGTGCTTGGGTCCTGCACCCCCATGGGAGACCAGGCGGAAGCACCTGGCTCCTGGCTTCGGATCGGCACAGTGCGCCGGCCATAGCAGCCATTTGGGTAGTGAACCAACGGAAGGAAGACCTTTCTCTCTCTCTCTCTCTAACTGCCTGTCAAAAAATAAAAATAAAAATAAAACTTTCCTCATAAAAAGCTAATAAAATCTGAAATCCCTACAGTGAAGCAATAATATATACAATCAAAAATTACTAGACAGAAACAGGAACATGCAACCCCACAGGTAACTGAAACCAACCCTGTGATAGCTATCTGAGCACACATTCTACAAAAGCTATGACAAATACATGCACAGGCCCAACAGGAACATTCAAACAATAAAAAGCAAACAGGGACTAAATGAATAAGCACATAATAAATGCTAACATAGAAACAGAACCTGGAAAAGAAACAAAAAGCAATGCTAGAACTGGAAAAGTGCATCTGAAAAAAATTAAAACCTTAATGGACAGGCTTCATAAACTGAAGATAGAAAAGAACTAACCAGATAACACAAATAGAGACCAATAAAAATAATCCAATAAGAAAAATACAAAAAGACTGAAGAAAAATTAACAGTATCAATGACTGATGGAGTAATATAAGATAATCCAGCACAACACACACATGCACATGGGGTCCAAGTCTTGGAAGGAGAAGAGAAATTTGGAGAGAAAAAAAAAAAGGTAAGAATTCCCCAAGTTTAATGAAAAATATTGACATGTGAGAGTACTTCAAAAACACGGAAAACTGAATTAAAAGATCAATTTATCTTTGTGCAAAAATCGCAATCCATGCACAACTTATTCACAATACTTATTTTCCATGAACTTTTTGAAGACCCTTCATATATATTCAAGAAGCTCAACAAATGCAAAACAGGATAACTAGTACTCAAACAGTATTTTTCACTTTGTGTTTCTATGTGTTGAAATCTTTACTTAATATATACTAAACTGATCTTCTGTATATAAAGAGAATTGAAAATGAATCTTGATGTGAATGGAAGGGGAGAGGGAGCGGGAAAGGAGAAGGTTGCAGGTGGGAGGGAAGTTATGGGGGGGAAAGCCATTGTAATCCATAAGCTGTACTTTGGAAATTTATATTCATTAAATAAAAGTTAAAAAAAATGCAAAGCAGGATAAATGCAAGCAGCCACATCCAGGCAAATCACAATTAAGCCAGTAAAAACAAGAGCGTAAGAATTTCTCCAAGTCAGGCTGAGGAAAAGGACACATTCATACACAGAAACACACACAGAATTACTGTTGACTTTTCATTAGAAACAACGGAGGCCAGAAGTTCCTCAAAAGATTAAAAATGTAACTACCATACAATCCAGGATCCCACTTCTGGGTATACTAATACAAAAAAACTGAAACCAAGACCTCAACAAGAGATCAGCATTCCCATGTTCATTGCACCAATATTTACAGTAGCCACAGAGGAAGAGAAAACGAATGTCATTCAACTTCTAAACTGGCAGGAACTGCCTAATACGCAACGACATATGCTGAGCAAACCCAGTCACAGAAAGACAAATATACCATAACTCAACTTATAAGTTATCCAAGATATTTGTAGTGGAATGCATAGAATCGCAGAGCAGACAGGTGGCTGCCAGGGGCTGAGTAGGGGAGATGGGACTTACTGATCAACAAGCACAAAGCTTCATTCCATGTTCTAGACATATGCTGTGCAATTTATAGCCACAGTCAACAAGAAAGTATCACGCTCTTAAAATCTGACATGAGGGTAGACCTCATATAACATTTTTACCACAATAACACCAGAAAATAATAGTAATAATGAAAAGAATCTGGTGCTCAGAAGACGACAAAATGGTATCTTTAAAATACTAAGAGAAAAAACTTCAAAGCAAAATTGTATGGCTAGCAAAAATCCTTCAGAAATGAGAATGAAACAAAGACAGGTTCAGATAAATGAAAGCCATCAGAATTGTTTTACAAAAGACACTAACAGGCTTCCAGCTCCCATGACAACATGTAAAGAGTTTAGAAGTCAACACTCCTATCCTCAGAACAAAAGCAAAAATACTAAACAAACTGAAAACAAACAACTCTTCTTAGATGCATCTTAGAACTAAGGTCACGGAGCAAACTGGCGCCCAGAAAACTTAACAAAGTCAAAACCAACAACAAAACACTCTAGCAATAAAACCCAAAAGCTTGGAAGATATACAAGAGGTCAATATAACTGGGTATCTCACATGCTAACATCAGAATAGATACGGCACACAGAAATGAATCATAAAGTTCACTTCTTTTTCAAAGTCATGAACTGATAAACATCAGTCAAGGAAGAAAAGTGTTCATGATCAATGCTTCTTTTATATTAGGAGTCCTAGCCAACAACCAGGAGAAATAATGAAAATACAGGAGAACTAGAGAGAAACAAGCAAAATTATCTTAATTATTAGATGATATAATTAGCTACACACAGAAAAAAACTAAAAAAAAAATCAACAAATAAATTACAAATCAGAGTTTATCTATGTAGATAGTTATAAAATAAAAATAAATGGAGCCGGTGCTGTGGCGCAGCTGGTAAAGCTGCTGCCTGTGGTGCCAGCATCCCAAATGGGCACCAGTTTGAGACCCATCTGCTCCACTTCCGATCCAGCTCCCTGTTATGGCCTGGGAAAGCAGCAGAAGATGACCCAAGTCCTTGGGCCCCTGCACCCGTGTGGAGACCTACAAGAAAATCCTGGCTCCTGGCTTTGGATCGGCACAGCTCTGGCCATTGTGGCCCATCTGAGGAGTGAACCAGCAGATGGAAGAACTCTCTCTCTCTCTCTTTGCCTTTCCTTCTCGCTGTGTGTAACTCTGACTTTTAAGTAAAATAAATAAATCTTTTTAAAAAATTTATTTCAATTTCCAGCCCAGCTAAAATTTTTCAAAAGATACAAGGTGCAGGAATAAGAAAAGATACACAAATTCTAAGCCAAAAAAACCTTACAATTTTATTGAAAGACTTTAAAAATGCCACAATCACAGAAAGGAATACTCAAAGTGGGAAATATGCCAATTTTCTCAAAAGTAAGCCAATGATTTTATGCAATCCTAAAAATAATTCCAATGGGCTTAATGTAAATCCTACAAGTTGATCCTAAAATTAAAAAGGAAAATTGAAGCTTAAAAGAAAAGGCTATAATTTGAATTCTGATTTGAACAAATTTTTTTTAAAAGTGAGACAACAGAGAAAATGTGACCACTGATTAGATATCTTTCATAAATAGGAACTACTGATAAAATATTATAGTAAGATAATAGCATTGGGGTTATGTTTCTGAAATGGTACTATTAGTGCTATATACTGAAATATCTACAAATGAAATGGTATAAAAATAATCCAGTGAGGTCAAAGTACTTAAGGGGTATGAAGACAGATTTTTTTTAAAGATATTTATTTATTTATTTGACAGGCAGAGTTAGAGAGAAAGAGAGAGAGTTAGAGAGAGAGAGAGAGAGAGAGAGAGAAAGGTCTTCCTTTCATTGGTTCACTCCCCAAGTGCCCGCAATGGCCGGAACTGCGCCGGTCTGAAGCCAGGAGCCAGGTGCTTCTTCCTGGTCTCCCATGCCAGTGCAGGGCCCAAGCACTTGGGCCATCCTCCACTGCCTTCCCAGATCACAGCAGAGAGCTGGACTGGAATAGGAGCAACTGGGACTAGAACCAGCGCCCACATGGGATGCCAGCACCACAGGCAAAGGATTAATCTAGTGTGTCATGGCTCCAGCTCCCAGATCATTGTTAAAGGTAAGTAATGGTTGGGGCCAGCACTGTGGCGCAGCGGGTTAAAGCCCTGGCCTGCGGCAACGGCATCCCATATGGCTGCCGGTTTGAGTCCTGGCTGCTCCTCTTCCAATCCAGCTCTCTGCTATGGCCTGGGAAAGCAGTGGAAGATGGCCCAAGTCCTTGGGCCCCTGTACCCACGTGGGAGACCTGAAAGAAGCTCCTGGCTTCAGATTAGCTCAGCTCTGGCTGTTGCAGCCATTTGGGAAATGAATCAACAGATGACAGAACACACACTCTCTCTCTGTAACTCTGTCTTTCAAATAAATAAAATAAATCTTTAAAAAAAAAAAAAAAAAGGTGAGTGATGGCTCCATTATGGGCTTTTTATTCTTTTCACTTTTATATACATTTGATGTTTTCCACAAAAAAAGCTAAAATTAAAAAAAAAAAAAGATTGTATGGTCCTTGTACAGGGTTAAACACACTGGCCGAAACAAAAGCTAAACAGAGCCCAGAAACAGCTTCTTGGGAAAATGTGTTATGTGACATTAAAGATTATTGGGAAAAAGAGACTTTTCACTGATACTGGATTACCTCCCACTCCAATGCAGAAAAATGCCACTGGATCCCTACCTCACAAAATACACCAACATAAATTCCAAATAGATTAAGGACTAAGGTGTAAAAGGCAAAACTTTAATTCTTCAGGAAAAATATAGGAGATTATCTTTCTTATTGGATAGGAGCATTTCAATACATATAAATAACTCCAGTTCTTAGGCTAGGTGGTGACTTCACTTAAGTTTATGGTACTATGCCTTATAACTTACATATATTCTTGTGCAAGTTATCAAAAAATTTTTGTATATATTTATTTATTTATTTGAAAGTCAGAGTAACAGAGAGAGAGAGAGCTTCCATCTGCTGGTTCACTCCCCGAGTGGCCACAAAAGCTAGGGCTGGGGCAAACTGAAGCCAGGAGTACATCCAGTTTTCCCACCTAAGTGGCAGGGGCCCATAGACTTGGGGCATCTTCCATTGCTTTTCCCAGGCCATTCACGCAGAGCTAGATGGGAAATAGAGCAGCCAGGACTTGAACCAGTGCCCATATGCAATGCCAGCATCACATACAGCAGCTTTACCACTATGCTGCAACACCAGCCTCCCCCACCCCCCGTTTTTTTAAAGTAATCTTAAAAAAGAAACACATACCTTCAACAATGCTGGACTTAGCAAGAAATCCTGAAGATGTCTTCAGTGCTCCATTGAATACCACAAAACTTGCACCTGTCACTGATAACGAAACATGATTATTTATGTTTTAACCTGCTCATTTTTATGTTGGTTAAATATTGAATGTGCAACATGTGCATTTTAAGTGCTTGATAAACATTCTATCTATTTCACTTATTTTAGAAAGCGAATTAAAAAACCAAGTCCCCCAAATTAAAACATAGAATAAAACAATTTAATGTTTGTATCTAATAAATGATAGACTATTAATTTAAATGATCATGTTTGTGGTGGTGAGAGTGTGGGAAATTAAACATTCACTACTACTAGGAGTTTAAATCAAAACAGTCTCAATGGAGATTTAACTTGACAATTACCTATTAAAACTACAAATAAATGTATCCTTTGACACATCCAGTCTACAGCCAGGACCTTATCCTATGGATAGGTTCAAATGTACATAAAATGGCATGTACACAAGGTCATTTACAGAAGCATTTGTTTTAAATAGTTGATGGTTAATAATTTATGACTCTCAGTAAGACGGTTAAATGATTTACACATATAAAATGTAAAGCTCCATAGAATGTGAAAGCAGTATATACCAACAAAGAATTATCTCTAAGTTGTGTTACTGAAAGAAAGCAACATGCCCAACAGAACGAATGTTATGACTTATCTAGTGAAAGGAAGAGAAGACACACTCATGCGCATGCATGTGTATTTGCTTAGACATACATCAAAGCAGAAAATGTCTCTGAAAAAAGCTGATTAACACCGGTTTGGGTGCCAGAGAAGAAGGTAAGAGGATGTCCACTATGGCCATATCTTGGTGCTTTTCTCCTTTTGACTTTTTAATATGTATTTTTCAAGCTTACCGCAAGTGACTACAAAATTGGCCCTCTGAATCCATGGGCTGTGCATCCACACAGTCAACCAATCACAGGTAAAAAAAATATTTAAAAGAAATGCACCTGTGCTGAACAAGTAGAGATTTTTTCCTTCTTGCCCTTATTCTCTTAAAAATAAATAACCACTTACACTGTATTAGATGTAAGCAACCTAGAGATGATTTCAAGCGTACGAAGGACGTGTGGGAGTCTTACAGGTTATATGCAAACACCTAGGCCTTGTTTCTGGGGATTCTGGAATGAATACGCAGTGGCTATCAAAGGATGACTACATACTACTGCTACAATTAGAGGACAACATTCCATTAGCAGTCGGATTGTGAAACAACTTCCAATATGCTCTTCTATAATACACATTGGTGTCCAAAGCACTTCCATTTGTTAGGCACTCCGCTCCAAGGTTCTGGCATTGCAGCAAGCACGGAGGCCACGAAGCCAGAGTGCAGACAGGATCCACAGTTCTGCTCACTCCACCGCATTTATGGTTTTCTGAATCACCTTTCTCCTTATCCCTACCCCATCTGCACCTCCTAACTAAGAGGGCTGGCGCAGAGAGGGAACAAATTTGAAAACACCTTATTCCAGAGCAAAATTACTCCTGGGTGGAGTTCAGACACTAGAGACTTCAAAAGGAATATAGTCTTCAAGCCTGACGGAGCCCAAGAGAAAACTACACATTAGAAGCAATACTGGCCGGCGCCGCGGCTCACTAGGCTAATCCTCCGCCTTGCGGCACCGGCACACCGGGTTCTAGTCCCGGTCGGGGCGCCGGATTCTGTCCCGGTTGCCCCTCTTTCAGTCCAGCTCTCTGCTGTGGCCAGGGAGTGCAGTGGAGGATGGCCCAAGTGCTTGGGCCCTGCACCCCATGGGAGACCAGGAGAAGCACCTGGCTCCTGCCATCGGATCAGCGCGGTGTGCCGGCTGCAGCGCGCCAGCTGCGGCGGCCATTGGAGGGTGAACCAACGGCAAAGAAAGACCTTTCTCTCTGTCTCTCTCTCTCACTGTCCACTCTGCCTGTCCAAAAAAAAAAAAAAAAAAAAGCAGCAATACTGTTTGAACTTCCACGTGTGCAGCTGAACTCCTAGGCATACGGTTTTATCACCATCAGTTCAGCAAACAGGAAAGACAGGCAGACTTCCCTCTGAGAGGAGTCTCACGAGCTGAGGCAGCTGTGCCAGTGAGCGCCGGGAGCATGCTGCTGACCTTTCCGGGGCTGGCCAGTGGCACTGCTGGCCTGTGTCTGATACACGCCATCGCTCTGCACACAGACCAGGTGAGAGTCGGCCTCCGTGCTGAAACTAGCGCCGATGCTGATGACGTGCTCGTTAGAAGAGCTGATCACTTTCATCACCTGCAAAGACAGTAACAGCAGCACCTGCTCAGAATCACGTCTAACAGTTTATGTCTATTCTGAGAATCACGTTACTGACAAGCTTCCAAAGTATAAAGCTTTAATCTGGACAAATTCCTGGGAATGTGAGAGAAAAAAATTTTTTTAAATAAAATCATCTTAATTAACAAATCAAACAATAAGGACAAAAGATTAAAAACAGGATTAAACAAGTTCCTTATGTGTAAACAAATAATAAAGTTTTTTTTTGACAGGCAGAGTGGACAGTGAGAGAGAGAGACAGAGAGAGAAAGGTCTTTCTTTGCCGTTGGATCACCCTCCAATGGCCGCCGCTGCAGCCGGCGCACCGCGCTGATCCGATGGCAGGAGCCAGGAGCCAGGTGCTTTTCCTGGTCTCCCATGAGGTGCAGGGCCCAAGCACTTGGGTCATCCTCCACTGCACTCCCTGGCCATAGCAGAGAGCTGGCCTGGAAGAGGGGCAACCGGGACAGAATCCGGCGCCCCAACCGGGACTAGAACCCGGTGTGCCGGTGCCGCAAGGTGGAGGATTAGCCTAGTGAGCCACGGCGCCGGCTCCAAAAAATAAAGTTTTAAGAACAGTATTTATTGCCATTATGAGTCTAATTCAAAACAAAAAATAATTTGACACAATTTTAAAGAATTATAACATTTAATTTAAAATTTGAACAATGCAAGTATACTTACATCACTGTATTTTTTCCGAGGTATTTTAATGCAGCTTTTCCCCATTTCCATATGAATCAACAGCTGGTCTATATTATGCAAAGTATACTGGTAATTGCGAAGGTCCTAAATAAGATAACGTATTTCCATAATCCTTGAACCACCACATTCGGGAGAGTTCACCCATCCATCACATCTCCCAGGGGCAGCCGTCACTGTAAGGCTTCTGACACAGAACTATCAAAATGCCCTCTAAAAAGACAACACCCACCTAGGAAAGAATTCTTTCTGCTACTCCACAATAGTAATAAAGACTATCATTCTCAGGAAGAATTCTGTGGTATTTTGGGGAATCTCCTCTTTCTAATTACAGCTCTTCTGAGGTAGAAAAAGCTTCTTTTTAAAAACTTTTTCATTTATATAAAGGGAACAAATTTCATGTATTTAATATATACAGTTTGAAGGACATGATACTTCCCATCCTACTCCTCCTTCCTTTTTTTTCTTTTTTTTTTTTTTTTACAATGGCATACTTTCAATTTACTTTATAATCACACGCAGATATGGAAAACTGAAAGTGAATCCTCTGAAATTCTTTTCTTTGGTAACAGGTGAACACAAAATTACAAAAACCAAAGGTGCAACTCCATGTGACTGGATTATTCCACATCATCCAATTCTTCCCAACACAGAAGAGGAAACTAAAAACAGAAACTGCTCAAAAGCCACAAAACAAATTAAATTTACTAATACTTTCATGAACGCTCCAACAACCCTAGAAGCCTATGTAGGGTTCTCCTATTCCCTACACATGGAAGACCTGAAGCACAATACACTACCCGGAGTTCAAATCAATTACATATACGGTGGGAAATACTATGTTCTAAAACAGCAATTCACCAAACAGAGCCCATTTATGTTTAGCAAATAGGATTCATTATAAATAAATCTTTATTATACCAAACGTGCCATTAAAGCAGGAAAACAAATGTATGAAATTTGCTAAATGCAATTTTAAGGTAACAGTATGAGAACACCAATTACTTACAACAAGTAGGTTCATAATAGTGTGGCCTATTTCTCCAAAGAGAGGCTTTCGGCCCCTGATGCTGGTAAGTGGAGCAGGATATGCTACAGATAAGGAAGGACACCAGGTTAATGCCAACAGAAATCCACCAAGGCTTGAATTTATTACCTGTAATTCTCATCTTTCAAGTAAACATTATGTATAAATACAACCTAATTGGTTCTCGAGGAAGTGGCCCTTACTATGTTTCTACTACATGCTATATTGGACTGGGAACTTTACATACATTATCTTATTTAAACCCTGCACAACACAATGAGAAAGTATTGTAGATGAGAAAGGTGAGACACACAGTGACTAAATTAATATCTGATGAAACAGATGTGAAACTGGCCTTACCTCCTTCCAAAGTATTTATTTATTTATTTTATTTTTTGACAGGCAGAGTGGACAGTGAGAGAGAGAGACAGAGAGAAAGGTCTTCCTTTGCCGTTGGTTCACCCTCCAATGGCCGCCGCAGCCGGCGCGCTGCAGCCGGCACACTGCGCTGATCCGAAGCCAGAAGCCAGGTGCTTCTCCTGGTCTCCCATGGGGTGCAGGGCCCAAGCACTTGGGCCATCCTCCACTGCACTCCCTGGCCACAGCAGAGAGCTGGCCTGGAAGAGGGGCAACCGGGACAGAATCCGGCGCCCCGACCGGGACTAGAACCCGGTGTGCCGGCGCCGCAAGTCGGAGGATTAGCCTAGTGAGCCGAGGCGCCGGCTCCAAAGTATTTAATCTTCTCATTACACATATTGTTTCTGCAGAATTATGGGGAGTAAAAAGTACAATAATTGGCTAGATGTGTAAAAAATTCTGATAATTTAAAAATAAATACAAGGGCCAGCCAGCACTGTAGTACGGTTAGTGCAGTTAAGCCGCTGGCATCCAATATGAGCACCAGTTTAAGTTCTGGCTGCTCTACTTCCAATGCATCTCCTTGCTAATGTGCCTGGGAAAGCAGCAGCAGATGGCTCAATGACTCGGATCCCTGCCAACCACATGGGAGGCCAGGTTGAAGCTTCTGGCTCTTAGCTTGAGCTTGGCCCAGCACCAGCTTTTGCGGCTATTTGAGGAGTAAACCAGCAGATGGAATCTCTCTTTAAAAAAAAAAAAAAAAAAAAAAAAAAGATTTATTTATTTATTTGAAAGTCAGAGTTACACAGAGAGAGGAGAGGCACAGAGAGAGAGAGAGAGAGGTTTTCCATTCAATGGTTCACTCCCCAACTGGCTGCAATGGCCAGAGCTGCACCAATTCGAAGCCAGGAGCCAGGAGCTTCTTCCAGGTTTCCCACGTGGCCGCAGGGACCCAAGGACTTGAGCCATCTTCCACTGCTTTCCCAGGCCATAGCAGAGAGCTGGACTGGAAGTGGAGCAGCCGGGACTCAAACCGGCGCCTATATGGAATGCCGGCACTGCAGCTTTTACCCACTATGCCACAGCCTGTCTCTCTCTCTCTCTCTCTCTCTCTCTCTCTCTCTCTCCAAAGAAAGACATCTAAGGCATTTATAATTTACATGTAATTATGTTAATCCATGAATGCTAGTAAACCTTTATAGCTCTTATCATGATGAAAGGAGCACTTGCAGTCAGAGAAACCAATGCAGCAGAGAGAACGGGACATAGGGTCTGTCATCTAACCACTTTTCTCTCTCTCAAGGACACTACAAATACTGAACACCAAACAGGAAAAGATGACTTACTGGCAATGCAGCAGGCACTCTGAAAGAAAAGAAAAGTGAAAGAAAAGAAGGCGAGACTATCTCCACAGTGAAAAGAAGCAGTGTTTTCAACCTTCAGTTCTCAGCTTCACTCAAAATTAAATGAACCCTCTAATATCTACTATGCAAACTTGCTTAAAATTGTCACATACCTGACAATTATCTGTTAGTAATTTAAAGACTTAGAGCAATACATGCTTGCTGAAGTACTTTGTGATTTTTAAAAAGGGCAACTAACTTTGGAGGACAAAGGGTCTAGACTGGAAAGAAACCACAAGATAGTTTTGAAAAGCCATTAAAATGGAGGCCAAGAGCTGTGGCATAGCAGGTAAAGCTGCCTCCTGCGAACCCAGCATCCTACAGAGGCACCAACTCACATCCTGGCTGCCCCACTTTTGATCCAGCTCCCTGCTAATGCACCTGGGAAAGTAGCAGAAGATGGCCCAAGTGGTTGGGCCCCTGCACCCACATGGGAGACCCCAAAGAAGCTACCAGCTCCAGGCTTTGGCCTAGCTCAGCCTGGCCATTTGGGAAGTGAAATGGTAGATGGAAGATCTTTGGCTCTCCCTTTCTCTCTAACTCTGCCTTTTAAGTAAATACGTCATTTTTTAAAAAGCCATTAAAATGATAAAGGACATGAGGAATGTAAATGCCAAAGTTTCGTACCCAATCTGTATGAATGAGAGAGCACCTTCACCATGGGGTAGAGGCGATTTTATTTAAAACACTATGTTATCTCATCTCATCTAATACTGTTCTAAAAAAGGAATCTCAGCATAAAGCAGACATTCCCCATCTGCAAATCACTAAATTAATCATTTTAGGATTTTAATCAGATCTTGGAACTTTAACTTTTGCCACCAGCTTTTTCTATTTGTGCATTATCTGTGTATCATAAGCACATACAGACCCAAGTTCATGTCTAAAGAGGCATGGACCTAATAATATCAAAGTGCCATTCTATCTAAAATATAGTAGAACATCAGAATGTATCAGAAGCTAGTTAACTTTTATGTATAACTGGTGATTCTCCTTCATCACAATTTCACAGTTCCAACTCCTGTGATCTTCTGAGAAATCTCTCACATTGCTCCAAGATTTCCCAATCTTCAACTTGAGAAGAAAAAACTTGCTACCTAGAAGTTCTACTGGCCAAAATACTGGCCATACTTACAGATTAAATGTTCCATAATGATTTAAGATTTGACAGTTATTACCATAATCTTCCATAAAACAGCATTCAAATATTAATATCAGAAACAAAATACAAGGGTACTTCAAAATGCTTGTGGAAAAAAGGAGTTAAAAGGTAAGTTCAGGGGTGGGCACTGGGGACAGTGGTTAACACACCACGTGGGATGCCCACATTCCATATCAGTGCTGGGTTCAAGGCCCATCTCTGCTTCCAATTCCAGGTTCCTACCATCATACACCTGGGAGGCAGCAGGTGATGGCTAAGGCAGTGGGGTCCCTGCCACTCACTTGGGAGACAAAGATGGAGTTTCTGGTTCCAAGCCTCAGCATGGCCTACTCACTGCAGGCATTTCTGGAGTGAACAAGTGGAGGGATACTGTCTCTCAAATAAATAATCCTTTAAAAAAACCCACAATACCATAACAAAAGAGTTCCACTAATACATTAAAGTTTATTTTAATAACTTTCTAAAATCTTATATTTGAAATATGTAATATAACTTATAATTCTAAACTTACCTTTATACTCTGCACCCAATCTCAACATTAAACGCATGGGAAAAACCTTTGCCCAGGGAATCTCGAGCTTCTGAATAAGAATCCCACAGAGGAAAGGACGACTTGGTAGGGGGAGATCATCAAGTTTCTGAAAAGTAGGTGCGATGAACAGGAATCCTCCATGATCCTTGTCATTGAGAAAGCTCTCAGTAAATGTAATATTGTCCAAGTTTTCTATGTATTTTCCTGGAAATAAATTCATCATACAAAAATTTTAAGTTGTTTACTAAGTATTCTGAAGAAATATTATAAATTCAAATAAGCTTTCTTAAGTCAAAAGCAATGAAAAGTACTTTTATCTACTCTTAAAGAAGTACCCTCTGTGCAAAAAAGCTCAATTACTTCTACACATCAGAAATTGTAAACAAAAATCTGCAAATGTTTCCAACCACACATGCCTTTAGTGTCTCCTCACTGCTTAGTCAAATGAAACATTATCATGTCTTTCGTTGTGTAGTAAGAGCATACAGACACATCAAAAACTCAATAAGGCAAATATATTTTCATTTTTATAGTAAGTTTTGTGTCTACTCACTATTCACACTGAATGCTAGATTTAAGGAGACTGAAAGTAATGATTAAGACCTTTTAAGAAATCGGCAATCTCCACATAAACGAAATCTTTAGTACAACTAGCACAGCTCAAAGCAGAAATGCCTTTAACTGCTCTAGCCCTGTCTGCAGAGTTCAAAACAAAGTGCAATACCTTTTAGAGCGCCCTTATATATGGTGATAAACAGTCTGAAGATGTCCTTAGGAATAGTATCTTCGTTTGGCAAGCATGACAACAGAATAATAATTTCTGCCTGTCCCAAGCCATGCAATCCATTGGTTGAGAAGTACCAATATTTGTCTGAGGAATCTTAAGTGATAGAAACATACAGTTATAAACGTCAACTTCTATTAACCAAAATAAATTATTTTTCATAAAGCACACCTTCTCCGATTTATTATTTTCCCAAAGTTCTCCTCATAAAAATTTAAAATTGAATTGTATCAGATTCATATAAAAATAATTATCCTATGAAGTCAATTAACAAATAACAGTAAAATAAAAGATACAATATTATAAGGTTATTATAAAAGGTTTGTGGAAATGCACATTATTTTTAATTCCATTTTTCCACAAACTTTTTAAAGTACTCTCATATACTGAAAAGCAGTGAGAATTAGGTTAATTTCAAAGGGAATGAAAAGTTTATATGATTTGTGAGGTTTACTTATTATTAAGGTTATTTATTTCTTCACTTTCAATTAGGTCACATGTCAACTACTTTAGAAATATCTTTTTCAAAAAGAAATGACCTATTTGAGACACAGGCAAAAGGACAGCGCTCCCTTCACTCTCCAGATGCCTGCAATGGCCAGGAATGGTGATGGTTAAAGCAGGTGGCTGGGGACTCCATCCAGGTCTCCTATGTAGGTAGCAGGAATCCAACCACTTGAGCTATCACAGTACTTCCCACAGTGTGCATTAGCAGGAAGCTGGAGTCAGGAGCTGGAACTCCAATAAGGGACACAAGTGTCTTAACCATCATCCTCACTGCTAAGCCAAACATTCACTCATAAAACTGTTTTTATTGCCACTAAACCAGGATTCTTGCTTATATCCTGGTTTCAAGTTACCTAAAAGCTATAGAAGACAAGTCAATTGTATCACAAAATCCAAATACAACTCAGCTTTGAACCCATGACCTTAACCTAAGACTAATGCCAGTAAACATCTATAAACTCACATTTCAAATTCCACTGAATATAAATTTGTAAAATTTACATATAGTTATATCTGGCTGAAAAACCAATGTACAATGCTACTAATTTTTCACTATGGCAAATCCAAATATAACCTGAAAATAAAATTACTTCAGAAATCCCGCTTACCAATTAGGCAAAGAAAGATGAACCACTACTCACAAAATACTAACTTCACATTCACGAGGAGGTTAGCATTTAGGACAAACGTAACAGGACGCCACTCTTCACCTTTGAGAAGCATAGTGATCTGCTCATGAGCTGGGTGCTCTTCAACTATAGGCACTAAATAATGGGAATTATACATTCATCAGGATAAATATCCTTTCAAACACACTTACAATGAAAAATATATAAATCTACCAATGGCCCATCAAAATCAACAAAAGCAATCATGTTTCATAAAATCAATCAATACCCTGGACAAGTGTGATACATTCACTTTTACTTTCTACTCAAGTCAATAATGTACTGCATATAAATTTCAATCTGTTCTTATATAGAATATATTTCATATATTTGTTAAATAGCCTATTAATATAATTTTACCACATCACAGTTTTAATACTTTTATAAAAAGGATTCCAGTGTGCCAGTTACCCCACTGATAACTTCTGAAATTCACAAGTTTGTAAAATTAGTCTAGACCCAAGTTACACATCCTGCCTGCTTCGTCTACCTCTGTGACAGGTGGCACAAAGAAAAAAAAGATCTTGACAATCAACAGGCAAACAGACATGGTATGCACAGAACAGAGCTCACTTTGTTTCTCTACTACAGCTACTTCACTTTGGAAATGGCTTCTGCTGATACAACAGACATCCTGAGTTTCACTCCCCAAATCGTCATGCAAAGAACCACCTCTTCATGTTGGACAAGGCAACATAATGCCAACGTGACAAATGTCCATTACAGAGAACCACCTGAGCTAGGAGCTAGCTACAGTAGCTCCAGCTTGAAGAGGACCCCAAAGATCAACTGGGCTCTATTCTTTCACAAAGGCACTCGAGGCCCAGCGAGATTAAATAACATCTTTGAAGTTATATATGTAGAAAGTGGCAGATAGGAACTAAAATTCCTAGCTCTGTCAATTTAACAACCTTTTCTTAAGGAAGCATGCTCTTAAAAAATGCATTTCATATATCATAGATAAAATCCATAAATCTAATCTTTAAGAAATTACTTTTAAATTGAAGTAACTGCTAGCCTACCTGATCCCTCTTCTCCAGCAGCAATGAGAAGTGGGGGCAAACTGTCCTCATCATTAGGAAGAAGACTGACCTTGTTGCAAACACATTTCTCAATCCCACACAGTAACTGATAGTCTGAAGTACCAGCAGCAGGCCTGGTGCTGTTAACCGTGACAGCAGGAGGAGCAGAAGGCTCTTCACTCTCTGTAAAAACATCATCATCTACAAGAGAACCGGGAGGAGGCAAGCCCTCCGTTCCTGTGTATACAGGCAGTTTTCCCACAGAAGGAACCTGAGAAGCAGGACTCTGAATTATCTCCACTTTTGTAGTATCTCCTAATTCATTGTTTGGTTTTTCCACTGTAGAAGAATGGACATGATCCACTGTGTTTGCCATCTGTAAAATACAAAGTAAACAAATCAGTTCACGCTCACTGATGAACAGTGAAATGTTTTTTGTAGCCAAAGATATCTTTATTATTATTATTTTTTTAAGATTTATCCATGTACTTGAAAGAGTTACACAGAGAGAGAAGGAGAGGCAGAGAGAGGTCTTCCATTTGCTGGTTCACTCCCCAGATAGCTGCAATGGCTGGAGATGTGCTGATCCGAAGCCAGGAGCCAGGAGCTTCCTCTGGGTCTCCCACACAGGTGCAGGGACCCAAGGACCTGGGCCATCCTCCACTGTTTTCCCAGGCCACAGCAGAGAGCTGGATTGGAAGTGGAACAGCCGGGACTTGAACTGGCATCTGCATGGGATGCCGGCACTGCATATGGCAGCTTCACATCTTAACTGACATGGTAACTGCTTGGCTAAATGCCTACCTCAGTTTTTACTTATTAAAAAGATATGTTTGGCTGGCGCCGCGGCTCACTAGGCTAATCCTCTACCTGCAGTGCCGGCACCCTGGGGTTCTAGTCCCAGTTGGGGCGCCCGATTCTGTCCCGGTTGTTCCTCTTCCAGTCCAGCTCTCTGATGTGGCCCGGGAGTGCAGTGGAGGATGGCCCAAGTGCTTGGGCCCTGCACCCCTGGGAGACCAGGAGAAGCACCTGGCTCCTGCCTTCGGATCAGCGCGGTGCGCCGGCTGCAGCGACCACTGGGGGGGTGAACCAATGGAAAAGGAAGACCTTTCTCTCTGCCTCTCTCTCTCTCACTGTCCACTCTGCCTGTCCAAAAAAAAAAAAAAAAAAAGATGTTTGAGGGGGTTGGCGCTGTGGTGCGGCAAAAAGAACTTCTGTACATATTACAGAATGAGCAAGCTTAGCTCAGCCCACGGCCCTCCTTTTCTCATCAGAACTTAAGAAGTCACTGGGTGTGTAGAGAAAGGAAAAAGGCATGAGGAGAGGTAAATGGTTAGGAGGCAGACAGGTACACAGTCCGTGACAGCAATCACCTAGAATAAACGACCTAAAGCTGCTTCAATAAAGCCCTTTGATTTTTAAAGGCACAGCATCAATTATTTTTTTTTTAAGAAAAAAACTATGCACTGATTTAAAGTTACAGAGAGAGGGAGAGACAGAGAAAGGTCTTCCATCCTCTGGTTCACTCCCCAAATGGCCACAACAGCCGGAGCTGGGCCAATCCGAAGCCAACAGCCTGAGCTTTCTCCAGGTCTCCCATGTAGGTGAAGGGGCCCAAGCACTTGGGCCATCTTCTGTTGCTTTTCCAGGCAATGGCAGAGAGCTGGATCAAAAGAGGAGCAGCTGGGACTAGAAACAGCGTCCACATGGGATGCGAATGCCGCAGGTGGAGTCTTAGTCCACTATGACACAGCACCAGCTTCAAAAGTTATTAAAAATTTATTTGAGAGACAGCAGGGGGTGGTGGGGAGGAAAGCACACGAGCAAGCTCCCACCCCCTGGTTCACCCCAGTTTCCAGCAAGAGGACAAAGTAGAGAGTTGGGAACTCAATCTAGGTCTCCCATGTGAGTGGCTGGAACCCATATCGCTGGAGCCATCAACGGTGCCCACCAGCATCCGCATTAGCAGGAGTCTGGAGATGGAGCTGGGTACTGAACAAGGTACCCTGAGATGGGCTGTGGTACTGAACACAGGTACCCTGAGATGGGCTGTGGTACTGAACACAGGTACCCTGAGATGGGCTGTGGTATGAACACAGGTACCCTGAGATGGGCTGTGGTACTGAACAAGGTACCCTGAGATGGGCTGGGTACTGAACACAGGTACCCTGAGATGGGCTGTGGTATGAACACAGGTACCCTGAGATGGGCTGGGTACTGAACACAGGTACCCTGAGATGGAGCTGGATACTGAACACAGGTATCCTGAGATGGGCTGTGGTACTGAACACAGGTACCCTGAGATGGGCTGTGGTACTGAACACAGGTACCCTGAGATGGGCTGTGGTACTGAACAAGGTACCCTGAGATGGGCTGTGGTACTGAACACAGGTACCCTGAGATGGAGCTGGGTACTGAACACAGGTACCCTGAGATGGGCTGTGGTATGAACACAGGTACCCTGAGATGGGCTGTGGTACTGAACACAGGTACCCTGAGATGGGCTGGGTACTGAACAAGGTACCCTGAGATGGGCTGTGGTACTAAACACAGGAACCCTGAGATGGGCTGTGGTACTGAACTAGGTACCCTGAGATGGGCTGTGGTATGAACACAGGTACCCTGAGATGGGCTGTGGTATCAACACAGGTACCCTGAGATGGGCTGTGGTACTGAACACAGGTATCCTGAGATGGGCTGTGGTACTGAACACAGGTACCCTGAGATGGGCTGTGGTATGAACACAGGAACCCTGAGATGGGCTGTGGTATGAACACAGGTATCCTGAGATGGGCTGTGGTACTGAACACAGGTACCCTGAGATGGGCTGTGGTACTGAACACAGGTACCCTGAGATGGGCTGTGGTACTGAACACAGGTACCCTGAGATGGGCTGTGGTACTGAACACAGGTACCCTGAGATGGGCTGTGGTACTGAACACAGGTACCCTGAGATGGGCTGTGGTACTGAACACAGGTACCCTGAGATGGGCTGTGGTACTGAACACAGGTACCCTGAGATGGGCTGTGGTACTGAACACAGGTACCCTGAGATGGGCTGTGGTACTGAACACAGGTACCCTGAGATGGGCTGTGGTACTGAACACAGGTACTCTGAGATGGGCTGTGGTACTGAACACAGGTACCCTGAGAGGGGCTGTGGTACTGAACACAGGTACCCTGAGATGGGCTGTGGTACTGAACACAGGTACCCTGAGATGGGCTGTGGTATGAACACAGGTACCCTGAGATGGGCTGTGGTACTGAACACAGGTACCCTGAGATGGAGCTGGGTACTGAACACAGGTACCTTGAGATGGGCTGTGCTATGAACACAGGTACCCTGAGATGGGCTGTGGTACTGAACACAGGTACCCTGAGATGGGCTGTGGTATGAACACAGGTACCCTGAGATGGGCTGTGGTACTGAACACAGGTACCCTGAGATGGGCTGTGGTGCCTCAACCATGAGGCTGAATGGCCGTCCCCTCCTCCCTTTCTTTTTAGACTGACACCATCAGTATTAGATGAGAAATATTACTGAAATCAAGTGAATTTACTTCTAATTTAAAATTGTTACAATACTGATTCAAATATGCACTTACTAAGGAATATATACTTCTGATAATTATGGGTATTGTGAAATCTAGCTCAACACAGAAAGCGTATGCTTATATAGTATGCCTGTTGTCTACTCAGTGTTCCCAGGATCAATTAGGTGACTGGCAGACAGAAGCTGCTCAATAAATATTTGTTAAATCATCTCTAATGCATAACCAGTAATTGTTTCTATGGCTACTTTGTGATTTACAAGATTTCCCAGTGGGCTAGAATTCTGTATTATCTCTCTTCTACTTAACAACTAGCACATTTGTATAAATGCAAACATAAATATTACTGAAGAACCAAAGTGACTCCATTTTTAAACAATAAAAAAAGCAGCCTCCGTTTCCCATAGCAGACCCGGGTCCTCGTAGAAGCAGGCATTCAGGCATTCCAGAGGTATCAAAGCTCACCAGGGACAGCCAGCTCGGTAGACCAAGGACAGCACAGTAGAGACTGCTGAACAAAGTAACTCCCTGTGCCCAGAGCTCCTGTGCTGTATGTAACTCTTTTTTCCTGCTGATGTAGCCCTTTTTTCCTTTAAAAACTTCTCCCTAACAAAGACCGGGGCCTCACTCCTTCCTCCGCTGTGCCGGTTGGTTGGATGGGGTCCCCGTGGCGGCTTGTACTCCCGAATAAACCTTGCTTTTGCAGTTCGGTGTGACCAACTCTCTGAGGGTCTCTGCGGGGATCTAACGATCTGGGCACAACATACTTTTTGGTGCCCAACATTACTATCACTTTCCTGAATGTTTGAACACCATTCAGTAATTGTTAGTCTAAATTAACTGACTAAATCTCCATTACATTTCCCTATTCCGGTGGTTCTCAAAATGTGATCCAGGAATCTAGGCAGCAAATGAGCTCCTAGGATTTTCTTCTTAGAACTTAATGAAAACAACTAATCATAAAACACTGAATGTAGAAGCAGATGTGAAAATTTGTCTTAAGTTAGATACTAATGAATTCTGCAAAAATATAAAACAATGCCACTTGTCTCACTGAACTTTTGTTTTGCAAAAATTGTCATAAAACATTATTTCCATTAATGTACTGAGTTTATTTTGCAATTAATAAATATTTGTAAATTTTCTGAATTTTAATTTTAATACAATTATTCATAAGTTTAACTCACTGAGGCCGGCACTGTGGCATAGTGAGTAAAGCTGCTGCCTGCAGTGCTGGCATCCCATATAGGCACTGGTTCAAGTCCTGGCTGCTCCACTTATGATCCAGCTCTCTGCTACAGCCTGGAAAAGCAGTAGAAGATGGCCCAAGTCCTCAGGTCCTCACACTCATGCAGGAAAGCCAGAATGAGCTCCTGGCTTCGCATCAGCACAGCTACATTGTGGCCATCTGGGAAGTGAACCAGTAGATGGAAGACCACTTTGACCTGCCTCTGCCTATCTGTAAAACTCTTTCAAATAAATAAATACAATTTTTTAAAAAATTGAGGAATGTCTTTTAAAAAAAAAAATTTGACAGTTACAGAGAAAGGTAGAGCCAGAGAGAGGTCTTCCATCCACTAGTTCACTCCCCAAAGGCTAGTTCACTCCCCACTGCACCACAGCACTAGCCCTGAGCAATGTCTTAAATGCAAATAAATAAATAAATAAATAAGAAGTATAGCCCACATAACCTCAATTTTTGGGGGGTTCTCAACAACTTGTAAGAATATAAAGGATTCTGGGGGCTGGCGCTGTGGCACAGCAGGTAGAGCTGCCACCTGCAGTGCCAGCATCCCATTTGGGCACTGGTTCTAGTCCTGGCTGCTCCACTTCCGTCCAGCTCTCTGCTATGGCTTGGGAAAGCAGCAGATGGCCCGAGTCCTTGAGCCACTGCAACTGTGTGTGAGTCCTGGAAGAAGCTCCTGGCTTCGGATCGGTGCATCTCCTGCTGTTGCGGCCATCTGGGGAGTGAACAAGCAGATGGGAGACCTCTCTCTCTCTTTACCTCTGCCTCTCTGCAACTCTTTCAAATAAATAAATTAATTAAAAAAAAAAAAAGAATATAAAGAATCCTGGGAATATAAAGAATCCTGGGAATATAAAGAATCCTGGGAATATAAAGAATCCTGGTTTGAGAACCAAGGGCTTCAACTTACATTATAAAGAGTAAAATCTCATCCATAGTCACTGGAGCGGGTGCTGGCACAGCAGTTAAGGCACTGCTTGGGACTCCCGCATCTTACATCAGAGCGCCTGGGTCTGAGTCCTGGCTTTGCTCCCAGCTTCCTGTTAATGCACACCCTTAGAGGGGGCGGATGATGACTCAACTGGTTGGATCCCTGCTTTCCATGTGAGAGATTCAGATTGTGCTCTCGGCTCCTAGCTACAGCCTGGTCTAGCTCTGGCTGTTGTGAGCATTTGGGAAATAAATCAGAATATGGAAGACACCTGTATGCTTCTGACTTTAAAATAAAATGAAAATACACCACTAGAATTTTTTAAAAAGAACCCTTTAAATATATATGTATACATATATTCACTACATCAGTAAGACATACCTCAAAGATTTCTTTGGTTCTAGACTACAGCAATAAAGCTAGCATTTCAATAAAGAGAATCATACAAATTTTTGGTTTCCTAGTGAATATAAAAGTTATGTTTACACTACACTATAATGTGTTCAGTGTGCGATAGTATTATCTTTAAAAATGCATACTTTAATTAAAAATATAGTATTGTTACCAAATGCTAACAATCATCTGAGCTGTTGGAAAAATGGCAACCAAAAACATGTGATTCAGGGGCCAGTGTTGTAGCTCAACAGGTTAGGCAGCCACTTACGATGCAGGCATCCCATGTGAAATCCAGTTTGCTTCCTGGTTGCTCTATTACCCAATCCAGCTCCTTGCAAATGCCCCTGGGAAAGCAGTGGAAGATGGCCCGAGTGCTTGGGTCCATGCCATCTACAAGGGAGACCCAGATGGACTTCCAGGCTCCTGGCTTTGGCCTGGTCCAGTCCCAGCCATTGCAGCCATTTGGGGAATAAACCAGTATATATAAGTTCTCTCGTTCATTCTCTCCCTCCCTCTCACTCACTCCCTTTCTCTCTATCTCCTTCCTCCACTCTCTTTATAACTACATTTCAAATAAATAAATAAATGTTAAACAAAAGGGCATGTTCCATGTAGAGTTGCCACATATCTTCAATTTGTAAATAACATAATATTGGTGAAGTGAAATGCAAAAAACAAGCTATGCCTATTCATTTCTTATTTTAGAAAACTCAAAGTGTTAAAAAGATATGTACTCTAATAACCATATAAGGAATTATCAATAAAATAAAATTTTATTTAATTAATAAATTATTTTTTAGCTTCTTTACCGTCAGCACATCAGGTGAGGGAGGACTGAAGCCTTCAGGACATCTTTTACTTCCGGTTGATAATTTTGTTGTGTCTGCAACTTCACCATTTGGCAATATGCCATCTGCAAACCACACTCTCTTCTGTTCTTTGGAGCACAGTCCTGCAATCAGTTGAAAACATAAAGCATTTTAATCTGATGATATTGCAATCATTCAATGTTCAATTTAATTATTCAATATTTAACTCAATTATTCAATTCAATAATTTGATTACTCAAATGGGTCACGAAATGATTTCAAAAGCTTTTTTGCTGTCCACTAGCAAGCCCTGAATTCACAAGACTTTTTGTGATTGATCTACCCTGCAGAGTGCGTTTCTGTATAATTCATAGAAAGGGAGTCCTGGGAATCTCATACTCTGAAAAAAAGTAGACAGCAGAGATTATACCTTAAAGACACTGCGGAAAGAGGTAAACCTGTATTACTGGAGCCAAATTTGCAAGTGTGAGGTTAAGGACTAGGACACAGGTGAAAACGCTGTAGATCACGACACAGTAGATAAGCAAAGAAAAACACGGAGAACAAGAAGAAAAACAGTCTGGACATGGAAACACGATCAGCAGTGCAGCAGAGGTCATCTAACTTCTATTTAGCAAGAGAAGCATAAGGTTTTCTGTTCTTATCGTGTGGATAATGGACTTCACAAATATTTACTAACATCTCCTCCCAGATCTGAAGAAAATGACTAAATATCAGCATAAACATTTGTTGTTTCTTTTTATAAAACATCAATTGAGAATGGTTATGAAAACTACCACTAGATAATTTTAGGATAATATGAAAATAATCAAAAGAATCATTATCTACTTCCTAGGACACAACAGAGATAACATTAAAAAAGGGAATTTTATCCAAGTATATTTTTGCAATATGGGTGGAGATATTACGTATGGTATCTTTCTTCTATTTGCATTATTTTTATGATTTAATAATTTAACTTGTCAATATAAGAATATGCAAAACTTTGTTTGCTTTTTTTTTTTTTTTTTTTTTTTTGACAGAGTGGACAGTGAGAGAGAGAGACAGAGAGAAAGGTCTTCCTTTGCTGTTGGTTCACCCTCCAATGGCCGCTGCGGCCGGCGCGCTGCGGCCGGCGCACCGCGCTGATCCGATGGCAGGAGCCAGGAGCTTTTCCTGGTCTCCCATGGGGTGCAGGGCCCAAGCACCTGGGCCATCCTCCACTGCACTCCCTGGCCACAGCAGAGGGCTGGCCTGGAAGAGGGGCAACCGGGACAGAATCCGGCGCCCCAACCGGGACTAGAACCCGGTGTGCCGGCGCCACTAGGTGGAGGATTAGCCTAGTGAGCTGTGGCACCGGCCGTTTGCTTTTTTTTTTAAAGATTTATTTTATTTATCTGAAAGAGTTACACAGAGAGGTAGACACAGAGAGAGAGAAGGAGGTCTTCTATCTGCTGGTTCACTCCCCAAACAGCTGCAATGATTGGGGCTGGGCCAGGAGTAAGCAGCTTCCTCCAGGTCTCCCACATGGATACAGGAGCCCAGGGACTTGGGCCATCTCCCACTGCTTTCCCAGGTAATTAATAAGGAGCTGGATGGGAAGTGGAACAGCGGGGACTCGAACCGGCTCCCATATGGGATGCCGACTCTACAGGCTGGAGCTTTAACCCACTGTGTAGCCCCAAGAATATGTAAAACTTGTAAACATGACTGACTCATCTTTACAGCTATCTCATATAATACACAACCATTTGCTGAATCTCCCTATTTCAGTTACAACAATAGATGAAGAACAGCTGCTGAGTGATAAACTGAAATCCAAAATGGCTGTCAAAAGGGTCTGAGGTTGCTATTAACAGTTATTTTCTAGCATGTCACAGACGAAGAGATTATGTTTAAAAACATACACGGGCTTTCCTCAGGATTCAAGTGAGAGCAGACACCCGATGCAGCAGCTCAGTGCTGCTCGGATACCTGCACTGGTTTCAGGCCCAGCTCCACTCCTGCCTGCAGCTTCCCACTAACGCTCACTTAGGAAGCAGCAAGTAGTGCCTCAAGTAGCTGTGGCTCCAGTACTTGGGCTCTTGCCACCCACATGGGAGACCGAGACTGAGTGCCAAGGTCCTGGTTTCAGTCTGGCTCAGTGCCAGCTGCTGCAGATATTGGGGGAGTGAACCAGAGGGCGGAAGCTTACTGTCTCTTTGCTCTTCAAAAAAATTAATTTAAAAAAATTTTTAAAGATTCTAAACAAATTATTTTTTAAAAAAGATAACTGAAAGATTTTAAAATAGATTTAAAAAGCAGCTTGTTATTGTGGCAAAACATACAACTAACATAGATTTTTTTAATGAAAAGGAGATGTTTCAGTTATGTACCTATTGTCTTTGAGCCCCAAGCCCACGCTGGTACGGTGTTCTCTGATGCCAGGCTGGAGGTCCGGGAAGCACAATTCCCTTGTTAGCCAGAGGGAAGCACAGGCAGTGACTCCTCCTGCTCTCGCTGCTGCCAGGATTCTTGCAGCAGCAGCCGCAGACAACGCTGCATGTCCCACGCTTCTCAGTACTCCCAGCATGCACCCTGAACTCTCCTTCAGCTTCGTCAGCACCAACCCCACAAGGTCAGCCGATGGCTCCAGCCCTGCTACTTGTATTTCCCCAGAGGACACAGCACTGGCCGTGTGGTGCACTAAACCACGACTGTCTGGTCTGAGAACCAAGCACACGATGGCACCCTTCACTGAACTCCAGCAGTACTGTCTCCTCCCCACTCCGCCTCCCACCCCAGTGGTGGTGGCTGCTTCCTACAGCTCCCAATCTCTGAAGCACCTGTGGGTGTCATTTTGCATTTCCCATCTTCTAACATGTGTGTGCAACCAATACCCTCATTACATTCCTCCAGAAGCCTAGTCTGGGCTCTCTTTCCTGACTGGACCATGACTACACTAGATCATTTCTATTTTAATTATTTATCTTGGGTCTAATAATTCATCGGTAGGCTGAGACAGCATTGTCTTCTCGTTACCTTCAATACCTGGTTGTTTAAGTGCTGAGATGGGCAAAGGTGAAGGTACACTGGCTGTTTGGGTCTCCGGAGGAGGCTGGACAGTGGCACACTCATCAGATTGATTAGATTTAAGATTAGAACCAGTTGGACTCATCATCCTTTCAAATGCCTGAGCTATAAAGGGGAAAACAATAGTATTAACATCTCAGGTGCTTTTGAGCTCCACAGTAAATTATAGTAAGTTTTCCATTTTTCAAGTTGTAAGGAACGCTAAATAGCTAATCAAGGAAAAGAAGTAGCACTAGGCAAAGACACTGTTCAGTCAGCACGGGCCCCTTACTTTAGCTGGCAGCCCTCCACTGCAATGAGCTACTCAATGAAGTATTTCAGTATTGTAGTTGTCATATGAGTCACATCTCCCACAGAAAATCATCCTCTTTTAATACGACTGTCTTCTGTTTTTGTCCTTTTATCCCTGAAGTCTATTTCCAACACAGTTCACAGTGATTCTTCAAGACATAAATCACTGGCTCATTATTCCTGTTTAAAATCCTTTACTGGCTGCGGAGCTGGAGCAGTGATTTAGGGTGCTACAGGGGCTCACAAGATCCTACATAATCAGCATCCCTACCCCCTACACCTTCTGGTGACCTGTTCTACCGAATCTCCTAGGCCTCCTTGTTTTTTTCACAAGTTAAACAGGTACTCTCTCATCTCAAGTCTCTGCTTTCATTACTCCCTCTCCCTAGAATGTTCTTCCCACAGCGACTCACTTGGCTTCATCCTCTCACGTCCTTCAAGTCTCTGTTCACACGTGATATTATCACAGAGCCATACTCCAACCACCTTACAGAGACGCTGCCCCTTGCTGCTCATCTGTTACTATCTATTCCTCCTGCACTTTAAACTTTGCCTAGGGCAATACCACCATCTGTATCCTCTGCTTAGCATCTCTCTCTCCCCACGTTGAGAAGAGGACATCTGTTTTGTTCTCAGCTGGAGCTCCGGAATGCAGAATAGTGCCCGATTTTCCATTCAAGAAAACAGGACACGACTGGTAGCTCTCCCTTCCACATTTCTACAAACCAGTCTGCTCTAAATGATTCCACTGTTGACATAATCGCTCTGAAATGCCACTGAATGGCAGCACGCCATGAAATGGGTCTCACTAAGTGAAATCCAAACACCTTACACTCTGGGCTTCAAGCAACTTCCAGTTCACCCAAATCTACCTAATGGCATTCACATTCTTGCTTCTTTAAACTGCATACAACCTGAGTACAACTTTCTCATCCATGATCTCTATTCAAGCAAACATTTTCTTCCATTCTTTCACTCAATGTGTCTCACACTCCTTGAGGCATTTTCTTCTCTTACTTCATAACATTATTTTAAATGATCACATTGATCATTTTCAACCCTACAGTAGATGTTAAAATAACTTTGTTTTCTTGTGGTGTATAAATTAATGATAAATAACACCATAAAGTAAACTATATGCCACATCAAAATAAATAAAATAGGTAATGAAATAACTCATTCCACAATATGTTCTTTGATAAACCAGAGTTTATCTCAGTATCCTACGGAGCCTCTTCAGTGACCCTATTTCTCATATTTTGAACCTCCACAAACGGAATGCTCACCCCAAAATGTGACCTGTACGGGAGATAATTATGTGGGGGCTTGCTCTAGAATTTCTGAATTCTAACAGATTTCCTAGGCTAACAGCACCAGCAGTTGTGTTCTAGGCTACTGAAACAGTGTATAAAAAAAATTATGAGTACTTAAACTAACCTCTCTATAAACAACGATGGTAACGTGGAAATCAAAAAAACACTTTTACTCTATTATCTTCCAGAGTGGAAGTCAACAGCAGGGAGTAGAGCAGCTTACCTCAGGCTAACAGACTCACATCAGAGTTTTTTGGAGAACTGCTGAAAAAATTTATCTTCATTCAAAAGAGAAAAACAAATCATTATCAGGTATTTATTCTCCTGGCTAATAGGAAACAACACCTGAGCTAGTGCACAGGTCTGGTCAAAAAGGGCCCAAATAATATTTGCTGGGAATTAAATGGTCGACAAATCTTTGAATATATCAAGAAGTACTCAAAAGAACAAACATGTACTTTGGAGAAAGATACAACACAACACACACACACACACACACACACACACACACAAGATTGGAGAAATCAAAGAAAATCACCAGGACTACTGCTGCTAAGGGTAGCTAGAGAGCCAGAGGAACAATGGGAAGTGCGCACATACAACTCTAAAACTGAGAAGGGGAAAAAAATGAGACAAAAATGTGCAAAGAGTGTGTTAGCCTATAAATTATAAAATGACATAAATTATTATCTTATCATTTATACTCCCATTTTAGATTATTTTCTAAAAGGTAGAAACTAGTATCTTGCCTTATGTTATTAATATCAATTTAATGTGATATTTCCGATTATTAAAGTAGGTACTCTATAAATGTTTAGATTAAGATGATGAAGATGAAAACGGTGATAAAAAACGAACAGGTAGATGAAACACAGCATTAGAGACTTGGTGCCTGTGGAAAGTTAATGAACTGCCACTCCAGAAACTGAATGCTTCCTTTCAGACTGGCAGTGTTAACTGTGAGAGTGGAAGAAAAAGAAGAGGAACCAAGCCTTGGGACGTCCCACCTAAGTCAGATAAGCCAACACTAGGTCCTTGCCTTAAGAAAATAAAGAGGTTTATCTTTGTCACAATCCAGTTGTTTTTAAGATACATTCAATTACTGGAAGAAAACATGTCAGGGTGATACTCACCTTTACTGATAGTCTCATAGCAGATTACGCACACTCTTGCTTCCTTTTCTAGATACTGCAGCTTACACTTCCGATTACAGCAGACACCACAAAACACCTATAAAGAATCGAATAATAAATCTGACTTTTAAAAAATTTTTTATTTTAATTTTTAATAATAAATTTTTGTTTCAAGCAAAACACTAGAGCAGAGGAAGGTGAAGTTCTAAGCCTAATTAACCCAAACCCATTTTCCTTACTATATAAATTACTTTTCTAATCACCATAATCACAGGTAGAGTACCAACATGATTTTTTTTTTACTTAAATGAGGTTTCTATGAGTTAAAACCCCATCTCTGATAAGAAAATCCTTTAAAAAAGTTGTTAATTGGAAAAGAAACAAAGGTTTCTTTAAGGAAAGCATTTACACTTTTAAAAACTTTGTGGGGCCAGCACTGTAACATATTTATTTAACGTGGTTTATTTAACCACGACCTGCAATGGTTTGAGTACTGGCCACTCCACTTTGGATCCAGCTCCCTGCTAATGTGCCTCGGAAAGCAGTGAAAAATGGCCCAGGTCCTTGGGCCCCTGCACCCACGTGGTAGACCAAGATGAAGATCCTGGCTCCTGGCTTCAACCTGGCCCAGGCCTGGCACTTGCAGCCATTTGGGGAGTGAACCATCAGACGCAAGATCTCTATCTCTTCCTCTTACTCTCTGTCACTCTGCCTTTCAAATAAAATGAATCTTCAAACAAACAAACAAACAAAAAACACAGCTTTCTGTAGTTCTTTATTTGAAACTTAAAAACCATTAAATTTGTTTGAAAGGCAGAGTGACAGAGAGGGAAAAGAGGTGGAGGGAAGGAAAGGGGAGAGAGAAAAAACAGGAGGGAGGGAGGTCAAAAAGGACAGAGCTCTCATCCACTGGTTCACTCCCAAATGCCCACAGCAACCTGGGCTGGGTCAGGCAAAAGCCAGGAGAACCTGAAGCTCACACAAACCAAACTGCTCCTACCTGAGCATCAGTCACACTAGCTGCAGGGTGGTCTTAAATATTCAAGGATAAAGGGGGACCCAGATAAATGTGGAATCCCTAATGTGTCAATACTAAGAGATAAGAACATGCATTCTTAAATCTTACAAGAATTAATAATAAGTGTCCTTCATTCTCCAGAATGTAATTAATACCCATGAAAACATGACATACATTCAACCATCAAGCAATTTGCAAAACGACAATGGCTTATATATTTCCATGGCTGTTAGGTTAAAGACGCTAATTTTAAACTAACTCCATTTTGTAGCCATCTGTTAATCAGCCTTTTCTATCATTAGGTTTAATTTTAACTATTTCAAAAGAGTAAAAGACTCCAAAGACTTTGAGCACTTACTTTCCCACACGCTCGGCAGTGGTGGCGCCGTTTTGTGAAGGTAAACTTGACTTGGCAGTTCATGCAGTTTGGAGCCTCTGAGTCTGGGACCCATGCAGGTTGTTTCTGGCCTAAAACCAGGCCTTCTTGGCATGTGTTTTCAGGCACAGACTCTTCATTTGCAGTTACAAGACTGGCTCTACTTTCAAGATTACTTTCTATATCGATATAATTAGAGTTGAAGTTAGCCTGAGGATCAGCTGCAGGATCTGCAGTACAGCTGGTTGGAGCGATGCTATTCGCTATGCTGGGTTTGCTTTCTGACGTGTCTGGAACATCCAGCTTATTCTGTTCCTTTGAACCCCTTGTTCTTAATGGAAGGCTAAATAATTGCTTAGGTCTGGCCCCTCCAACATAAACAGACTGACTGTTAGTATCAGAGACTGGTAATTCACTCATCACCTCAGACTTACTGGTAGGTAACCCTTGTTCACCTGGAATTATGCTTTTCTGCCCTAAAGAAAGCTCATTATTTTCTAGTGTATTTTGCTTATCAACTGTCTGACAAATCATATTAATGTTACCACTTTCCATGGCAGCTCCTGCTTCGGCATTAAAATATATATTATCAACATGTCCATTTCCTAAGCCTTTCCTATCTCCTGCACCGCTCTGAGATTCTGAGTCATTCACATTTTCTTCAAAACACTGTGTGTTAGTGGTCTGAAGGTACTGCTCTGTCAAAAAGGCATCAAGCTCCGCATCACTAATTAGTGCAGCACTCTTCATACCCTCATCGATATTAAAGTAATCCAAATCTTGCCCATCCATGTCACTGCATGAGAAAGCGAGGCCGTCACAGGGGTCGGGAGGCTCTGGCGCGGCAGCACCAGGAAGTTCCATCTGGGGTCCTGAGGCGGTACAGGCATCGGTGTTACCAGGGTAACTCAACGATGCAACTCGGGTTACTGTCGGGTCAGGATCCACCTTTCCATCCCCCCTCTTCTCTATGAATGGCTGCAGAAGTGTGCTTTTACACGTCTCCTCTTTCAAGAGCTCCGCCGCTCTGCAGGGCTCGCCATGCGGAATGCGCGCCTGTACTTCCCGCACAGTCACCGCATCCTGCACACTATCCTTGTCTTCCCTCTGCGGTAAACAATCACCATGCGCTTTCCTTTCCATTAACGCTCCACACAAAGACCCAGCCAACGGCAGACAGGACAGCGGGGAGGAGACATCTGCTTTGGAAGCAGGTAAAGCTGGAGAGCAATCCTGCACTGCATCATTATCGTCTTTAAAATCTAGACTTCTTACGTCTTCATCAGCAAACTGCTTTATAAGTAAAGCAGGTGTATCTTCCTCAAAGGATAAATCAGGTAACTTGAAGTTTTCATCTTCTGCATGTGAATCATTTAAGTATAAACCTTCATTTTTGGTAAGACTGCAAGGCAAAGCACTTGTGCTACTTCCTTCTTTTAAAAGTTCTGTGGCAGTAATGACAGCCGCATCTACTACCTCCTCTTTTTCCAAACAGCCATCATCTTTTAAGGATTCAAGTGGCTGACTCCTGTGTTGTAGGTTGTCTTTGGCGTCAAATATTTTGGAACTTTGTTGAGTCAAAGCAGATGATGTGTTAAACTCAGTAACTGGTTCTAGCTGGTTAGAGATCTTTTTATCTTCTAAACTTTCTGTTCTGTCATGATTACTAGAATCTAAAAGTGCTGTGTCAGCTTCTAAACCTAATTCTTTGGTTCCAGTGATTTCTTTATTTTGTAATTCAGAGTTGTTATCATTTTGTTCTTCTCTGACGGGACTACTACCACGGTCTGTTGAAGAAACACAGGGAGTATCTGACACTGAAGGTAAGTCCCATCCAATCAAAGAATCTGCACTAGACTTAATATCATCTGGCAATAATTGTTTAATATCCTCTTCACTACTAGTTGCATGAACTAAGTTGCCCGTGTCACTTATCAGATCACAAACAGGCTTCCTACACCGTCCCATATATGAAGGCTGGGTTTCATCTGAAGTATTGGCATCCACACAAGAAAGCAGGTCCAGTCCTGTCACATTTTTTTCATTTTGTATAGCAGTTCGTCCCTCAAGGGTTTTCTCATTCAAGGAAATCTCATTTGCTTCGAAGCATGTTTCTGATGAGCCACAACTATCGATGCATTGTTGGTCCTTTGGGAGCAGTGGTATTAGCTGTGAGGAAGCTAACTCTGATGAAACTGAACAGTGGTTAGAATCATTTGCATTTTGTGCATCTTGAAGATAATCTTGTTCATCTAATTAAAAATAAGACACAATGTTATTCAGTAGACTCAAATCAAATAAAAATTATTATAAAGGTAGATTTTGTAAGACTTCCATACCAAACATTTTTAAAGACTATAGCTATATTATTCTTTTGTAAAATGGTAATTAATATCCAAAGTTATTTTTATTTTATTTTAAAGTGCTTTCTGACTTTTACTTTTGAAAGTGATGTCACAAAGTGATAAAAAGTCCATGAAATTCAATTGTACTATAAAAACCAGACTAAAGGGAACAAAACAATCTAACCTCTTGGCTCTGTCCTCTACTTTCCTAGTTTTCATTCTTGGAAAATGGTATTTCATTGCTCATAGCAATAAAATTCCAAGTTATGTAGAGCTTTCAAATTGCTTTAGCTTACTAATATACTGGTTTTTAAAGTTTTTTTTTTATACATTAAGTTTATGTCTGGAAGAAACTCTAGTTGTCTTCTTTTTATTTCTGGCTATTGATTTCACTCAGTGTAAGAATAAACTAGTGGGACAATGCTGTGGCATAGTGGTTTGGGCTGGGTGCTGGTTCAAGTCCCAGCTGCTCCACTTCTGATTCAGCTCCCTGGGAAAGCAATGAAGGATGGCTCAAGTGCTTGGGTCCCTGTACCCACAAGGGAGACCTGCAAGCTCCTTGCTCCTGACTTTGGAAAGGCCCAGCCTCAACTATTATGGCCGTTTGGGGAGTAAGCCAGCAAAGGGAAGACCTCTCTCTGTCTCTCCCTCTCTCTGTCTGTTACTCTGCCTCTCAACAAAATAAATAAATCTTTAAGAAAAAAAAAAACGAATAAATTAGTAAGTTACACATAATGACATAAAGTGAATCTTTTGCAGAGATAACCATGTGACCAAAACTGAAATGGAAGAATGTTAAAAACATGCCTGAAGGGGGCCGGTGCTGTGGCCTGAAGTGCCTGCATCCCATATGGGTGCCGGTTCGAGACCCGGCTGCTCCACTTCTGATCCATCTCTCTGTTATGGCCTGGGAAAGCAGTGGAAGATGGCCCAAGTCCTTTGGCCCCTATACCCGTGTGGGAGACCTGGAAGAAGCTCCTGGCTTTAGATCAGCCTAGCTCTGGCCGTTGCAGCCAATTGGGGAGTGAACCAGTGGATGGAAGACCTCTCTCTCTCTCTCTCTCTGCCTCTCCTTCTCTCCACACTTGATCTTAGCCAAAAGGTCGAGAAGCAACTGCCTCTCCTTCTCTATGTATCTGTGTAACTCTTTCAAGTAAATCTTTAAAAAAAAAAAAAAAAAAAGAAGAGTATGCCTGAGGTAACTATGTTACAGCTATTTTTAAACTTTCATTAGTGGCAATAATGAAAAATCAACAAACCTGGGTTCTGCTCAAAATCATCAAGGAGTCTGTCCAAGTCACTGACAGCTGCTTTAAAGTAGCTGTCCATTCTACCTGTAGACTTATTCCGAATTTAACTCTTGTATGCCTAGAAAATAAAAAGAATGCTATTTCATTTAGTTATCAAACATATAAATAGTACACCAACTAGTCCATGCCCAGGAAACATAAGGAATAGAACTAGGAATAAAATTTAAAGAGAACTGCTTTGAAGAATCAGTAATTTAGCTGGGGAAACTGCCTCTTTATATGTAAAATGACATGAAAACCAACTCTAACACATACCATTTGCATACACAGACTAATAAAAATGTTAAAAGATTCATCTAATAATTCCTCAAAGAAGAATTCATAATATAAAGCTAAAAAATACACAAAGCAGTGATATAAAATTTGTGGGATTCAGAAATTGAAATTTGAAACGATACTTAGTCTTTGACTAGAAAAAGCATACAGACTGAAAACAAATCATTTAAGAAGAGAAATTAAAGAAACAGAAAATAGGCACGTAAGAAAGGCCCAAGAAAATTAAAACATTTATGAAAAAGATGAATAAGGCATATGAATCTCTGGTCTGCAGCAGAAACTCCACCAAGTAAAGCCCGAGACAGCCTGCAGGAATCAACCCATAGGGTAATATCAATAGGCTACTGAAATCAATTTGAACGGTCTCTCACTGATTCAAATGGGACAACTGGATGTCAAACTCAACTGTGAAAGACTACCCACAAATCAACAGACATAAATCCATCAGATCAGGGACCAGCGCTGTGATGTAGTAGGCTAACCCTGTGCCGGCATCCCATACAGCTGCTGGTTCATGTTCCAGCTGCTCCACTTTCAATTCAGCTCTCTGCTTATGGCCTGAGAAAGCAGTAGAAGATGGGCCAAGTGCTTGGGCCCCTGCACCCATGTGGGAGACCTAAAAGAAGCTCCTGGCTCCTAGCTTTGGATCAGCTCAGCTCCAGCCAATGCAGCCATTGAGGAGTGAACCAGTGGATGGAAGACCTCTCTCTGTCTCTTCCACTCTGTCTGTAACTCTACCTCTCAAATAACTAGAATATTTAAAAATAAAAATCCACAAGATCATGATACTGAAAACAGAAACAGAACTTACTATTTAGTAGAGGACTGCTAAGGCACTAACCCATTACCCTGAAAACTGATAAAGCAAAACAGCCAATAATTTATCCTGCTCTTTATTTACAAAATATATTTTAGGACAACAAAATAGTTCCAGGGGGTTGGGTGGCGGGGATAGTTCTTAAGATAAGGATTTCAGTTAATGAACTCAGAAGGATATTAAAAATCTTTAAATCATTTATTCATAGTCCCTAATACAATCAATGGACCAGGTGATGGTTAGCAATGGATGCTAAAAAGTTGTTAGAGGACAGAGGTCCTGCTTGGGAAGTTAGCAAACAGTGATTTCTGTTGTTAATTTAAAAATTAACACTCTTATGTATGACATCAGTGATCACTCGTGCTCTTGACATGAGCTGCCTAGGCTATGGAAGCCTTTTGAATACACAAACTCCATCAGTATTTAGACAATGCCATGAGCAAAGTGGAAATACTCTTCTCCCTTCAGAGAAAAGTACCTTCTTCTTTGATAGCCCCTTCTTTCCACTGGGGTCACACCCACTGAGGTCTTTCATGTAGGACATTTTTTGCCACAATGTCTTGGCTTCCAATGCCTGAAATGCTCTCCAGGGCTTTTCAGCCAGACCAGAATGCCTTAAGGGCTGATTCTGAGGTCAGAATGTTACTTAAAGCGATTGTCAAAGAGTTGTATTATGAGAGTTAACAGTAAAACTTGTTCTCAAAGGTTTATTTTGTTTTAGTATATTAAGTGGAGGATATTCTTATGTCCCATAAGTTTTAGTCATGCCTAAGTGTCCAACCCCATTCCTTGTTTCCTTAGGTGTTTCCTTAATTAGTGATAAAACTCGTTCTCAAGTACTTATTTTTTTAATGTATTAAGTGGAAGATATTTTTACATCTCTTAAGTTATAGTTATGTCTACATGCTCACAAAAGATGTATCACTCTTGGATGCTTCTTTAAAGTTAATTAATTCTCTAAAAAAAAGAAGCGAAAATAACCGAGATGCAAAGACTTTGAACATCCTTTGTCTCAACTGTTAAGGAATAGTTTTGTTTTGTTTTGTTTTCTGTGCAAATTGTTGAACTCTTTACTTAGTACAGAGCTGGTCTTCTGTGTATAGTAAGTGTGTATAGTGTGTATAGTAATGGATCTTAATGGACAATGGGACTGGGAATGGGAGAGGGAGGAGGAAGAAAGGTGGGAGTATGGGTGGAAAGAATCACTATATTCCTGAAGTCGTACTTATGAAATGCATGAAGCCTGTACTCCTTAAACAAAAGGTTTCTCTGGGAAGAGGAGGGGCTGGTGCGGTGGTATAGCAGGGTAAGCATCTGTCTGCAGTACCAGCATCCCATATGAGTGCTGGTTCAGTGGCCCAAGTGCTTGGGTCCCTGCACCCATATGAGTGACCCAGAAGAAGCTCCTGGCTTTGGACTGGTCCAGCTCCGGCCATTGTGGCCATTTGGGGAGTGAACCAGCAGATGTAAGACCTCTCTCTGTCTCTCTCTCTCTCTCTCTGTAACTTTGCCTCTCGAATAAATAAATAAATCTTTTAAAAAAATTGTTAGAGGAAAAGGTTATCAGCGACTTCACAATGGTGAGATCAGGTCAAAATATCTAAATACAGTGGTCAATTTCTTTACTAATAAATGTGGAAGAATAGCATCATCTAAAAACTATTATAGCCTAAAAAAAATCTGACCCTCAATCTAATCATTTTTGGAATTAACTGCATGTGTACAGGAAGTTCAAGCACAGAGGGCTAAGTTCATGACACAGAAAGCAATTAGCTAAGCTAATCAAGAAGATAGAACACTCTACACAATGTTCTTCAAACTGTTTCCTAGGTTTTCTTTATACTTCTGATCTTACTGTTTAGAACACAATAAAATAAAACAAATTTTGTCTAATAAAAACAAGCACGGCCTGTGGCACCGGCACCCCAGTGTTCTAGTTCCGGTGGGGGTGCCGGATTCTGTCCCAGTTGCTCCTCTTCCAGTCCAGCTCTCTGCTATGGCCCGGGAAGGCAGTGGAGGATGGCCCAAGTCCTTGGGCCCTGCACCTGCATGGGAGACCAGAAGGAAGCACCTGGCTCCTGGCTTTGGATTGGCGCAGCACGCCGGCCGTAGCGGCCACTTAGGTGGTGAACCAATGGAAGGAAGACCTTTCTCTCTGTTTCTCTCTCTCAATGTCTAACTCTGCCTGTCAAAAAAAAAAAAAAAAAAAAAAACACAAGGATATACATTATTAAACACACTGAACAGCTGCCTAGAGTAGGAAATTTAATATAAGAAATAAGGAATAAAAGGAATAAAAGACAACAAACAGGTGAGAGGACTTCACAAGGCTTAACTATGATTGTATGTCATAAACTAAGGACACGTGACATCCAGAAAAAAACAGTACTTTGAAGATGAGTATAAAAGATTAGAACTTGCTTCTGACTCCTGGCTTTGGCCTGGCTCAGCCCTAGGCGTTGCTGCCATCTGGGGAATGAACCAACAGACGGAAGATCCCTCTCTTTGTCTCTCCCTCTCACTCTGTAACTGTGACTTTCAAATAAATTAATTTATTAAAAAAAAAAAAAGATTAGAACTTAAGAGAGAATTAAATGAACTGGATGACCTATCTGAAGAAATTTCCTAAAATGAAGCCCAGAGAGACAAAGATGAAAATATGAAAAAGAGCTTGAGGTACAAGTGACAGAATAAGAACGGAGTTCCCTAGGAGAAAACAGAATATAGAATAACACCATTTGAGTAACACCATCATTCTAGCATAACTGAAAAACACAACTCAACAGATACAGAGATAACACAGTATACCAAGCATTACAAATAGAAATTCACTCTCAGACACACTGTAGTGCAACTATTGAACACCAAAGACAGAAAAGCCAGAGAAGATTATCTTCAAGGAAGATCAGACTAGCAACAACTTAAAAGCAACAAGTATACTTCAGAAGCACTTTCAATACATTCTAATTCAATGAAGAATCTTACACTTCTGTTTCCCTGTTTCAAATGTGGTTATATCATAATATAGAAGAATGCACAAAACTGAGACCAAATCAAAAGAGGAATTTGGAGGAAAATACAATGTAGGAAGTAGAAGGAAATTTCCAAGAAACTACTATTCTACGAGAGAGAGAGAGAGAGAAAAGCAATGCAACTATGAAACTGAGAACAGGAAACCACAAATTGGAAAGATACGCAGAATAAAAAATGATCATGGAAACTTACAGCAGAAATTTTAAAATTCAAGAAAGGTTTGTGGAATACACTGACAATATTTTACCACTAAATACGTACAAAAAGAAAAACCTGAAATCAGTAATTTAAGTTTCCACCTTGGAAATCTAGAAAAATAGCAATTTAAACCTAAACAATGAGAAGAGTGCCCTTTAACAATCAGTAAACAAAAAGACCTCAGGAATAAAATCAGGATTGTAAGGCGGATGCCTAATGATTTCCCATGGAAACTGATGAGAAGAGCAAGCAGGAGCATGGTTATGGGTAAGGACTCTCCTCTATCGCTTTCCTGGGAATTTGCTAAAGCTTTGGTTTCCCACAACACTCTCCTAATAACCAGATGCTATCACTCTCCAGACCTCCAGAAAGTCAACACACAAAAAAAACGCCCTGATTTTGACCCCGGCCAGACTGCTTCTGCTTTGACTAGCCATGTCCAAGTCCAGGCAGCCACTGCTGTGTCTGCGCTTTAAGGTCATACTGGTAAAAGCGCATTTCATGTCCTGTTACAAGTCTTCGCAGAAACGCTTCAGGATCCTGATCTCACTGCTTAACACTTCGCTGAAAGCTCTGCCGTCATCTGCAGCTGCTCTGGGGCAACAGTGTTGGCACTCGCCAATCAGAAAGTGTGCTCCATTTTTCAGTCTCAATTACGTGCGCTGAACTAATTCAGATGTCTAGGATGTCCCCTGTGTTTCTGCTGCTAATAACCAGTTCTCTTCAATCAGGGA